ATCCCGCCTTCTTGTGCCGAGGCGTGTATACTCGATATGACTGGGCATATGCAGAGTGTAAGATGTCATATAGATGCAGCTTCGATGCGTGTTTGCCGGTGGCGCAACACTTGTCATGCTGTGAGCAGAAAAGGTCCGAAGCTTGAGCATAGGATGTTTCGAGCTCGATGATGCTGGTAGTTCCGATCACACTATCGACGGCATTCCCGTGCCATAAGCTCGTTCCATGGTAGCAACGCTGGGAAAGTGGGGTAAACCGCTAGACCCTTCCTTACAGGAAGATGAGGGCTGACCTTAGTTCTTAGCCTCCGCGGAATGGGACCACATCGTCTCTTCATTCGCTATTATTGCAAGGTACCGAGTGTTTTAGAGGAATATGGTGGTTGTACAACGTATCGAGAGGCGCGGACAGGTGTGTGACCGACTTGATTTGGCTCCATGACGGGTAGAGCCAACGGAGCTTATCTTCCTAGCTCAGCAGACGGGATCATGGTGTTGGAAGGTGGTGAGAATAAAATCTCAAAATTGCCATAGCTGGCAAAAGTCACCGGAGATTTGGCCTGTCTGAGCAATGCGGAAGTCGGTTCAGTGGAGGCAGACATTGACAGCTACAGCGTCGATCACATGCACATGTGCTCGAAGGCTTCTCTCCAGGCCTGCGACTACGAGTAGCTCGAGTTGCCACTGCTGTACACACTATAGACACCTCCTATGTCATCTGACGTAGGCTCTTACGGTACTGTGAGAACATCGTGTTGTGTTGATAGCACGTTTGGGTTCACTTTCAGGTAGACCGGTCAGAACATGCATGTTCAAACATCACAGACGAATTCAAGCCTCCTGATTCAAAGCAATGTCGCAGACAGTGGACCCACTGATGTTTCGCGCTTGCTCAAACCAATCACTCTCGTCTTTGAGGCTCGGTCAAACCTGGTCGCCCCAGGTCGGAACTGTTTGGTTATCGTGCCGAAAAGGTGATAGTACGCATTCCAAAGGCAGGTCCCCATGTCAACACGATCGACCGGAAGCAACCGAACTTTTGCTCTATGCATGCAATATGCAGGACGTTGCCCAGCTGTCCGCGACCTGTCGCCCAAGGATACGGAGGACTAATTGACTGTGACGGACTTACCGAAAAGCTCGTCGGCACGGAATATTGGCCTTGATAGCCGAACAGACAGGATTGACGGAACCACTCTAGGCTTAAGCGGTCAACGCACCTAAGCCTCGCCGCGGAGGCGCACTGTGACCAGTATGTCGGAATTACTGTGCTGGTTCTTTGTCCAGGAGACGTAAAACGATGATAAAGCGTTTGGGATCAAGTGTTTGAGAAATGCCTGGTTTGACGCTGCTTGAAGATCGATTGTATAGATGGATGTTGCCGCGCGTTGTAAAAATTAGATCTCGTGGTATCGTGGTCAGCCCTGCCAAGCACGAACAGCTGTCAGGGTACTGGCATGATAGGATGCAGCCGTCCGTAAAAAGCACGCAGGGCCTAGCTACGTAGCGAAAGAACCCAGATTTTGGTCGGCCAACCGAGTTAAGCTTTAAGAAAAATGTGGTCATGTACCATCTATGTCATTGGTTGCCCAAGAAAGGAGACCGTCAGCCGCCGGTGATGCAATTGGTGCGAAGAATGCAGCCCATGATCTTGTCGAGCACAACTCCAAGGGTCGCTCTAGAGGCTAAAGATACCAGTGAGCGTGTGGCTTGCTATAGCGAGCGCCCACTGCATATGAGTGCTGCAAGCCATCGTAAATCCCTGTCGAGATTGGTAGACAGCTTCGTAGGGTAGGCGAAAGTTGGACAAGGGCGCCCAAATTGAGAGTAGCTCCCGTTCATAGCAGTCGCTGTGGAGGGGCTGAGGGCCGCTTTCAACCCCACAACAGTAGGGAGATGGTATTTTCGACTTCGAAACGTGAACGGACCAGAGGGCTAAGTCTTGCGCCATCTTGTAGGTATTGAATCGCTTGGGAGGCCTGCGATCCAAAAGCAGCGCGACTTCTCAGTGTGTCAAGCGCGCCCAGGCAACACCAATCCGGTAGGCCTTTGTCCGTGTTGAGACGAACAGGTACACTATACACTATAGGTGAACAATTGACCTCGAGGTTTAGTAGTCGCTACAAATACCTTCTGAGGACTGACCCCGGACAAAGAATCCTTCTCCGTTGATTTGCCCTTCACACTTTGCTCGAGCTCTGCCTTCGCCACAAAGACACGGCCGAAACAACACAACTCAAACACTCCAGCGGTGTCTGATTTGCAAATTGGCATCACGTAGTCGTCCACGTTGATTGTCTCTGCGCCAAAGCCTTCGTGCCGGTGAGAAGCGGGTAACTGCAACAGGTTCGTTCCCTGAACTCTTTGCGAACTGCTATGCATCATTGCGACGAAGCAAACCCAGCAAAGGCCAACATAGCCGCTATCATTACTGACACATATCAGCACCATATCTGGAGAAGAGCAGACTGGTTCGGCATCGTCTCAAGAAACCGAAAGAGCCCTTTCCGGTATTCAGAAACAACGATTCCCCATCGGTCTTCAGGCTCCGAGACTTTAGGCCAACAGAAGACTCATTCCGCTCAACCCAGTTGCGCTTGGTCTTGTTCATCATCAACTTCTATCGCTTATCTGTGTTGTTGAGTTCAAAACGAGGCCAATCGGTAAAAGTGAACAGAGCTTTAGCCCGCAATCTCCACCGTCGCAGCGATTGAGTAAGGCGTTAACACCCGCTATGATGAGAGGTGACACGCTCATCCAACAACACCCCCCTACCCCACCGAATGCCGGGTCGGAGTACCAGACCGGTCTGCACCAGGTTGCGCAATACAACGTAGATCGCGGCTATCCATTCGGTGAGGCAGGGTATGGTTCTCCCAGCTCGGTGGCGCGCGAAGGGATCCCTTCACATGTGTCACATGCCGACAACCACTCTCGTGGGCTCGGACTAAGTATACAATATGTAAGAGTCCTTACATCCTTGCACATATAGCCATGCTGATCAAATTACAGGACGGGTATGGTCCACCGGCAGAGTACTACCATAACGGCTCGTATAACGGCATGCCTGTGAGCAAATATTGCTGGTCGTGTTTGACTTGGTTGCTAATGAATGCCAGAATGACCAAGCTCTGTTCTCGCCGCCGACGCCGAGATCATCGAACGGTGATGATTCTGGACGTAGAACGACCCGCAGCGGACGAGCCACGACGTCGTCCAGCTCCCCACGTCGGAACGAAAGCAGCCCTCGACCGAAGGCGACGCCTAGAGCTAAGAAGGCGAAGGCGCCGAAGAACGAAAGGCATAAGACGCCCAAACTGACTGCGCCACTGAGTATCCTGACGAAGGAGCTACATCATATCCCAGTCAAGAACATGGAAGAGTGGGTGAATAGGCCAGCGGACGTCAGGAGACGGGAAGTGGAGAAGAGGAACGGATATATCACTCGTCCCATGAACTCGTTCATGCTGTATCGGTCGGCGTTTGCGGAAAGGGCCAAGTCATGGTGTCTTCAGAACAACCACCAGGTCGTATCCTCAGTAGCGGGAGAGAGCTGGCCACTGGAGCCTCCGGAGATCCGTGAACTGTACAACGAATACGCAAAGATCGAGAGGATCAACCACCAGAACGCACACCCAACATACAAGTTCTCGCCCAGCAAAACAGCGGTTCCGGCGCGGAAACGAAGAAGCGAATGGTCAGACGAAGAAGAACCTAGCGATCTTGACGATGCTGAATGGGCTCCTGGTAGTGGCAGGTCTCGCTCACGACAGGCTAGGAGAGTCGACCGATCGTTCAGTTATCCATCGAGTGGTGTTGCTGCAGAGTACTTCGACCACTCGTTCGGTCCAAATGGTAATGGTATTAATCGATCCTCCTGGGAGGTAACGAACGAAGGCAGATCGATGCCGATGCCGATAAGCCACAACGAGCTCTACAACCAGTACTACCAGACTACTGCATATCCCAACATGCACATGAGTCCGAATTATGCAGACGAAATGCACATGAGGATGGTAGAAAGCCCACCATCTTCCATGCAGTTTCACTCGAACCCGTCTATGCTGGGGTTGCCCGGAGGGAATACGAATGATCTTCTGCTACAGTCGGATCTCGGCACACCATTCGACGAGGGGCAACTGGATCCAATGTTGTTGGCCTACGATGGAGGTAACCACTCGGATATCGATCCTGCAGCACTGCAGAACAACATATACCAGAACGTCCACCCGGAAATGCAAGGAGATAGGCTTGAGCAACACAACCTCGGCGGTTTGTTAGATCTTTCACCCAACGAGTACCAATCCTGGCAGTCAGATCCAAACATGGTATCACTCGAACAAGAGTCGGAGTTTGACAAATGGATGGGCGAGCAGTGATCTATATCATATTAGCTGGTGTCTTTGGTGGTTGTGTCGCCATTGTATTTACGTGCGACGTTGTTCCGAAGCGATGACCATTCTTTTCAGCATCGTAGGGCCTCTGGCGGGCTCTTGTACGGTGAGCAGCATTCAAGGCGTTGATCGAACCAAAAGTTCCGGGACTTAGAGCATTTAGACATAGTGTTATCGCGTATGTAGACTGAGATGTATATATTAGTGTTCAATCAGCCTTCTTCAATCGTCTCGATGTAGGGACATGACGTGACATTGCATCCCATGTAACATGAATCCATCGCGCTCCATAGTGACGACGAAGGAAATACCACTAGCGGAGGGTTTGAAGGTGCTGGCGAATGAGCTTGCGTGGGTTGCTGGTCTTGTCGAAGGGGTTGCCGGAAGAGTGAAGTTGGACTCGACAAAGCCAAGGCCCGTCCAGCCCCACCTGTCCCCGCGTCGCGAACGCGCCTGTCTTGGTGGAAGAGAGGGTCCAAGAAATATCCACAGCAAGATATAGACGTCAACTGCCCTAGTATTGCCCGATCAAGCACCCGCAAAACCACATCCATCACGGCGCGTCATCTCGAGAACCTGACAACTTTGCGTGTCCCACAACTTGCAGCGGCCGTTCTGTTTGCCTGAACTAGCACATTCTCCGTTACTACCAAGAAACCAGACATTCGAGGAGATTGAAAGAAAATATAGATCATGTATGGAGAAGCGGCCAATAAATTAGTAAGATTCAATGCACCCCCAATTTTGCTGCTCCACGACCTGTCTAACAAAGCCCAGGTGCAAAACGCGAAGCGCACTCTTGCCCTCCCCCATCTTCCGCCCTATGCCTCAGAGCTCACGCGCTCCATAGTCCGCGAAGTGCGCGACCTCGACAAAGACGTTTCGTCGATCCTCGCTCCCTACAGCGGCTCCTTCAACCCCAGCGCATCGCCTGAAACAGCCTGCGCTCTCCTTGTAAACCACTTGTGTATGCGCCGGAACAAGCGGTGTCTACTCGCCTACCACCGTGTGCGGAGCGACAAGCTGGAGGAATACTGCTGGGAGGGTATCGATGTGCTGGAGCAACAGGGCAGCAAGGACCATAGTGGAGAAGGAGGGAGGGGAAATGGTATGGGTGCCGGAGGCGGAAAAGAAGAGAGCAGTCTGAGTCCAGAAGAGGAAGAATACGTGAGGCAGTACAGCGATCTGCTTGCTGCGTACAAGGGGCAATGGACCGACATCGATCTGACGGGGAGTCTGGAGCCGCCTCGCGATCTGTTCATCGACGTTCGCGTCCTAAAGGATGCGGGCGAGATACAGACGGAATACGGGTACGTGATGACAATCTCGGCATGCCGAAGGTTGTTCTTTAACGGGACAATATGCCCAATACCACGCCTCTGCTAACTGACTATAAGGTCCATAACCCTGACCAAGAACTCGCAATTCTACGTCCGGCATGGCGACGTTGAACGCCTTATCACGCAAGGATACCTCCAACGTCTAAGCTAATCTCTCTCCAATACATGTGAGATCGACTCTCCTTGCCATGCAGCATCACACAGCATGCCTTCTCAACCAACCAATTAACCTGGTATGTCCTCCCGCGGAGATATTGATTTGGCAAATCCTTTACACCTCCGTGACCTGGCCCCCAAAACACTTTTGTAAGATCAGCCCCGAAGCTGGGTTGCCGAGCCGCACCCGAGACCAAGGGATATCCAGATCCAGATCTCAGTGGCGGCAAGGCTGTGTTTTCTGGAAGCACGCGCCGCCCACCATCACCATTAGGAGGAATACCACGCTGTCATAAATCTTCACTGGACCTTGCCCCCCACAGACTCCTGTAGGCTTCTTAAAATAGGCAGAGATGGACGCTAGATGCACTCTTTGCAGCAGGTCTGTTAGTCGGCCTGTAGACTGGGAGGAAGCATGCATGCAACTATGGCGCCAACACAGGCACATGTCCGACATGCATGTAAAATACCATTAATGGATTCTGGCCGGCGATACCGCCATCAGTTAGTATCTGCATCGGTACGTCATTGCATACTGGGCAATAGGTCGTAGTCATACCAAGGGATCTAGGTTAGAGAGCATGAGTCGCCGACATTCGCTTGCATGGATATTGGCACGCATGTTCTGAGAAGTTTTTTTTGTTCACCATCTGTGGGCACACTTGTGTATGGAGATACAGAACTGGTAGTGAAACCAATAATTAGATATTGACACAATATTGCGTCTCCTGAAGTCAAGACTGATCATTCTCACATGACATATCGGTGAACTACGTGGTTGATCCACTAACGTACAATGATGTGGTCGCAACTTCGACACCGTGGTCCTTTTGCCATGGTAGAAGCTCATCAACGAAGAAATGACCTGCGACGGGGTGTGTAAATCAGAGAAAACATTAAGCGGTGTGTCAGGCCAGCACTTACGTTTTAGTACAGCCAAGAGATATGCGGTGAAGCCGATACTACTCTCCCAAGCATAGTCTTATTGAAACCTTAACTCCATCCGATGCCATTCTGATCCATCCAGTGAACCATCCCTCCCAATGCAGTGAACTGACGCCATGGAAAAGAAAAAAAGATTGCAACAAGCGGAATTTACCTTTGTGAAGTCTCTCAGACAACTGAATAACGCCCAGTCGGTCCGCGAGTCGCAGATGCGTCCTCAGCTGCAATTGTCCCCTCACGTAGAAGACGGGTGAGCTCCATCATAGCCTGTGTGACGATATTTTCGGTATCGCCCTCAACAAGAATGTACAATTTAGGAAGATCAGTCTCACCAGGCTGTTTGCCAGCTGGGTAAAAGTTGCCCTTGGTCGTGATGGAGACACCGGTTTGTTCCAGAATCTTGGCGACGTTGGTGCGGTTGGTTACGGCCCATCGAGCTTTCTGAGGGAAGTCATTGATTTCAATGGTCGAGTGATAAAGACCAGCATCTGGGCCTTTGTTGTCGATGGGCTGACCTGCGTGGATCATACCCTTCTTGCTCAGTCTTCCGTCGACCTTGGAAGCAGCGGCCATTGCTCGCTCGCGCGCGGTCATCGGCTTGCCAGAAGCAGAAGCTTCAGGGCGTTCGGTCTTGCTAACCACAATCTTACTGTTTAGGAGCTTCATCCAGTGTGGTTGATCCTCGGCGTCAGCTGCAGCAGGGTCAGCGGCCTTGACGACACCCGGACCAGCAACTTCAGGCTTCTTAATGATCGGCGCAATCTCCTCCTCCTCGTCGCTTTCATCAACACCTTCGAGCTTGAGTTGACGCTTCTCGCGCTTCTTCTCAAGAGCACGTGCTGCGTCAAGCTTGTCAAGACCCTTACCACCGAAACCACCGTAGTACTTCTCGGTACCTGCCTTGGCCTTCTCATGGAACGTGTTAGCCATTTCTTGAAGCTCTGGAGGTACTTCTGTACCACTCTCCTTGAGTGCCTTGACAATGTGGAGTGCGAAGCGCTCTTGACCGGGGTTCTCGATGAGTGTGATGGCTGTGCCCTTGTTACCAGCACGACCGGTACGTCCGCAGCGGTGCACGTAATCTTCCAAGTGGGTAGGTGAATCGAAGTTCAGTACCATGGCCAGTCCAGGTACATCAAGACCACGAGCTGCTACAGATGTGGCAATAAGAATAGAAAGAACACCTTGCTTAAAGTCATTGATCGCTTCGTTACGATCGGTCTGATCTTTGGCTCCATGTATCGTGTTGACAGAGAAATACTTAGACTTGTAAAGCTTGGACAAGAGGTCTTCAGCTGTCTCTTGTCGCTCAGTGAAGATCAACACCTGGGCATTCTCATCTTCAGAGAACAGCTGACCAAGATATAGCAGCGTCTTGTGAACCTTCTTCTCATAACTATTCGGGACGACAGAGATGACCTGAGTGATCTCAGGAGCAACCTTGCTCTTGCCACCAATGGTGATCTCGGCTGGATCATGCAGTGCTTTGCGAGCCAAGGACTGCATGTTCTTTGGCATAGTTGCTGAGAAGAGGACAGTTTGACGATCAGGGCGTACATTCGCAAGAATCTTCATGACTTGAGGCTCAAAGCCCATATCGAACATACGATCAGCTTCATCAAGGACCACATAAGTGATACGTCGGAAAGAAAGCACTCTGCCTTGGTTGACGTTTGTCAGATCAATCATTCTGCCTGGAGTTGCACATAAGATATGGATGCCTCCACGCTTAATCATAGCGATTTGATCGGAGATGGGTTGACCGCCATAAGCACACTTGATCGTAACGCCAGATGCAGCGAGGAATGGTTTGAGCTCATTGACAATCTGGAGTGCCAGCTCTCGAGTTGGAGCGAGGATCAATCCAATGGGTCCATCAGTAGGTTTCAAAGGGCGTTGATCAAGGACATGACGAATCATAGGGATACCAAAGGCGAGTGTTTTTCCAGAACCAGTCTTGGCTACTCCGATAAGATCCCTACCAGAGAGGATTGTAGGCACACCTTGAGACTGGATACCCGTGGGCCTCTCATAGCCGATCTTAGTGAATACATCCATGGTAGCTTGCAGCAAGCCCATCTGGGCCCACTTGGTGACGGGACGGGGTACATCATCCGGCTTGACCTTGATACCATCAAGTTCGTGACGCAGATCGGCAACTTCTTCAGGTGTCATCTGTGCAACTTCGGAGGGTTCAGTGTAGAAGTTTTTCCTGAATGGCTCGTACTCAACTTTATCGTGGTTGACGGTAGGTACCTCCTTCTTCTTCTTCTTTGCAGCACGAAGGGCGAGAAGGTCTTCAGCCTCGACAGAGGTCTCGACAGGCTCAAGCTCGTCAGCAAACATAGCTTGACCCGAAGGAGCCCCACGGCTTGGTTGTGGCTCAGAGAGATCGGCCATGAAGGCATCGAGAGGGTCGATTTCATCTTCTTCGGCGCCTGCATTTTCGTCAACTTCCATCTTGTCGTCGGCGGGGGCTTCGACAGCAGATGCTTCTCCCATGGTTGCGTCTGCTTGGTTCTCGTTGGCGATCTCCGCACGACGCTTCTCAAGGCGAGCCTGGAGCTCGGCGTTGTTCTCTTCGTCGTCACTGCCGATTCCACTCATCTCGGAGTCGTGGTCATCGCCGTCAGCCTCAGGCTCGGGTTCGTCGTTGGTGGTAAACTCGGGGAGGGCCTGGAGCTTGCGCTTTTTGGTGGGGCCTTCCTCGTCGAGCAGGGCTTTTCTGGAAGTCTCCTCTTCGGTCTCAGCGGCAGTCTTAGTCTTGAGACCGAAAGCACCAATGTTACCATTAGCCTTAGCGACGGGGGGTTCTGCAAGGGTCAGCCTGTGGTTCGTAGCAGAGGATCCAGAGGAAGACTTACTACTAGCGGTGACAGTTTTTCCAGCAGGCTTGGCCATATCTAGTGGGCGTGCTGCGGCGGAAGCATCCAGCCTGAAGGTCGACTTCTCGGGCTGCTTCTGTTTGAGTTTCTCAGTAGCGCTCTTCTGTAGAACAGCTTTGGTCTTAGCGGTATCAAGCTTGGCTTCAGCCACTGGAGCCGGCGGAGGCGTCGCAGCAGCCGAGGGTGTTGCGGGCGCAGTAACAGCTGGCGAAGCACCAGAGCCAGGCGTATCCGTCTTCTCCTTGCCCAGACGTTCGGCGTTGAGCTTCTTCCACTCGGCCAGCTTCGCAGCGCGGTCAGCGAGCTTGTCCTTGACCTGTGTCTCGGGATCTTTCTTCCTCTCGTCGCGCGAGGAAGGCTCCAGTCGATCGCGCCTGTCGTCGCGCCTGTCATCACGCCTGTAACTGTCGGATCCAGGTGCCGGTGTGACAGAGGACCGAGAACCAGGCCGGCGAGAAGTGGAGCGGCGACGCCTGTCCCTGTCTCTGTCGCCATCGCGATCGCGCCTGTAGCTGTCTCCACGGTCTACACCACGGTCGCCACGGTCTCGAGATCGGTCGCGGCGACGAGGTGGTGGAGAGCGCGAACGTCGACGGTACGTGTCGCGGTCCCGCTCTCTCCGGTCTGGCTCCCTCCGGTCATCGCGGCGGTCCCGGCGGTCACGGTCGTCTCTAAATCGTCCCTCGCCATAGCGGTCTCCACGATCTCCGCGGTCGCGGTCACGGTCTCGGCGCGGGGAATGGCGTCTACGATCGTAATCAGTGTGGCGCGTCGCCATCTTGAGTCGGTGAAGTTACTGCTGTAATCAGTTTGGATGTGGCGTCCTCAAGCAGCAGATGCGGGCGGGTGCAATTGCGTGGGGTATAAGTGAGCTGCGGAGTTTGAAAGTTGTAACGAATAGGGTCCCCGAGCATGTTTCCTTGGCTGATGGTCGCCTGGCACGTGCGACGCGCTAAAACCGAAATCTTGGACGCTAGCGATAATTTTTGGGAAGTTGCGACAGTCCAAGGTGAACGTGACAAGTGAACATCAAACACCAGATATGTCTGTCAATCCGCGCAAGAGAAAGGTAGTTACGCGCCCGGCGCCCGAGCCAAGCGAATCGGAGGACGAGCTGGGTGACGGACTGCTGGAAGGCATCTTGTCGCATTCCGAGGACGACTCGGACGACAGCCAAGATGAAGATGCCGATACCGATGCCAGCAGTGTGATTGAGGGCCTGTCCGACGAAGATGAAGAAGAGGAGGAAGACAGCGACTCGGAGCAAATTCGTGAGGAAATGCGCAATCTGAACACCTCAGATGTTCCGCTGCGCAAGAAGAATGGAGTACCAACACATGAGATGGATCTGGACGCCTATGGCAATGCAACAGGAGAATTGGACGACGATGAAGATCTCAAGCCCAACTACACTGTCACAACGGACGCGCACGGCAATACTCGTTACATCTACAAGGAAATCGACCCAGTCTACGAGTCGGACGATTCTGACGCCGAAGCTACGAACACGATCGGCAACATCGACCTCAAGTACTACGATGAATACCCGCATATTGGCTACGATATCAATGGCAAGAAGATCATGCGCCCAGCAAAGGGCGAAGCACTGGACGCGCTGTTGGACAGCATCGACATACCGAAGGGTTGGACAGGCTTGACGGATCCTCAGACAGGAAAGCCGCTGAACCTGACGGACGAGGAGCTGCAGGTACTCAAGAAGCTCACAAGGAACGAGGTGGTCGAGGATGGATATGACCCATACCCAGAGATGGTCGCCTACTTCTCTGGCCACCAGGAGATTATGCCACTGAGCGCTGCACCAGAGCCTAAGCGACGATTCATTCCTTCCAAGCACGAGGCGAAGCGTGTCATGAAGCTCGTCAAGGCGATCAGAGAAGGCAGGATCCAGCCGTACAAGGCACCTGAGGAGCAGGAAGAGGAGCAGGACGTTTTCACTTTCGATGTATGGGCCGACGAGAAGCCACGACCAGACAACTCAATGCATATTCCTGCGCCTAAGCTGCCACCACCTGGCTACGAAGCGAGTTACCACCCACCGCCCGAGTATCTACCGGATAAGGCTGAGGAGCAGGCATGGCTGGAACAAGACGAGGAGGACCGAGAGACGGACTTCCTGCCCAAGGACTACGCTGCGTTGCGCAAGGTTCCTGGTTATGAGACATTCGTCAAGGAGCGATTTGAGCGAAGCTTGGATCTCTACCTGGCTCCTCGTATTCGAAGGAATCGACTGAATATCGACCCTGAATCACTTCTCCCCAAGCTACCTAACCCGGAGGAACTGAAGCCTTTCCCAACTACCTGCGCAGCGATATTCCGTGGACAAGAAGGACGCGTCCGTTGTGTATCGATCGATCCCAACGGTATCTTTGTTGCGAGCGGAGGTGACGATGGCTATGTGAGAATCTGGGAGATTTTGACAGGTCGCCAAGTCTGGAATGCAAAGCTGTCAGATGAAGAGGCCGTGGATGCCGTACAATGGAGACCTACCAAGGACGCCGCCGTAGTCGCTGCGGCTTGTGGCGAGAACGTCTACCTCATCGTACCTTTCACTCTTCTGTCACCCGACATTGAGCAGGCCAGTCGCGAAGTTCTCGACGCAGGTTGGGGTTACGCAACGTCGAAGCCGAAATCAAATGATGGTGAAGCACCCAAGCAAGCACCTGGCAAGTGGTCCCGTCCTGGAGCTCGCCTTGAAAACAAGGGCGTCCTGGTTCAAGTCGAAGTCCGATCAGCTGTCAAGATTATCAACTGGCACCGGAGAGGAGACTACTTCGCCACAGTATCGCCTCGGGGTCAAAGCACAGCAGTAGCCATTCACACCGTCTCAAAACATCTCACTCAACTTCCCTTCCGCCGCCTGAAGGGTATCGCTCAAACCGCACAGTTCCACCCTTCCAAGGCCATCTTCTTTGTTGCTACCCGTAACACCATCCGCAGCTACGATCTCGCCAAGCAGGAACTCGTTAAAATCTTGCAACCAGGTGCCAAGTGGATCTCCTCGATTGACGTACATCCTGGTGGTGACAACATCATCGTCGGAACATACGACAAGGTAAGTTCCGGTCACACCAAACTTTTAGTAAAGCATTCACTGACTTTCCATGCAGCGTCTCCTTTGGCACGATCTCGACCTCTCCAACAAGCCCTACAAGACTCTTCGTTTCCACAAGGAGGCTATCCGTGCAGTACGCTTCCATCAAGGTGGTCTACCTCTTTTTGCCGATACCTCCGACGACGGCACTATCCAAATTTTCCACGGAAAGGTTGTAGGCGACCTAATGGAGAACGCAACTATCGTACCCTTGAAGGTATTGCGAGGACACAAGGTCAAGAGCAGGTTGGGTGTTATGGGTCTGGACTGGCATCCCAGGGAGCCGTGGTGTGTATCGGCTGGTGCAGACGGAACATTGAGGTTATGGAGCTAGATGTGTAATATGCCTTTTCTACATGACTTGCATTTTGCATGGCGTTGGAGCAATTACGGAAAATGCAACAGATTCAATGCTTTTGTCCCCAATCTGTATCCTTGGACTACTTGTGATCTACGGGCAGTAACATATCATGTAATATCTAGTGTGCTGTCGACTGTGCTAGCTAGAAAAGACGAAACTTCAGCATATCGCTCATTGTGCCCAAATGGCTTATCATCTTTACAGCTTATGTAAAGATCCCTCAAATATGCACAGGCTTTGTTGTATTGTCCAAGCAGTTACATAGTTCAACTCATACCATCAAGCCTAGAGACCGGTTGGTGGTAACAAAAGCGGCTGTTGTTAACAACATGCAAGCAGACAGGCAAGGATCGAGCGCACAATATACATTGAACGTTTGGACATCCAAATATCGACCGTGCAAAAGATTACTAGATTTGTTAGCAAGGCCTGTGGCGGATTGTGGCCAGGAAAGGTATCTTTCGCAACATTGCGCTCGCCTGCCCAGGTGGCTCGTCATGCGAACATAACCACACCGCGATCAACACCTTGTCAAACTTGCCTAACACGGTAACTCGGCGCCGTAACCCCCGACCTACCAATTTGCCAACGACAAACATCAACTTCCCGCGAAGCCCAGGGTGCACGAATTTTTGACACAAGAAAAGGACTGTTCCGCTGGAGCGATGGTTGTAATTGAGATTATCTGGATATCCGGTGTTGGGAGTGATGAGGTTGGACAGTAGGGGTAAGACTTCTGGTGGACAGGTTATGGTTACAGCTTCTCCATACTCGGTTCCCGCGATACAACAGCATCTCAAGGGCAGAAGAGGAGTGGGATAGATTCTGTGACGCGCTGAAATTGTGCTGGCGGAGTATCCCCGGTGCTTTGATTAAAGCCCTTATATTGTCCATGCCACGCCGTATCAAAGCTTGTATAACCGCCAAAGGATGATATACAAGGTATTAGCTATCGACAATAAAATCCTGCTTTTCAAACATTGAAAAAGATGCAGTTTTGGGTGAGTTATCACAAAAAAAAGCATTGCCCAAAATGGTGTTGCGGCGGACCGGCAGCTTGGCGCGCAAAACTTTTGACACAGTACTGCACAACCATCAACGGTTCTAGCGAAAACTGCCGAATCCGGTATATCCAGACTACCAGCCAGTGCGCCACCTACTGCATGTGAAGCACTTCGCTACTACGGTGCAAGGGCTGGTTCTCATCGGCTATGCAGAAATCAGGTTTCTGCTAGCATTGGGTAAGTTTGTACGCGATTACATGAGGATGATTCTTGTTTTGGTTCCCATTCTCTCTTAATACAGGTTCAACCATATCATGATATGCTATGCACGCTAAGACTGCCAACATCCCGTCACTTGCCACTTACATATACACATCTTCCCTACAAAATCTTCAAAGAAAAAAGGTCGGCCATCAAACGCTAGAAGGGTATCTATGAGCGTGCCTCAGCAACGCTCTCTAATGCATCCATCAAACAACCACCTACAACTCCATAATCTCCTGCGCCTCTTCCGATGCTTCTGATGATGACAATCCCGCGTTGAACAATTGCTTGATTTCGTGAGGATCCATGGTGCCCACGAATGCTCGCTTAACGAAAGTGAACCATTCCCTTGACGCCTTGTGTTTCTTATGATGCTTTCCTTTCTTCCCCTTCTTATGCTTGTGCTTCTTTCCCTTCGTCGCATTGAGCTCGTCGTCTTCGTCTTCATCCGTCTCAAAATCTTCATCTCCGACCATGTCTGCTACTTCCTCTTCTTCAACTTGAGCACTTTTCGATGCAGATGATCCAATCTTCCTGGCATACTCCACCCACCGCCTTACTGTGAGATCGGCAAACCCCCTGTCCTTTTTCGTGTCGTACTCAATCTCGAATACAAACTCGTTGGGATGTGGCTCTGGCCGAGGTTGCTTGCCCTGGTGTTTTTTGTGCTTGCCTTCGTTCCACTTCTTGTTCTCCAGCTTGCCATCCGGGCTGACCGCAAAACCGAAAATGGTACTTGCGGAGTCTTCATTTATCGAACTCTTGGAGGCGGCAGTTTCGGCAATCTCCGGCGGAGGCTCGAGAAAGTCGTTGTTGATGTGCGTGAGGTTTGCAAAATATTGAACATGTCGCGTCCATGTTAGAGTCTGCGGCGAGTATGCTGGACCAGGCGGGGCAGATTTCGAGGGACCGTCTGGAACCTTGAATTTGTACTTTCGTTGCTTCTTCTTGTCTTTCCTGCCTTTGTGCTTCCTCTTTCGCGCAGTCTCAACGTCTCGTAAGTAATCTTCGTCGTCGTCGAAATCGGTGGCGGTGATCGGCAGTTGCTCAACGGGTGTATCGATCATTGGTAGACTGATGGGGCTAGAGGCTACGTTGAGGTGTTCCAGGCCAGTGATATTGTACTCGATGATGCGAAGGGTGGGGAAGTAGTTCGGTACTACGCTGGGTGCGACGTGTGTTACCGCATAGCGTTCAGCGTATCTTCCACCAATCTTCTCCAGATACTTCTTCCTCTCTTCCTTCCGATCTTTCGAGGATTTCCCAAACATGGATACGAGCCATGCCCATACCGAATCTCCGTCCTCCCCTTCATCGACATTCTTCGACCGCGACTTCTTGTTCGACTTCGCTGGGGGCGCAGGTAGCTGAGCCCAAGCTTCTCTTAGATTAAGTAAGTAGTCGGACGCAGACGCCACTGTTACTTCTCCGTCTTCAAGAAGATTGATATCGTTGGCTAGCGAAGGCCTGCTTTTGATTGCTCCCATTTTTCCATTTTCTGTATCCTTTTCGATATGTTCGAAATCCTGTAGCATGAAGTGATCGATATTCATGTGCCCATAGAGGCTTCCTACGATGACGTCCCGGAACTGTCGCCCGAAGAGTGCGTACTTTTGCCAGCATGTCTCGTCCCAACTTTCTTTGCTGTCGACTCGAGCGGGTGGTACATGGCCGATGAGTATAGCCTTCATGCCGCGATCTCGCAGGATTTGAAGCTGAATGCGCAGCCATTCCATGTGTTCGTACCCGGGTTCGTGTTTCTTTGCGCAGCCGTCAACAGCCGAGTTGGAGGTGAAGAAGTATCTGCGCAAGTCAGTCTCTTCCCAGAGATATGATTTCTTTTGCCACTTACATGGTGTTCAAGCTGATAACAGCCAGCTTTCCTGGAATCACCTCGACTGAAAACCATCCTCCTTGCTGGAACTGATGTCTTTGCGCCTCAGGTATGAAGCCCCGCCATATGTCGAGATACTTGATGGTCCATCTGTTTGGGCCGGGTGTGAAAATATTGTGTGGCATGATATCGTTGTTTCCCCAAGTCGGTACTATGGGTATCTCGAAGCTGTTGGGGCCATGGCCCTGGCCGCTCAGTCCAAAAACTTCAGCGAATTTGGAGACCATGTACTCGTTCTGCTCGATGACCTGCTTCTGCGTCCGTGGTATGTCCTCGTCATTGTCGTGTCGCGCCGAGTCGCCGGTCCATATTATGAAGTCTATATCGTCTTTTAAGTTGTCTTCTATCCATTTGAACGTCTGGTTGACGAGCGCGAAGGGGGAGTCGCAGCCGGTGGTTTCTGCGCCGTAAAGGCCAGCGGGTCCATGTCTGCGATGGCACGCTGCGTCGGATTCTGTGCTGGAATATGTCTTGTAGAATGGGTCAGGATGAAAGTCTGCATCATGACGTTAGTCGCGACTCTGCCCTGACGATCAGATAAGACGTACCTGTAATATGGAGGAACCTGCCCGCAAGCTTTCGTCGACTATCCGCGTCTATGGATCCAGAACCCGCATCGCGGCTGTTTTCTGCAGCACCTGCCGCGTTAGGCGGGGCCGCTGTCGCGTGTGCCCAGAAGAGCAGCCCGCATAAACATGCGTCCCGTACGCGCAGCATGTCTATCATGGTGAAGAGTCAAGACAAGGCATTTCCGAGCAACTCTGGGGGTGTCGTGCGACTGTATATCCAGGAATACTATGTAGAAGCGCCGCCGCCGAAGACAGGATACCCTGATGGCCCGTCGGGGAAGGAAGGCGCAACAGGGAGCCACCGCTGGAGCACGATCCTTCAGCAACCCTTGTCATTGGTGCGTCATTGCCCGCGCACTAGCACATCTCCCACACATTCCCCAGCAAGAGGCATACACATGCCCTTCCCCACAGCCACACATGTCTCGCTAGTACTACGCGTCCGTTGATCGTGTGATGTTCAAGTGCCCGACATTCGTCGCCTCGAATTTGCTCAGTGTCAGTTGCTCAATATGCCGCAACCACCACCCCAACTATCACTCACCGCTTGGCTTCCAAGCCACGTGTGGGCCGTCGAATACTCTAGACAACCAAGAATCCAACCCGGAAGGCGGTAGATCTTGAAGATTGGGCAGCAGATGACTCGCGTGATCACATTTCATCCTTCACGTAAGCCAAGGCTGCAGTCGAAAATAATACCTCACCATCAGCGTGCAGTAACTTCACATCACGCAGTGAGCCGAGAGGGTGGTGTGTGTAGTTCATTGCATATTGCAGACCTGCAGGTGCTGAATCTACATGTTGCTAAAGATGAATTCTCTCTTTGCAGAAAGACCTTCCCTTCTTGAAATATCATGTGCACTATCCCAAGTGCTTCCGATGCTTGTTCAACAACCTGTACGCTAGTTTTTATTTGCGCCGCCCAGCGAAAATCATAACCCCCGGGACGCGCCCTAACTAGGCAGTCCATGCAATACAGTGAGAAAGACGAAGAATCAAACAGTGCCCGTAACTAGCCATATCTTGAGTAGTCAACCGAGCCGAACACCTACGCTATGCTGCAAATATACATGACGGTGTGTGCCGCCGTAGAAATCGAAAACGCCCGTATGCCGATGATATGAGTTATGAATGATGTATAGGCATACTATGCATCCGTACAGGAATGGATCCTCAAGCGCCGTTCTTTTGTCCGTTTGTTGGAGTCGCGCTCGCCGCTGGCTTCTCTTGGCTCAGCATCTTGTTGTACATGCCCTTGACAGCCGCGACAGTGACACCAGGCCGAGGCCAATGGTGGTTGATGGTGTAGTTCCTGTCATTAGTTAGCGTGTGTGTGTGTGTAGAACATCGTTATGCATGCTTACCATAGACGATCCTCGAGCTCCACATTATCCCGAGTCTCTGCGCGGATGAAGTTGCCGATAGCGATCAACTCAATCTTAAGGACCTTGACCATGGTCTCCTTCTGCGGGTAGTTCTTTGGTGTCGCCTTTTTAAGGCGGCCCAGATTGTCGCGCACAGGTCGAAGCTTCCGCTCAAGGAAATCATCCGGCTTCTTCTCCTTAGGCTTGGGCGTCTCCACACTGCGGTCGGGTACTTGGCTCTGACTATGAGAGCGTGGACGGTCTTCAGAAAGGCGTGGTCGCTGTCTATCCACATCGCCGTTCGACTTCTTACGGTTTTCTGGCGTACCATTGCGATCAGACGTCTGCGCACGACGATCAATGCTGCCGCGGTCGTTGCGATGTTCCTTGCGGTGGGCATCAGATGGCCTGTATTGGTCGCTGTGCCTAGGGCGATCATCTCGGCTCCGATCGTGATGGCGACCTTCAGTCCGACTGTCAGGACGACGGATCTCGCTACCGCTATGGGCGCGATGCGTTGGACGCTCTGAATCCCGTCCTTGCACCTTGCGTGCTAGGCCAGCTGGAGCAGGACTAGCAGAGACACCCTTATCTGCCCGACGCGCGATATTCAACTGATGCTTCTTGTTGTTGCGGTGATGGTTTTCCATCAAGCGCTTGACATTGGGGTCCGACGTGCTCTTGTCTTTGAGAACAGTAAGCAAATAGTTCGCGCGACGAACCAGATGCACAGCACCAGGGGACTTGGCATTCTTCTCGTCAGCCTTGGTCCGCTCTTCCTTCTTGTCGACACGGTGCTCCTCGAGGTAGAACTTGTCCGTCAATCCAAGATCTGGATCGTCACGAATGGGGATCCACGCGCCGTAGCCGTGGCGTTGGATGCCGATACAAAGCATACCGTCTTCACGTGCACCCCAGGGACAAGAGTAGCTTGCAGGCTTGATAGCGTCCGGTACACGGAAGTTGCGCCACTCTGATGTTGCCTCAACCGCTTCCTTCAGGACGCGCATCTCGATAGGTCGCTCCAGGATGGTCTCTGCGTTGACCTTTTTGACGTTACCGAAGTCGAAAAGGACAGCTTTCTTGTCCTTCTTCGTAATCGGGCGCTTGGTCTCAGCCTCCAAGTTCTTGAGCCTAGTCTGCTCGTCCTTAACGAGCTGCGTGCTCATGGCAATGATCTCATCGAGCGTAGCTTTGACGACACCCATGTCACGACCGACAAGCCTTGCCGCGCGAAGCATCTCCTCGCCACGCTCATCGAGCGAACCATACCGGCAGTATGCGCCGATAAGGTTACGAGCCTCCTTCGTGTTAAGAGGACGCTTAGGGTCACGCTTGACGCTATCGTCTTGCTCGGATTGCTCATCATCATCGGCATCGACTTGAGAAGCCTCCAGTGCTCGCTTCTTTGCAGCTCGCTGTTCTCGTGCGCTTGCTGAGGCTGCTTTGCGCTTCCGTGGAGCATTCTCCTCAAGCAGCTTCTGAGTCTCCTCTTCATCTTTCCGCTGCTGGATGTCAGCCTTGACTGCCTCCAACTCTTCTTTTGGAATGATGTCGTCCCATTCGAGATCGATCTTGACATCAGTGTACTCAAAGTTCCTGAGGAACTCTTCACCACCATCAGATGTAAGACCAGCAGCCTGCTCGGTCTTGTGTTCTTCAGCATTCTCCAAGACTGAGTCAATGTCGAGCTCCTCTAGCTTCTTCTGATTGCCAGATTGCTCGAACATCTTCTGTCCACGGCGCTTGAGAATGTTGTTGATGTCGTCGGCGGACGTGGGCTCTGCTGCAGCACGACTCATCTTGTCGTTGAGCTCCTTTTGCTGACGATCGGTCACACCACGCTGGATTGTGATGAACTCAAGCATGCGCTTGTTGCGAGCGCGCTCCAGAATCTCCTCTTCGATGGTATCTTTCGAGACAAGACGATAGACACTGACAGGCTTCTGTTGACCGATACGATGAGCTCGAGCCATGGCTTGCAGATCTGCCTGAGGGTTCCAATCGGAATCGAAGATGACGACGGTATCAGCAGTCATCAAGTTGATACCGAGACCACCCGCCCTAGTCGATAGCAGGAAGCAGTAGTCCTCGCTGCCGGGAGAGTTGAAGTGATCGATAGCGATCTTCCTCTCTGCCGCTGGGACTGTGCCATCTAGACGCTGGAAGGGGTAGTTGCGCAGCTTGAGGTAGTCGGTCAAGATGTCCAACATGTGCACCATCTGACTGAAAATGAGCACGCGGTGACCGTCGGCCTTGAGCTTTCCGAGGAGTCGATCCAACAGCATCATTTTACCACTGGAGGTAATGAGGGCCTTCAGGGTCTCCTCTTTTGACGCACCAGGCTTGACGAGCTTGTTTTCGGCGTTGGGGAAAAGCAGAGCATGGTTACTAGCCTTCTTCAGCTCCATGACAATGTTCAATAGAGACTGCTTATGGCCCACACCACCCTCATTGAGAGCCTCGTAGTTGCGGGTGAGGATGTTCTTGTAGTACTCCAGCTGAATGTCAGACAGTTCAACTCGAAGGATCTTCTCAGACTTAGGAGGTAGGTCGTTCTCCACCTTCTCCTTGGTGCGGCGAATCATATAAGGCTGAATGGCTGAGCTGAGTTCGGCAAGCTTCTGGCTGGCATCTTCCGAGGCGAGATCAACGTTCTCGTCAACGGTGATCTTTCCTGGCATAAGAAAATCCATGAGGGCAGCCAGCTCACCCAGCGTATTCTGGATGGGAGTACCAGTGATGAGAAGTCGACATGGTGCCTTGAACTGTCGCAGTCTATCGTACAGCTGTGACTCGCGGTTCTTCAATCGGTGAGCCTCATCGACGGCAAGGAACTGCCAACTGATGCTCTGCAAGAATTGCCAGTCCGCAAGAACGTACTCGTACGTCGTCAACAGTACGTTGAACTTGATCTTCTTAGTGTTGCCGTCGACCAACAGCTCCTTGTCCCGAATGATGCTGCGGGCCTCTTCTCTACCGGTGTAGATGACATAGTTAACATCGGGTGTCCAGTTGTTGAAGGTGTCCGCCCAGGCAGGCATAGTCGATAGTGGCACAACGCAGATCATGGGGCCGTCTTGCCTCCTATCATGCCTCAGCCAGTTGATGAAAGACACCGTCTGCACTGTCTTTCCCAGACCCATCTCATCGGCAAGGATGACATTTGTGCCTCGACACCAGTTGTGCGCAAGGAAGTTGACACCCTGAAGTTGGAAGGACCTCAGTTGACCATACTTGATGTAGTCAGGTTGCGTGTCCAACTTGACAAACTTCCTGCGAGTATTCGGATTCGCCTCGCGGGCGTCGGAGGAGGGTCGGTTCGACGAGCGGTCAAGGAATCGATCGATCTCGGACTGCGACAAGCGGCTGACCAGCGACGCAGGTTCCCATGTGCAGAACTCGTATGTCAATCCCTTCCACTTGACAAAGTATTCGAGCTCATCCTCGCCGTCTCGTGAGTCAATGACACGCTCTACGACGTGGAAGTCGAGCTGGCTCTCGCGCTCAGCTTCGCGTGCGACCATGTGTTGCTCGTACTCTTCTGGGTCGGCGTTCTTGCGGCTGTAGACATACATGTCGTTCTGGACAGGGCCCTTGTAGTAATTGTCCAACTTGCGGTAGCCCTTGTATGATGCAGCCGTCTTGTAGTCTTCCCATGTAGAGTGGTAGTGTGCCTTGTCTTGCCATTTGACCAAGTATTCGAAGTCGCGCTTGTCGAAGGAAGGGTCCATTTCTGCCATCAGTTAGCACAAGACGGCATGAAAGATCGATAGCTCGCCTTACCTAATCCATCCTTCGGTCGATGGTCAAGGATCTTGTCAATGACGGGGCCAGTATCCTCTGGCGCGGTCGCCCAGTAGTTGGGTGTCATATCGTCATCATCCTCCACGAACTCGTCCTCGTCTTCTTCCTCGTTGTAGTTCGCAACCTGTGCACTACGGCGTACAGAGAAGCGGACCTCGGCTTGGGATGGAGGCTCGCGGCCCGCAGCAACGGCTTGCTGACGTTGGCGTTGCTTCTTGGTTGGGATATTGCGACGAGCACCCACGTAGCCATCCGACTCGGAATCGGAGTTGGCTGAGCGGTAGACTGGTGTGGGTACGTTCGAGGCTAGGTAGGCGGATTAGTACGATTTCAGATGGACAGGATGGGGCAGACAAACTCTTGCGCGAGGCTGTCCTCTGTCGCTTGCGGGGCTGATCAGAGCTGTAGTCCTCATCGTCTTCGTCATCACTATCCATCTAAAGAGAGTTAATAATAGCTTCTTCTGTCATCTAAGAGTCACTTACGATGCGACGACTAGGGCGGGCACGACCCTGAACTGCGGTTAGCTCATGTGCATAGAGAAGAGACTGGAGGTGCCACGTACGCTGCGACGCAGGCCATAGAGCTCCGGGTTCTGTTCTATATAGTCTTCCTTCTCGTCGCTTGCCTTGCGCTTGCGCGGTCGAGTTGACTCTTGTGATGAACTCCGGGCGCGGTCGCTCTCTTCCTGCGCAGACGGCGGTGACTCAGAGTCGTAATCGCCGTCTGGCTCGCCCTCGGCATCGACATCGTCGGACGAGTCTGAAGCAGCAGCCACTTCGTCGTCTTCGTCGTATTCCTCTCCTGGCGCGTCGACATCGAAGGCTTGGTCAACTGCGGCGGCCTCTTGTGAGTCGGACTGCTCGCTATCGCTGTGGTGGGAAGAGCTATCGGCGGTCGCCGTATGGGCTGCGAGAGGCGACAAATGACCGTTTGTGTATGGTACCGAGGCGACATGGCCCGGTGAAGAGGGCATCATGATGGACGTGGCTGTGGTTGATGGTCAGCACGATATTTCAACCTTCTGTGGGCTCCAGCGGCTCAGAGCGGGTGCGTTGGATAGAGCAGAACTACGCGATCCAGAATAGCCAGAAAGCGACCAAGAACCAGGGTGAAGACTTGTGCAATGGAAGTCTGATGGAATGCGGTGCTGGTGGATGAGCGCTTGATGGAAGAAGGGCGGTGGAGTCGCGTGAGCCGGTGGGTGCGCGGACTGAGTATGTAAGGCGATAGGGAGCTTTTATATACGCTCTTTGCGCAGCGACGGACCGTGTTCTACGTGAAAGGCAAGTTGCTGGATGCGTGGGCGTGATCTGGCGATGGGATTGATGGACACGGACAAGGCCGACAGCAGGCAACTCCGGCAGGTTCGCGGGTGAAAGTTACGCGACAACAGACTCAAAAAGGGAATATACGTACAGTCCATGTCCAAGACACCCTCGAAATGGGTAGTGGGGGTTGGTGGTCTTGGGGGTGAGGTATAGGCTAGGTAGGGTCGTGATCTCTGGAGCGCGGAGGTTCCTTACAGCGTTCAGCGCTAGCCCCGATTTCAGCCTTGCCCTTTGTATACGGCGAATCAGAAGCCAGCGAGTAAGCGCACCTAAAGGCCGACAACGTCAGTGTCCACACTTCTTTCACGTTGTTTCTTTCTACTCTGTGCAGTCGTCAGGGATACCTCCTTCATTCTCCGCCTCCAGACTCCGAGCGCGCCTCTACAGCCGTGACTCTCGCCGAGTCCACGCACGCACTGCTTAGCCGCCAACTTCTTCACAGTTTGCGACTCCCAGGCAATCCACACCAGCAATCGCCAGAACAACAAAGCCGCCGCCAACATGTCTGACAAGCTCACCCGGTATGCCACATGCCTTTGTACACCTTTCCCATGCCTATTTGCTAACACAGTCCAGTATTGCCATTGTCAACTCGGACAAGGTACCCCACTACCCCTCCACACACAAAAATTGATCCCCGACTAACACGAGCATCTTCGCCATGACAGTGCAAGCCCAAGGCAAGTGCATCCCCCCTTTGCGCCTTGCCTATCCTAACACATCGCAGAAATGCCGACAAGAATGCAAAAAGTCGTGCCCAGTCGTCCGCACGGGCAAACTGTGTATCGAAGTCGACTCGTCCTCCAAGATCGCCTTCATTTCTGAGCGCCTCTGTATCGGATGCGGTATCTGCCCAAAGAAATGCCCTTTCGACGCCATCAACATCATCAACTTGCCCACCAACCTCGAGACCCAGGTCACCCATCGATACTCGGCCAACAGCTTCAAGCTGCACAGGCTGCCTATGCCCCGTCCGGGCCAGGTCCTGGGTCTGGTTGGAACAAACGGTATTGGCAAGAGCACAGCGCTGAAGATCCTCAGTGGCAAGCTTAAGCCTAACCTTGGTCGCTACGACAACCCGCCGGACTGGGAGGAGATCCTAAAGTACTTCCGTGGTTCTGAACTTCAGAGTAAGAGAAACAAATTTTTGGTCAGAGGACTAACTCGCTAACGGCGCGCAGACTACTTCACAAAGGTTCTAGAAGACAACCTCAAGGCTGTCGTCAAGCCCCAGTATGTCGACCAACTTCCAAGGGCCATCAAGTCGACCGACCGCTCCGTCGGCAAGCTCATTGGAGCCCGCTCGCAGATGGATAACCTCGACGAGATGATTGACGAGTTGGAGCTGCGCCACATTTTCGACCGCGACATCGGACAACTGTCTGGTGGAGAGTTGCAGCGTTTCGCCATTGCCCTCGTCTGTGTCCAGCAGGCCGACGTATACATGTTCGACGAGCCGTCATCTTTCCTCGATGTCAAGCAGCGTCTCGCAGCTGCCCGCAAGATCCGCAGTCTGCTCCGCCCCGACGACTACGTCATCGTCGTCGAGCACGATTTGTCCGTGTTGGATTATCTCTCCGACTTCATTTGTGTCCTTTACGGAAAGCCTGCTGTCTACGGTGTTGTCACCCTGCCTGCATCCGTCCGTGAAGGTATCAACATCTTCCTGGATGGCAACATCCCTACCGAGAACTTGCGTTTCCGTGAGGAATCGCTGCAGTTCCGTATCGCGGAAGCCGGCGACGAATACATGGTGGACCACAACCGTGGCTACAGCTATCCCAGCATGAAGAAGACCCTCGGAAGCTTTGAACTCAACATCGAAACCGGTTCCTTTACTGACTCCGAGATCATTGTCATGATGGGTGAGAATGGTACTGGAAAGACCACTTTCTGTAAGATGCTCGCTGGTGCTCTTCAACCTGACGGCGATATCAAGGTTCCCAAGATGAGCATAAGCATGAAGCCCCAAACCATCACTCCCAAGTTCCAGGGTACCGTTCGCCAACTCTTCTTCAAGAAGATCAAGGCCGCTTTCCTGAGCCCTCAGTTCCAGACTGATGTCTACAAGCCGCTCAAGATGGACGACTTCATCGACCAGGAAGTGCAGAACCTCTCTGGTGGTGAATTGCAGCGTGTCGCCATCGTCTTGGCCCTCGGTATCCCAGCTGATATTTACCTTATCGACGAACCCAGTGCCTACCTTGACTCCGAGCAACGTATTGTTGCGTCACGTGTCATCAAGCGCTTCATCATGCACGCCAAGAAGACTGCCTTCGTCGTCGAGCACGATTTCATCATGGCCACCTACCTCGCTGATCGTGTCATTGTCTTTGACGGCCAGCCTGCTGTCAACGCTCGCGCCAACAAGCCTGAGTCTCTTCTCACTGGTTGCAATACCTTCTTGAAGAACCTGGACGTCACCTTCCGCCGTGACCCCAACTCTTTCCGTCCCCGTATCAACAAGGACAAGTCTCAGCTTGACCAAGAGCAGAAGCTGAGCGGAAACTACTTCTTCCTTGAGGATGATAGTTGAAAAGGTTCTTGAGAAATGGAACACGCCTCCCTCCCAGCGGCGCCCGCGAGGGCACGTCAAGACCGGGATGACTAAAAAGGGCAACAAGAAGCGTGGCTTGAGAGGATGCGCTGTGAGCCTGCTAGATGATGAGGAGGGGGCGGACGAAGAACTTGAGGAAGATCGCTGCCTTCTCATCGGCGGTCGACCTCCTGCGCTGGTCATCTCGAATAGTGCGTAATATCGACAAGGAAACGCACTATGTCAGCCAGCCCGGGTCAAGTTAGGTGACCGCCGAATATTTGGAGGATGTTGCAACACGTCTGTTGCAGATGACAGATTTCGAAACGTTTTAAGCCGAAAATTCATCTAGTCATTAATTTCACCAACGCGATAGAGAGCATACAATGACAGTACAGATGATGTTCTCCGCCACAAATGATTCGTCGTCTCTCCTTCAATACCATCTCGTGATACCCAGCAAACTTCGTATACTCTTTTCTCGTCAACTTCATTATTTAAGATAGGTATCAAGGATTTACATATATTTACTCACGAATTGCATCTCGCAAAGATTAGCTTGGGTAGAGTAGTACTCACGTCGGTGGACAGATCATGTCACGAACGCCCTATCGTGTTCCGGACGCCCTAACATGTTCCGAACGCCCTGTGGATTTCACGCTAGCACAGAGAGATATCAGGTCCGGCGAATCTAGTGCTGTTTACAAACTTCACAAAACAATACTGAACGACAGATAACTCTAATCAGTCACACTTTGCACTATGATTACTGCTCCATATGCTGATTCAATGGAAAGTTCGCCTCCACGATCAGGTGCTGTCAATGAGTCGGATATGGAACTCCGTGCCAACAATCGAGACCTTGATGAGATGCGTGCAACGGAACCAGAATTCTCGCTACCTCCCGTCGACGGTGGAATGGCTGCATGGCTTTTTCTGTTCTCAGCCTTTGTTCTGGAGATTCTTGTCTGGGGTAGATCTTTCCGTTTCTGTTCACATGTAATTAAACCAACGCTCATCCTAACTGACGCTTTGCAGGCTTCCCTTTCGCTTTCGGTATATTCCAAGAATACTACACCTCGAACCCACCATTCGCCGGCTCCCGGAACATACCTATTGTCGGGACTTGCGCAATGGGCCTAATGTACCTTCTGTCGCCACTCATCTCCGGTTTCTTCGCGTGGTATCCTAATACTCGACGTCGATGCATCATCATCGGGCTGATCATCATGTGTCTTTCTCTGGGACTCAGCTCGCTGAGCCAGACCGTTCCGCATCTAATTGCTAGCCAGGGAGTTTTCTATGCAATTGGAGGTGCGCTGTGCTATGTTCCAGTGGTTGCATTCATGGAACAATGGTTCGTGAAAAGGAAGGGCTTGGCTTTTGGAATTATGTGGGTATGTCTACACCTACGAACCTCTTTCGCATCCTGGCTTTTCCTAGGTAAATATTCTTGTAGCTTTTCTCTGTCGACTGACTCTGTGACAGGCTGGCACTGGTATCGGAGGCATCATAATTCCCCTACTACTGCAATACCTCCTTGGTAGATACGGCTTCCGCACCACCCTTCGTATCTGGGCAGCTGTTCTTTTCGCAGCCACCATCCCCTTGACTCTATATCTCAAGCCGCGCCTTCCCATTTCGCAAGCCACCAAGCACCGGAAGTTTAACTTGAGGTTCCTCCGAAACAAATCGTTCCTCCTTTTTCAACTCGGCAACGTTCTTGAGGGCTTCGGCTACTTCGTCCCCTCTATCTACCTCCCCACCTACGCTAGAACTCTCGGCGCATCGAGCCCCGTGGCTGCCCTGACCCTCATCATGATCAATGTGGCCTCTTTCTTTGGTTGCATTGTCATGGGTGGAATCGTGGACCGCTGGCATATTACGACATGCATCTTCTTGTCGACTATTGGATCCACACTCTCTGTTTTCCTTCTTTGGGGGTTTTCTACCAATCTACCTCTTCTCCTCGTCTTTTGTGCTGTATATGGTTTATTTGCAGGGAGCTATTCAACGGTGTATCCAGGCATTATGAAACTCCTGGAAGGCAACGAGCAGGGCACCGACTCAATGATGGTGTTCTCGGTGCTTGCAGCTGGTAGGGGTATTGGAAATGTTGCTTGTGGGCCGATGAGTGAGGCGTTGTTCCGAATGGGGGACGTCGGAGGCAGTGGGTTGTATGCCAGTGAGTATGGGCCGCTTGTACTACTCACTGGTATCAGCGCTGCATTGGGTGGCGTGAGCTGCTTTGGGAGGGTTGTAGGGTGGTTTTGAGTTCTGATCTGTAATGGTCTTGCATGTCCCGATGACCGTGCTAATGCAAATAACTCAAAGCAGTCATGAATTTCCCGCGATGTATGTCCAGGGCAGCAAATGTTTTGGTCAATCGCTCTGGACGTTTGTCTGGAACCCATATTTGCTGCCATCAACATGGAATCCCTACTTGCCTCTTGAAAGGCTCTAGCCACTCAACAAAATCTGCAGGCGTTTGATTCCATGCATCCCCTCCATTGTAGAGTAACCACCTAGCCTGATGCTGTATTTCTGCATCCGAAGGTATATGGGAGTTTGGGTTCTCCGTGCACATGGTAGCTGCCACCCAGCGCTTCAAGTTTGCCACAAATCCACGATAAAAGTTCGCATCCTCTATGTGGTAATTGGCCAGGCCCTGCAATTCGGATGCTTCAGTCAAGGGTGCTGGCACGGCAGGCATATGATCTGCTTGGATTAGATCTACTGCAGACGGGTCGACCTCATACTCTGTCGACAAGAACACTGGAGGCGATGGTGAAGAGGTTGGTAACCATGGAAAACTCTCGCTCGAACCCGATCCTAGGCTCAACCCAGACACCAAATGGTTTGTTACATCCTTTGCAGATATGCCATTCCGCTCCTTGAATTTGGAAAGCCAATCTGCGTTGGAGCGCACAAGTGTGATAATCCAACTTGTGAAGCTCTCAGATGAAGTGAGTGAGTCTTCCTCCTTGCGCCGGATGATTTCACAAGCCTCGTTTTGGATGTGCACATCGTGTACGTGAACATCCATTAGCCTCTCAAATTCGACGAATATCCGGAGTTGCGATTCGAATTGGCATTTTTTGAATAGATAATGCTGGCCATGAATCTTTAAAAAGGAGATTTCACCATCATTTGATAGCTCCATCGATCCAGATCTTGCTTCTCTGATCAGATCTTCTGACGACATGATCAAATCGCGAAGCCAAGAGTCGCCTTTTGTTAATGCCGAAGTCGAAATGTCCTCTCCACCCTTGTGTTCGCATGCGATGATGATGCGGCATGCTTCCAGTTGCATTGCGTTATGTGTCGGCAACATGCCTGTTCTGGTATAGCAGTCATGCGTAAAGATTTCCATCTCGGATTTGATAAGCTCATATGCGTCGATAGGTAAGCCGTGTAAGGCATTACTGGCCTTGATCGGAAATGGTAATTGACGCTCGAGATGAATGAAATCTAACATGGTACAATCAGTTCTCATAAACGTTAGCAAGACTGGAGGGCGCAGAACTCACAAGGCGGCAGGGAGTTCTCAACCCATTTCAGAACCTCATCATCAAATCCCCATTCGCCTTGCCATTCTGCCATCGTAGAGCCTGACTTGAAATGCTCAGCCAGATGGTCGATTCGCTCTCCCCAGGAAGTCATCCATGTATTGCAGAATCCACATCGTGATCGTACATCAAGCTTGCATATCTTCCAGTGTTTCATAGACCAGTCTTCGTATTTAGCCCCATGAACGAGTTTTAAGTGTTGCGTAAGGTGGTCCTTGCGGAGAAATGTTCGTTCCTTCAAGTCACGTCCGCTACACAACAAATGATTGTGCGATTGCATGTGCGCATCATCGGGCGACATCTGCCCACAGAATGTACAGAATAGTCCTGCAACGCCAGGTTTTGTCGCAAGTGGGGAATCTGATCCACAGACCCATTGCTCGAGAGCTAGGTGCAGCGACTTCTCATGACGCTGCCAGTCATGCTTTGTCTTGAACGTGTCGGTGCAAAACGTGCATTGATATGGTAACTCCACAGCTTGGAAAGAGCTGACTTCTGCCCTTGGACGGCGGCGTTTTCGTCTTGAGATGCGCGTACTTCTATGAGAGGATTGGGATCCCGAATCGGACGTTCCGGCACTGCTTGCAGAGGACATATAGTAGGGAGATGACCAGACATCGTTTTCGTTGGGGCCAGGGCTTTGGAGATCGTAATGGGCTAGAGAACGATGTCAGCAATAACCAGAAAAATGTGTAGTAGCGTAGTAAACATACATGCAGAAGCTCCTGACCCTGACGCTATCGCTTGCGCGATACATCTCATGGCCGCACCCTCTTCTTCTGGCGGGGAATCAACCCACCGTTGCAGCGGATCCTTGAACTTTGTTCTTTCTCTTAATGCTGGAGTCCCAGGTCGAGGGAGGATGTCGATAGGATCCGTCCCCGAACCACGTACCTGTGGAGAAGCCGGTCTCACGTATCGCATACGACCCCTCCGTCTGCTATTCGCGAACCAGTTGGTAATTTGCTTCCGATTCAACCCAGTCTGGCTTTGCAAGAAACTGATGTCATCGTCGTTTGGGTATGGGTCCTGCTTATGATGCACAAGCCAATTGTTCAGAATGCGAAGTACGTTTCTGGAGAAACGAGCACCAAGCTTAGGCGCAACGGTTGGCATAGGTGTACCTGTCTGAGATTGCAAAGTGTCTCTCCACTCATCTCCAAAGATAAGAGAATCATTGCGATCCGAGATCATTGGGCCTTCGTCCGTAGACTTGTTGGTCGGCCAGACGAGACCCTGTCGAACTCAGAGTGAGAAGGCGAATATGCAAAGAAAGGAAGAACCATCAAGTCGTAGAATCGTTGAAGGCCTGAGTATATGTCAGGATCGTCTGTGGTTTGATCCAAAGCATGGAGCAGAAGTGACCAGCGACGGAGGATCGTAGGAGTCAAGACTACGGATAGCCGCTAACTCGAAAACAGAATAGTGCATGTCATATACGCCTTTCGACCTTTCCGCAATGATCTAAGTCTCATTCACTAATTTGATGGAGAGGAAACAAGTACGGCCACCGGATGTTCAGGACATTGAGGCATTGAGCTGGAAGGCTTCGACATCACGCATGCGCAAAATAAGGATAAAAAAGTATGTTCTAGTATTCATCTTCGTATGTATGGCTCATCTCACGCACGATAAACCCGCCAGTTCTAATAAAGAAAAGACACGCTAAAAGAGAAGAAGAGAGGAAGAAGGGGATATCCATGTCCAGAATATCCAATTTCAGCGGTTCAGCAGCGGGGGTATAATGATGGTGCCCAGTAAACGCCGGCGACAATGCAATGTGTACAACAAAGAAAAAAGTGTGATGTACTGTGAAGACCCAACTGTTTTAGCCGCGCCACATGAACTCCTCGTCCATAGGCATCGGCGTCCGATTTGTCAATTCCAGACTCTGGTTCATGAGCTCTGCGTCCTCTTCCTCTTCAGATCGTCGACTCGCGTTGCTAAGCGGCGTGGCCATGGGGCTTGTCCGCATCGACAGTTCGGCATCAAGACTAGCCGAGAGAGACTTTGTGTCTTCTTCTGGTTGCGTAGGTAGCGGTGCGCTGTCGGTGGAAGCCTTGCTAGCCCTCTTTTTCGCGCGCTCTTGCCTCGCCTCTTCTCTTTGTCGCATGAGTTCCTGTTCATGAGCAACAGCTTTCGCACGGCGTTCCTCGACGTCTTTGCGCTTGATGACTTTTCCGAGAGCGTCTGATGCTTGAATCAAGCCATCGATACTGATGGCGTGGTTAGTCATCTGATGGTTGATGTAGTGGTATACGCCGGCTGGAGTATCGCATTGAAGGAGGGCTTTCTCGTTTAGTTTGAGCAGTGCGAGCGCAATTTGGAAGAGAAAGGTCGATCCGTCGTGCATGCAGAGGACGACGTCCCAGACGCGGAAAAGTGCTTCGGCGGAGAGACAGTCCGTGAAGACGGACAAAAACCATTGGAAGGTCAGGGCCTCGAGCTCGATCTCTAGTTCGTCGAGATGGGCTGATAGCCTAGGCAAAATCTCACTGACGTAGGAGCGAAGGACGGATTGATCGGCGCGGGAGGTGAGAAGGTGCTGGTCATAGTAATGTTGAGGTAAAATCTCTTCGATCATCGCAGTGAGAACCCAGAACGCATCTTCCGGGGTGGGCATGATGAGCAACAGGCATGCAGTGATCAGATTCATGCCCTGACAGTAGCCAACCTCTGGATTGCGGCGGGAGTAAGCGAGGAGTACTTCCTGAAGCTTTTGTACACCAGGACCAGTACGGAAGAAGATGTTGTCGGTAAGGGTGCGGGTGATGTCCATCTGGATCTGCGTTGCAATGGTAGGGTCATCCTCGCCATTGTTCACCAGGTCTTCATAGTAGCCTGGCATACGCAAATGCAGCGCACCGCTTCCCTCGGCCCAGATGGCGGCTCTCATATTGACGGGTATGCCACCCAGAACGAGGCGACGGAATTCCAACCACTTGGCACGCCCGATCTTGCCTTTGTTACCCAAGCCTGCGATGCCTACCAACTCACCATCGGCAAGAAATTGTTCAGGCATTGCATTAGCTTTGCCATTCTCGCCGATACTGGCAACGTCGCCTTCGCGCTTGTTTTGCGCACGTACTTTTCGCAAAAAGTCGTTCCACTTGACAGTCCTTTCTCTTTGAAGATTGTCGTGTAGCTCACTCATCTGCTCCAGTAGGGACTGGACGGGGTCAAGCTGCGGCGGATATTGGCTGATGGGTGTAGACGGGCCTGGCGAGGTACTTGTGACTGAAAGCTCTGCATTACCTGATACGATGCGTGAGGGTGATGGCTCTGGGTTGACGCTTGTTGTCGGTACGGATCCTCGCTTCATTAACGTGATTTGGTTCTGGCCAATCTTGAAAGAGGTCTCGCCTTCAGCAGACTCTACTGTGGTGATGGCAGCTGCAGCTGGAGTATGTGACAGTAGCTCAGTTGGATGCGTGGCTAGCTTCAGGTAGTCGGCCCAGGTCTTGCTAGCTGGCTGACTCGGTTGGTTGTCGGAGTCGGAGCTGGATGGGCGTACGGTGCCATCGTTCTGGTCTACAGGAGCGGCACTTGCGTGTTCTGGATCTTCATCCAGAGCAAGATGATTGAGTGCAGTCCTGCCGTCGCCGAGTGATTCGACATTGCTACTGCGCTTCTGCCTGATGAGCTCGGCTGCTGCCTCACTCTGCCTCTTCTTGCGACGCTGGTCATAGATGAAGCCGAATCTATCAGTCAAATACTCGCTGCTGCCAATAAATCTGTTGTGCTGCTGTACTAGTGTCGGTGGGCGCGAGTCCTCTGGTAAAATTCGGTCCATTTCCACAGGCCCTAGATTGCTCATTCCGCGGGTGGGCTGAGTCGGACCGAGGCCGTTGGATATGTTCTTGGGCTGCTCTGTCGTGGTGCTTTTGATAGTTCCGTTGGGGCCCAAGGCACGGCCTCGCCTTTGTGTGCTTGCCAGCGAAGACTTTGCCGACTGCGCAGTCTTGGTCGAGTCCATAGAAGGCGCGCGGTCAACAGTATCCGAAACAGTGGACTTGCGGCCTCGCACAGTATTGGCCTTGTTAGTATTTGCAGCGTTGTTGCCTGCAACCATCTTCAACGCCCAACTTGCTAATGACGTCGACGATGATCTACGCGCCGATGCGTCTGTAGCATGCTCCTGGCTGTTGAGTCGGCGCAAGGCGGGCACAGCACCAGTGGGAGGTACGAATAGATCGCTGGCGAGGGCCTTCCGTGGTGGTTTTGCTCCGCTAGATGCGCGTGATCGTGTATGTCCCATAGTCTCTGCCTCTCTGTCCACGTTGCTAGCCACAGAGGGAGCGCGACTGCTCTTTCTGCTCGTACCAGTCCAAATGAAATTCTTCCAGTTCTGTTTGCTTGGCGTTTCCGACACGACTGAGTTGATGGACATGACTTCTGCTTGTGGCGCTGAGTTGCCCGTGTCCATGCCCAGAGCATCGGGATGCTCAGCTAGTTCGTCTTCCATGGCTCTGGCTAGTCTGTCCTCCATGGGGTCGTCGGGGTGCAATCCGGTTGCTGCGCTATCGCCCCTCGTCCGCGTTTTGGTGAGGCCATTGCCTTGGTCCTTGCTCTTCTCCAGCTCGCGCAGTCGGTTCTCAATGTCCATGTTAGAGACCTCGCACTCCTGCAGCATCTTTCTCAACATGCGCTCCCGCTCCTCGGCTCTTCGCCGCAGGGCGGTGATTTGCGCATCGCGCTGGGCCAGGTCCCCGGCGAGTTGCTTGACAAGGGCCACTGCGCCCGTCTGCCGCAGCGCATCCTGTATGCTCTCGTCGCTGGCGAAGTGTAGGTTTCCAGGGACCTTGGCCGACTCGGTGGGTGTGTCGTCGAAGAGGGCGGAGCGGTCGTTGGTGGCGGACGAGGCTGCGACCAGACTGCCTACTATCTGCTGTGTCGACTTGGTGACCTTCCTAACAGTAGACACGGGCGTAGTGCTCTTGCTGAGGTCTGGCGGGGGGACCGCCTTGACCGTATCCGGCGACGCAACCGTCCTGCTCTCTGCCGTCTTGACGCTTTCTTCAGGCTGTGGTGTTGAGCGGAACCAGCCGTTTACGCGCGACTGTGCCGGCGACGTCTCGGGGCTAGGCGACAGCGAGGGGAACGAGGTGAGGCTCTTGGTGTCGACTTCGGGAGAGGGTGCCCGGCTGCGACTCCGGCTGAGAGACGTGTTGGAAGAGCGCTTCGAGGGGCGCATGCGCTGTATGCTGCGGTTTCGTGGGTTGGATATGGTGGAGCTCTGCGAAGCCGTCCGTACTAGATCAACAGCGCGCGGGGGGTCGATTGCCGCCATGTTTGTAGAGTCTCACTACAAGCACGCCCATTCGTGTAGTCGGCGGCGAGACTGTGTCGGAGCGAATATGGTGCGGAGAGGAGCAGTCGTCGAAATGTGCGTGTGTATACGTTATGCGTGGTGGACGTCTGTTCTCGCGTGCATGGGTTCGTATGCAAGTGGAGGCGCTGCGTCATATGGCGAGACGATCCCTTCTAGTAGTACTCGTCGCCCCACGCTTCTTTGTATGTGTGAGCAGCTGCAAAAAGACTTTGAAAAATGCCACGTCCTCAGGGGCAGACAAAGCACACGGCGGATATTACAAGTTATGAAGACGCAAGGGGCACCGGCACAGACAAGGCACGACTCTTGGGTGTGGGTGGTGTCAAGCAATCAATCATTCCCGAGCCGCTAGGTCGGGTTTGTGCTTGTGCAGCATTGCAGCCCTACAGCCACATTTCCACCCGAAACACGTTCCCTGGCGATCTCCCTTTTATTCCCAAGACCCTGGCCTGCTAAACACGCCGAACTATGTTTCGCATCTGCCATGCCCGTCACCGACGAGGAAGCTGCATTGGCGGCCGTTGCGACCCTGCACTCCTTGTCCCCTGAGCAGACTGAGGCCCTGGACGGCATCAACGCCATTCTGCACAACGGCGAGCCCTTTGTCGACGTCCATGAGCTGTTCGCCCTGTATAATCTCCTCTACTTCCGAAAGCTACTCCTCCCACGTGTTGAAGTCATCTGGTCGCCGCGCTTGACTCTGGTAGGTTTTCTTTGCGCTTCACAATTGCTTTCTGCGACCGTCTCATCCACGACTTCTGAAGCCGGCCTCGTGTCCGGACCGTTGCCCCACACGCTTCTAGACTGCCGTGTCAGACAGCGGCTAACAATAGACACAGTGCGCTGGCATCTGTGAGTTATCCAAGGACCCCAAGACCGGAAAGTTCACGCGCATCCGTCTGAAGCTGTCGACACCTCTGCTGCAGTACCGTCCACGCTCCGACACCATCAACACCCTGCTCCACGAGTCGATTCATGCCTACTTCTTTATCACCACCTCGTGGAAGCACTCGCGCGGAGATGATGGAACTGGACATGGTGTTGGCTTCCAGCTGCTCGCAGACGCCGTAAACAACCACGGCAACTATCAAGTCACCATATACCACACCTTTCACGATGAAGTCGACAGCTACCGAACACACGTCTGGCAGTGCGACGGGCCTTGCAAGAACCAGCCCCCATACTTTGGCCTGGTCAAGCGAAGCATGAACCGAGCTCCTGGCAAGGGTGACACGTGGTACTCGAGACATCAGGCCGAGTGTGGGGGGACATTCCAGAAGGTGCAAGAGCCAGCGCCGACCAAAAAGCAATTGGAGGCCATGAGCACCAAAGAGCGCGCGGGACGACAGAAGAATAAGCTGGATAACTGGATCAAAAAAGACGTCAAAGTGGAGGGTAAAACCCCTGCTATGCCCATTATCATTGGAGCAGAGGATGAGGCTTCAACATCTTTCCAAGCTGGCCAGAAACGGCCGCTAGTGAGCGAGGACCATGAGCCTGTCGTCCAGAAGAAGTTGCTTGTCGACTGTCCGATCTGTAGTATCAGATTAGCCGAGTCCGATATCAACGAACATCTGGACGTAGAACACCTTTGATCTTACAAATAACATTTGCGAAGGCGAGTGTGCTACGTCATTGCGCATTAGAACTGTGCCACGTCTCGGATCCGTGTTACCTCTCATCTGTTGGAGAGGAAGCCATCTCGTGCATCCAATGATTTCTTCCACATCACTAGCGTGATGCTGAAATCATCAGTACCTTTATGGAATTTAGTCCATCGTTCATACACCTCAACACCAACCACGTCCAACTGTTACCATCCACGACTCCTCAATGACCGTATTCCACATTTTGACTAGGCGCAAATAACCATAATCGTCTCCATCAATTTCACAGTACATCTTGGAGCTCACGCACCCACTCAACTTTGTCTTCCGCCAGATTAACATCTGTTCATCATGGCATCAGGCGCTCCATCGTGTTCGCTTCTACGTCTTCCAATAGAACTGCGCTACGAGATCTACGATTATCTAGGTCGCCGGGACTTTAAAAGTTATCCACTCCGCACGATGGCAGTCACGTCTATTGATCGAACCGGCCCGCCAACAGCACTACTCGTTACTTGTCGCTATCTCTGCGACGAGATTCGCGCCTACTTCCTCCCAAGGGTCACACTGGGATTCGTCCAACAGCAAAAGCCAACTCTCCAGAGTATTGATCCAATCTCCCTCAGTGTCATCGAGAGAGCAAAAAAAGTTCATGTAAGGATGAGTTGGTGGGAAATCCCAGGGACTGCCAAAGATTTCCGACACTGGCCATATCGAGTGAATGAGTGGCTTGCGGACCTGGTCAAAATGTTGCTGGAAAAGGCCAAGAGCTTGGAAGTTATCACAATGTCTTTCGATGAACCTACCTGGGGTACTGAGTGGGAGCAGAAAGAGAAGACACTGGCTCCACTAAAGGACATTGCCGGGCGGGTAAAGTTTCGATTAGGCGAGGTGGAAGCTGGCGAGGAGCTCACGGATGAGGAAGAGGCGGAAGACGCCAAGTTAAAGGGACCGCACAGTACGTTCACCAAGACGGTCGGAAAGGAAGCTGAGTTGAGGAGACGGCTAGGTGCATATCTAGAAGAACTCAACGCAGTTACGTTGCCGGTTGTCAGCTCTTGAGGTGGAGCGTAGCTTTCGTGATGGCATGAGTTGGAGTCGCACTACTAGATCCGAAATTGTCCAGTAGCATAGAGCTCTAATAGCCATGATATCCAGAACTTCCGTTCTGCTTCGCTCTATCACATACCCTGCATCGCATTATTCGTTGTTTTAATTCCTTCATCTTGTCGCCTGTATCTCATGTTTCTACCGATTCCATCGGCACTGTCGCTGTCACTGTCACTTCCGCCTCCTATACACTCATTCTCTTAGTCCACGTTCTTCGCTTTGTTCATCGCAGGCAAGGGTCTATTGACATACCGGCGTCCAGTCTCAGCTCGCTCTCTATTGGTCTTGCACGCCTCGGAGGTCATCGACAACATCTAGCACTTTCGCAGTCACCACGCGCTCTCACCTCTCCCTATGCACCTTCATCACCGCTCTACTGGAACGTTCTTGCAGTCAGTCCGACATCGCAGGCCAACCAGGTAGCTCATCATCATAATTCGCGCGCTTGGCCTGTGCCTCAAGTTGATATCGCGCTCCAAAAGCCGCCTTCACCTACGACCGCGCTTACACCGCCCACCAAATCGCCTGCCTGGAACCTTCTCCAGGCAGCGAACTACCCACAGACCACGACGCTTGATCAATTCTCCGGACTCGCTTACCGACTGCCGGCGATCTGCCGGCCCTCCTCCTGTCTATATAAACCCCCCTCCCCCACCTCTCTCACTCCTTCTCCCCACTCGCTCCATGAAATCGACTCTCCCAACCAAGTCGACTCTCAGCATCATGGTCTCATGCTTCAAGTATGCCATTTCTTCCTTCACTTCCACCTCATGTTTTTGCTAACACTTTCAGACCTTGACCAAGATCTCATGATGTATGACATCATTCATCACCAACAAACATCATGATTATCAGCATCACTTGCACCCCCACTCGGCTGTCGACAGTCTCGATGACTTCAATACCCTTCCAACATCTCGCCTCGCCTTGATCAACATCAACATCGCCGCCTCACACATGCCTCGTACATACCCGCCTCGGTTCAACATACATACCTCGCTTCGATTCGGCCTTCAACTACACTGACACACATGTCACCTTCGGTCTACCAAACTACCACATCGAACACACACCGTCTCATCGACATGCAACACACCGACGGCATCCCGGCATAGGCACCAACCTCTCTGGCACCGGCTCCGGTTCGACTGTCGACAGTCTCACGCCACTCCCGATACCGATACACTGCGCATGGAAAGTCAAGTTGTGGCACAGGGATGCAGGACAGTCTGCATGGTTGGCCCTTGAGTTGGTTGCGGTTTGGATCAGAAAAATAAAGTGGTGTTGAGTCGGTATCATTGAAGGTCAACATTCACACATTGGACGTTTCAACCATTTCGACATGCATCGAGCAACAAGGTTGGAGGACAGACGGTCAATGGTGCTTCGGCGCCAAACCGGGCCTCTTGTTGTCTTCTCTGAGGGTGTTGCGGCCCCTGGGATGGTTGAACGTCTTGGTGTGGTGTTGGCTGAAGATGATACTGCTTTGCTCACTAGTTGGATGGACTATGGTTGGCCTTGGTGGTATCTGGAAGCCTTGGTGGTTAGATGGTGCAAGGTCTTCAGCTTGAAGGTTTTCCAAGCTTGGTCACAACAAGTGTCTCTCAAGGAAAGGTTGGAAGGGCGGCTGGCAGTCAGATCCTCATATCAATTAAACCAACTTTGTCTCTAAAACCGAGGAAAAGTTATCTATAAATCTTAGTTAACAGCTTATACATTACATTCCTTCTCCAGTCTACGCTAGAATAACTACTATAAATTATTCTCTCTCCTTGATGCTTCTAACCTCTTTATAGATGCTTGATACAAAATGTTTCATAAGTCACTTTCGCTTACTGTATGTCGCAAGCAGATGTCTAGGAGTCTTAAGGAACCAACATTACTTTGCCTTCTCCTACACAATATTAAAGCGGTGTATCGCTTAGCTGCACGGCCTCTATTAATGTCGTCTAAGAGCCGCTGTAAGCAAAGTTGTACCCGTAAGCTGTTTGCTTTTGTAAGAGAGTAGGATCAAGAGAGTGGGATCAAGTATGGTGTTCTGCTAAGCGAGAGTCGCGATTGATATCACGAGGTATTATTGTGCGATATGTGTTTCGGAAATATGTAGGGTATTCGGTCTATGTAGTCGCAAAGGCCGGTACGGTTTCGTACAATAACGCCATCATGTGGTACGCCAAATAGATGAACGCCAACATATAGTCGGAACTTCTAGGAACACGCCTCCAAAGACACCCCAGGAAGGAATTAATGCATCTGCGCATCGTCTGCTACTGCATTCCTTTTGCACCGCTCTTTAGTATGCGCCCAAAGCCACAGCCTCCCTAGAACCGTCTCACTCAATCAATCGCGATCGCACTCTCCATAGAATCACCCCCCTTGTTCTTCCACCCTATCCCCACCCTCCCCCTCCTCCTCTTCACACCACCCATAAAATTCTCATGCTCTTCCATACCCAACGCCAACCACTCCCTCTTCAGCCCCTTCTCAGCATACACCCTCCTACTCTCCGCACTCCTCATACTATACGGCCCTCTACCCTTCTTCTTTCCCTCTCCTTCTCCAGTATCCCCTTCGCAAGAGTCCTCGTCTTCCATGTCCGGCGCTTGCCACCACCCACGCCCTTCAAAGTACTCAATGTTTAGGTGCTTAATTATGCGCTCGTGGGCCGAGGGGCGCGGGCGCATATATGACTCGTCGGTGGCTTTGGAGCCGAGGAGCATGTGGATGTAGGTCTTGCGGGCTTGGACGTGCGGGGTGGAGAGCATGGTTGCGGTGCCGCCCATGCAGTGGTAGAGGCCGGTTGGTAGAGGTGGAAGGGTGGGATGAAGTGGGGAGGGCGTGAAGAGGTCGAGTTTCGAGAGGTGGGTTTCTTGAATTGCTTGGGTCATTGTCTGTGAGGATGTGTTGTTAGCATTGCCGTCTTCTGGACAGGTTGGAGAGGGGAATTGGAAATGTACCATCTTTGGAAACTCGGCTTTGTCGCATTTGAAACAGCATACGAGTGTCTTGTAGAGACATGCCTTCCTTTTACTGGGTTTCTTGCAGAAGTAACATATTTCTGCTAGCCATTTGCGGCGGCATGTGAAGACTCTTGCATTGCGCGGTGGTACAATGTCGGCATGGCGCTTGAGGAGGTTGCGCGCGTATTCTTCGACCACGGCATTGAGTTGTTTATTGGTAGCGGCGAGCGCATTGAGCGGGTAAGACGTGAGGTTGAGATTACAGATGGGCTCCGTGTACGAGAGGATGTTGAAGAGAATCTCTGGTGGGAGGGCATCGAGACCGTTCATGTTATGGGGCAAGACAGTCGCGCGACGGCGGTTAAGGTTGCGATGAGATCAGCCCTGGGGTCGGGCGGCTTTAAGTGGAGATAAAGCTAGTCGCCATTCCACGCGGGCGACATGCCGTTTGATGCGTTCCACCCCTCTCACCTCGTCTGTGAATACCAAAGAGCTCAGTGAGGGAAGAATATCAGCTTCAACTGCCTTTTTGACCCTTCGCGCCTTCCTGGGAGCCTTTCGCGTCTATGTGCCACAGGGACATACCTACACGTCGAGGATTGTCAAGCGCGACCCTTTCAGAAGCAATTCGGGCTCTTCGGACGCTGCTTACCTGAATTCTACAAGGAGCAGTCAGCTACGTCTGTCAAGAGCATAGTAGTACGGCCCAACTGGTCAGATTCAGATAAATGTGGCATTGAAAGTCTATAGCGAGCTGTTGTTGCCGGCTCTACCAGTCTCACGTTTGCATTGAGTTGCTTGGAACGTGCTCTCTGGCATGTTCTTGCTAACAGATATCAGCCATCTGTTATTCCGGTACAAAACGATAAACAACCCCCGACGTATAGGAGTTCCCTCCCTCTCCAACGGTCCCGCCCAAACTTGCCAAGATAACCCCATGAGAAGAACCAGAAGTTCAAAGCCGCACTCGAGCTGAGAGACAACGCGGTAATGCTTGCGAAAGCATCTGCAGCATCGCAAAGTCGAGGGAAGTCCACTATGGGCTGACAGCAGGTCATGTCTCAGAGTAAGACGGACATAACTGGATTCTGGCCGAGAAGCGGTCAGTTTCTTGGAATCCAAGCTCCAACCGCCCTTTAAACTTGCCGAGATCATCCGAGAGTCCTCTGTGGCTTGAAGAAGAAGCATTGACACAAGATAGTCTACTGGCACGGCTGTTGTCCGAATTGAAACTACACGAAGAGTATGCCTCCACATCAGTGCGCCTAGTGAGCATCGCGACGCCGCACACTTGGCGTTAAAGCCTAGTCAGTGCGGCCCAACGACTGGAGATTATGGACCGAATGGGTCGGCTCGGTCTGCGGATGGCTACCGGCAGCTAGCTTCTACAGTAGGGCAGAAGGGCCGCCGCCTTACACCCCACACACCCACATGTTCCTCTTCTCAGCTGCCAGCGAAGTAGCCACACCGCGTAATTTCACGCGAACTGCTATTTTGACCACTCATCGTGTCAGCCAGATCATGGAGGCATACGCAGTCTTTACCACGTTCGTGTCCGTGATTGGTAACCGCTCTCCAACGTCTATTCATTGGCTCGTCCAATCCATAGCCCTTGTTCCACCACACAATACCAAATTTGACAAACGGGTGGACCTGCGCTGCTTGGCCAACGGTCGCTATATCAGCCCTCAACCTTGTGGGTCGCAAGGTGGGCCTACCAAGCATTGAGACAAGCAGGCTAGTTTGTACCAATCGGTCGGTAGTCAAAGCCTCCTCACAGCTCGGTCCATCATCTTGGTCCACCACGATTTGACTTTTGTGGCAAGCTTCACGGGCACAGTGTGTGGTTTTGGCCATCATCCAGGTGTGGGTATCTTGCGAGAGCGCCCTAGCTACCCCACCCAATCAGCTAGCTTGCCCAGCTTCCAAGACCACCACGCCCTCCTCCTCGCTGGACTACGCATGTGCGCAAAGGAACCATCCGAGTCAGTCGCCACCCTCGGAATCTATTGCATTCTAGGGAAAAAGGCCGAGGCCCTTTCCTGGAGAACTAGCATGCAACCACTACCGGTTTTCGTGGGACGATTGTCGTGACTCAGACAGTGCATTGCTGGACTGAAGAAATTATAGAGAAATGAGAATCAGAAGCTGCGTAACGTACGCCCCTGGCGGAGGCGTACTAGATGCTAAAGGGCACGGGGCACGTGTGTGTGCCTTGGTGCCCCAGGCACATGGGGATCGCGAAGAACAAGATGGAGGACTGCTGTGCAGTTAAGGGGGTGGTTAATAAGACGCTTCTGCCCACGAAACAACGGAACCTTCTTCATTCACCCCTCAACTGACCATCATCATCGTTGTTGAGTCACAGTATCCAACATCTCACTTGTTCCAACAGTGTTCGGTGACTGAACGGGGACTCCTTGGCCTATCGATCGTCCTTGTATCCGTCAAAATCCTCCTGCAGCCCCCTGGTGACCTAGGTTGCCTCTTTGGCTCTTCACATTCCGCACTTGGAGGTCGCTCGCTACACATAACGTCCTCACGTATTCTGTTAGTCCTTTTCAAGACAAGATGCGCCATCCCGAGCGTTACCCGCAGAGTAACTCAAATGTATCACGTCGTAATAGCGGCGGTGGTAGCAGTAGCGGCAGCACTCAAAGGCACTCACACCAAAGCGTACGATGTCACGATCTTTGAACTCGAGCTCGCAACTGACTAAACGTAGTCTACCTCTGGTGTGGCCGCATTGACCTCACCTCCACAAGTCCCCGCCTACGATCCGAGCAGAGATCCAACGTACACTCAAGCACACCGTTCATCAAGACTCGACCAAGCGTATCCGAACGGCACGGCCAACAACCACTCTTCGAATGGAGCACCTTACCAGACACATCCTCAAAACCAAGTGCCGGGCTCCTACAATCCACCACATTATTCGTGGACTGCTTACTCGTCAACTCATCTCCAAGTTCCGACCTACGATACATCCGGCAGGGATTTCAACGCATCTCTAGTGTTCCAAACAGCACCGCTAGCAGGTACCGTTGCACAGCCACAACAGGTACCCACTGGCGGCTTCCTTCCGCATCAGACTGCGCCTCGACGACCCGAACCTTACGACGCCGTCGGATACGTCAGGAGTGATGGAGAAGTGTACGACAGAGATGAATTGTATGAGGAGTACAGGCCGTACGATTCATACGACCATCAACGTGGACACAGAGGATACTATTACGGAAATAACGGAACATCGCATTAATGACAACACGACGGAATGATATGAAATAACTTTTGGCTTTCTTATGGTTATATACACAGTGGTCAAGGGCGCTTATGGATGGGCTATGGTTTTGGCCCCAGGTTTCTTCCTTTCGGTAGTGATGTACGGCTTCACATGCACCTATCAGCCTGGCGCTTATGGTGTCATTTCTCACACACATGGAAATGTTGAAGGATATCTTTTGGAGCCTTCTTTGCTGGTGCGCTTTTCTCATTTTCATTGATGCCTTCTACGACTGCTGGTACAGCCATTGTTTCTTTGCATATCCATCACCGCATTTGCAGTGCATTAGCAAGCGCGTAGTTAGGCGTTCGGAAGATCTTTCCAATCTAATTCCTCTCAATCTCTCTCCTTGGTCGTTTCTGCATGCTGTAAACCTGTTGAAATTTCCCAATCAACCATATTCTCCGGCTCGGATCCGACGTAGTTGAGCCGCATGACGCTGACATATCTGCCCGTCGGCGAAAATGACACATACACCTCTCACCGGAACTTCACCGGAACTTCACCGGAATTGCGATCGTCCACCAGAAAGCAAGGCCACCACTCACCCGATGCTGATAAGGTAGTCGCAGAGGAGGACTCTGTCACCGGAAATGTATGCGTTGGCCAGTGAGACATGTTACTGTATCAGGTGTGGTAGCAATATCAAGGAGATGAGGACCACCATGAAACAGAGCTCTGTCAGCCAGTCGATGACAGAAGGACGCGCTCGCTTCTACCAAAAAAAGATATGAGGTCCTTCTTGGAGGCTTTGACGTGATGCATGCGAAGAAGGAGAGGGCGTCTTGGGTTGCCGAGCGTCAGCTATGCAGGCACATCGCTCGACCAGGAAGAAGTAGATCTGCCAACGTGCATACCAATGTCTTGCGTTGCGGCTGTTCTGCTGCAAGGTTTCATGCATGCTAGATCCGCAGCATGGTATCATCCAGTCGGACTAGCAGACTTACAAGTTGGCGCTCACACATTGCCTCCATTCATGGGGGACCATGAGGCGATCATCGCTTGCCATCTAGCGACACATTGATATGTCGGCAAAGGGCAAAACGGAGGCATGCCATCCAATCGGTAAAGTAGACCCCACATGACTGTACGACCGATGATGTTTCGATACCGCTTTAAGGCCGACAGGCAACCAATTTTGGCATGAAGGACCTGATTACGCGTAATAGACTCGACTCTCATAAGGAGCTTGATATCAGCCGACACTGACAATATGCGACGAAGCTGTTCTACCATTGGTACCTGGTGCCAGAGCATGCGTGGTGGAAAGAAACTCCACCAGAACGGGAAGTATGCACCGAGTCGTGGTTCCTGCAGCTCGGTCCTGGGTTGCCAGCAGGGTTACGACTATCACATGTCGCATGGTAGGCGGACCCTATATCCAGGTCGAGGGCGCTGACCCACTAATAGGTTTCTATGGCCATTGTACGGGCCTGATAAGCACATCGGCCAAGTCCGAAATCTTTTCATGCTTATCGCTGAGCATGTCCATGATATCCGACGAGTCAGTCGTGATGGTTGGTGGTTCCGGCTGTGACGAATTAAAGATGACGGGTAGTGACATCATGCTCCAAATCGTTAGCGCGGATCTATCCGCGCCTGTCAAAGGCGGGGAAACATCTGGGCCGTGGTCGTGCGACAAGCTCTAAACGAACTCCAGACCTCCCACGAAGCTGTCTTCCCGATTTTGGCATCTTTTGCGATCTTTGCTTCACTTTTTTTTTTGTTCATCTAAAGGACTACATGCGTGCAGGGACGCCTGCCGCTAGGACGCGTAGTCCTGCGGTAGTGGAGGCCTCCCGGAGGCCGGCTGTAGTAATCGTAAGACGATGCCTGGGCATTTTCTCAATGCCGTTAGGGCTGAGGCTCGATTTGAGTTCCAGGTCCTGCACGAGAAGGGGCAGCTTCGCATGTGCTTAGGGAGGGAGTTTCGTGCCGTGTGCCGTCCCTCCACCTCATTCGAAGATAGCAGATGCTGGCTGCTTATCGCGGCTGCCGTTGCTTGATGTTGTGAGAAGCACGTAGCTTCTTGGCGAGCCGAGGTTTCGCGAAGCGCCGCTACGATGGAGAGCATCTATGTCTGGGTACCCGTTGCTGTAGCAGACGATGTGGAAATGAACTGAATCGATCCATGTCCAATGCAGCAGTGTGGATCACGACTGAGGCTTGCCGTACCGATTCTCGGTCTCTGTAATCTGTTGAGGCTATTGGCTTAGGTCGAGAGCATCAACACCTATGTCGTCTCACCGGTCTCATTCACCTTGGTAACAGTATCCACCATCTGGCTTAGCCTCACCTCAAGGCATACCTCAAGGCAGTTTTGGTACTCTCGTTGAGGTCCGCGTGTTTTGGCCCCATGCCGATGGCTGTGCTGTTCGAAGACTGCGATTGTCAAGGCGAAGCATCCGATATATCTGAAGCTATGCCTCTTAGCTTTTTTCCAAAGAAGGTCGAGCCTTGAGAGTTTGAAAAGAACCCCTTTGTTTGTTCGAACAGAGCCGCATCATTCTGGAACCGCTTCTGATGGCCGATTGACCCCCACGCCCACCACGGAAAAGCGCTCACATCAAAGCATGTTCCTCCTGGACTTTCGGAATCGCCAACGAACGATATACCAAAGCAACCGGATACCATCTTCGGGATGCAAGCCCTATCGTTGCCGCCGGTATCCAGGAATAGCTCCGCTTCACTTCTAGGACTTTAGCATCGCCTATGTTACCGGCGCCCGTTCTGGAACACGGTGTGGACAAAGTTCATATCGACCCCGATCGACAAACCCTCTCTCCACATTGGCAACGACATCCTTGGCGTCGCCTGCTTTCTTCCCCATGCCAATCATGTTGGCGCGCCCAACGAGCCATCACCAACTCGACAGCCCGAGACATTGGAGGCTCCAGGCAACAAGAACAGATGGTCGAGCTACCTGTTCCTACTTGGCCGCGTTAGTATCCAAGTTAGGACGTACCCCGACCTTGGCGTTTACTAGGGAAGTTTATACGTCTACCCATATACGTTGAAACTTAGGGCTGTCTAGTGCGATGCAAAGTCCTCGTCGACCTTTTGCCTTCTTCTAAATGGCCCTGGTGGAGGCTGCCGTTGGCAACAAGGTGAGTTGGGCTGCAAAGTAGTCCTTCTACTAGCTTGGAGCCCTCCTGACGACAGCTACTCGTCGCGCCACTGGTCGACAACGCGTGTTCCTGTTGCCAGTCAGCACAGTCCTTAAGGAACTTACATGTTTGCTGCTAGCCATGACGTCCATCGATTCGATCGAGCTCTGGGGTTGATAAGGTCCTCCGGAGTTGCGAGGGCTCGTCGCCACATAATCCGAGACCGTCCCCGCACTCTGAAAATGCTCATTCACTTCGAGACGAAACGTCGCTGGCACATCACGTAAGTGAGTTGGATGTTCCTTTCATCGCTCTGTTCCAGTTTGAGCGCATTATACTGATTCATCCCCAGCATTTCGACAACTCGGCACAATCTTGTCGAAGATACGACTGGGCCTGGTGCTATCCCGTGCATCTGCCACAGTCAATTCTACGCGATCCCATTCGGTAACGCCAAGAGTTCATCACTTCCGTGGTGTTCAAAAGATCTTGTCGGAGAAGAGAGGTCCTCTAGCAATAGCGCACCAACCTGGAGGTGTGGAAAGTTCCTTCAAAAGATCTGTCAGTTCTCAATCCGAACCCACCGGATGGATCCTCAACGCTACACCAACGTCAACTACGACGAGCCTCCACCGCCTTACGAATATCTGCAAGATCAAGAACTTCCTGGCTCATCGATTCACGAACTTCCAGATCGGCACATACCCACTCAGGAACTTGAAGAATTCCATGGGCTCACTGAGTTAGAAGGTTCTCCAACTCAAGCCAGCCAAGCATCGTACCCGCTTTCAAACGAAGCCAGTGAGCGCGTTATGAACACCAGCCCTTCAGTGCTACAGCCATCCAATCCTAGCGAGGATCAAATGTTATTCTGGAACCTGTATACGCAGCAGCCCTTCGCCACAGCGCCCAGTATGACCCACGATGGACAGTCACATACATCGTCGCCCATTTCACCTAGCACACCCGATGTTGATGGTCTTGGCTCCATCCAGTATCATTCAAATCGAGATGTGGCATCTAGTACGGTATCGCCCCTAGAGAGTGTCTCGCCCTACAGAGGCTACTGGTCAAAGTCGCACTTGGTGGACATAGACTGCAACTATGCTTCGCGCATCAGCCTTCCGACCTCGTCGGAAGCAAGCCCCGTGGAGTCTTTCCGAGAACTAGGGCAGCAATCCGAAACGGGAAACTTCCACATGCAGCAAGACGGCTATTCCTCTTCTGCGGTATCGCTCCCGTCCACAGACAATGAACAATATAACCCCAACAACGATTCGCTTCTCCCATGGGATGGGGTAGTGCTACAACCTTATGGGCGATCGCACAGCATCGTACGCATTCCCTTGGGTGATTACACGTATTCTGATAACCTTGGATGGCGATATTGTGGCGGGTACGGGATAGAGGAGACTGCGGATGAAGAGGCCAAGCACACGATGCTAGCAGTCAGCAAGCCGAACTCTTCGCAGCCAGCTAGCAACTTCTTTGAGAATCAACAGCCGTCGCGCAAGTACATTGAGCTCTACGACCACCAAGATCCTGAGCTCCGCATCGCGTCAAGACCAGATGACATCGATCATCCGCTAGTGCCTTGTGCTCAATGCAACAAAACGTTTAGTGGCAGGTACGTTTCGCTTCTTCATATCTCGCTTCTCCATCGGTATTGACTTGACTACAGGTATGGAAAAGGCAACTTGAGACGACATGTCCTCGCTTTCCACAACCCACTGGCGACCGTGTTAGGGACAGCGTGTCGTGTCTGCAAGAAGGCGTACAGACGCGCGGATGCCACACGTAAACACGAGTGGAACAAACATCAAATCTCGGACGCAAAGCCTAAGAAACGAGCGAAGTAGTCGCGCCAGTCGCGACGGTTATGATCGACTACGGATATCAATGCGCCGTGGTGCAGATCGGAAGCTGGGATTCTTCCCACCCTGGTGGTACACATGGCTGCTTGCGGCTTATCTCCTCTTCTTCTTCTTTCAAACGCACTGAGTGCTCTTGCCGCGCTGGAACGCTTCTAATGTTTGTGGCGCATGTGCGCATTTTTCAATTCCATAGGTGGGAATCTAATGTATACTGGGCATCAAACGTATCCAATCATTGATCCAATGACTGTCACATCATAATCTGCTATGCCAAGTAGTAATACGGCACGCCTCGTAGATTCCGTATCGTAACCTCCAGGCAAGCCGAAGTTAGCCGGTTCTGAGAATGACTCACTCGTTTGCGGCTCTGCGAGTCGACCAGTACGTTTTGAGATGCTTCATCAGGCGATGTTGTGGTATGTCGGCAAGGTTTCTCATACACCGCATTTCACTCTCACCGATCAGACCAATCCACTTGCGCCCAAGTAAGAATACGCCCTGGGAATCCATGCGCCCACGTGGAGCCCTCGCCCTCCAAGCCCTCCGAGCCCAGCGAAACCAGTGAATCCTGGGGGCGCAGCGAGAATGCGGCTCTGCTGCTTGCATCGCGATCCAATTAGATGCTGCAAGTGCTTCCGAAGGCGCATGATTCGGATTATAGGCATACTATTAGCCGGTAGACTAGCAGGTGATTGATTGTGATTGGCCCTGGTTTCGTCATGGCCTTCCAGATGCTTTCAGCTTCCACGGCCCGATACCTAGTCCTTCAGAGTTCTAGCTGCATGACATTCGTGGTCAATTTAAGCTTTGAGCTATAGGGTTTATAAAGTACCGTCGACAAAGTCTAGACCTGGCCTTCCGAGCACATACAAGTCCAGTGCTTCAAGGGGCCTGGGTGCGTCATGAGTAGAAGTGCTGAGATGTCGTTCAGCATCGCGCTGACGTTGCCAACGCATCCACCGCTTGTAGAGTGACGGCGATCATGATGGCAAAAAATAGGTATATGCAATATGCGAAGCTCTCACCGCCGGACGAGAGAAGCCGGAAGATCGGTTTCGTTGACACGTGCAATATGTATTGGGTCGTTGCAAAGACCAATGAACTTCATACTGCCATGCCAGGAGACTTGCAGAACATGATTCGGGCGCTCTGCAGCTGGATGTATCGGTTGTACTACTCAATGCTGCTGCGGCAGGGCGTTTACCACGGCGAAATCTACCAATGGCTTGACAAGTGATCTTGGGAAAGAGTGACGAATGCACCTTCCTAATTAGTAGTGAGAGAGCCTCGCGTCAACCTTTGTCCAGCACTCTGGGACCTGACAAGCATGCCAATACGGCGGTCGTGCACGGGATTGAAGAATCAGTAGAAGGTGGTATGGATAGAGACTTTTTGCAACATCCGGTACCTTTCCATACATGACCAGTAGGATGTTGAATGAGTCACGCGCCTATGGATAGCCGATCTGCACCAGATGTACAAGTTGGATTTCCGATAGCGTAGCGCTCAAAACCCCGTCAATGACAGAATGCGCGATCGGCACTGAATAGCGGCCAGCTGCGTGGGTACTACATCCGAATCAGAAAGTAGTGATTGAGAAGGATTGTTTGTCGGGCGAACGAGCAATTCGTCCACCAGGTGTTCATGGTACGGGAGTGGAAGAGGGCCGGATCCACTTTCCATGCTCCAGCTTGATTAAGATCTGTATTGTGCCAAAGGAAAGGGCCGAGTTCGATGATGATACTCTTTCGAATCGCGGATGCGGGACTCTCAACCCGGAAAGCCGCCCTGCGTCCCGCTGTCAGAGACGTTTGCAACGTAGGCGCTAGAACGAGGCAGCGCCACTCGCTACCACCCTTCGCTCTTCAGCTAAGTCGGACGCGGCGCAAAGTAGCGAATACTACACGGATCTATTCCTAGTCACTGCGACACCGTTGCAGTCCGGCCCGAACATGTATGGGTTCAGGAATCGACATGCTTAAGCTGCCGAGGTACGCGACGCGTTGGTAGAGAGGCGGCTCGACTTGCAGGTTTTGAGGGCCAATTCGTAGCCGCGGTTGCGGAGGAGCCTCAAAAGGGACAGATGTGATCGGCGGCCATTCCTAATACACAGTTACAATCGAAAATGGTGCGGTCTACTGCGTGATTGCTTGCGTGGAGAGTGCAGATGCGATGTGGGGCCGAGTCTTGTGGGCTGCTCAAGATCGGCGCACTCGAGCTGGGTTCGCAGCAGCGGCTACCCAGAGCACAATCCTCTTGTTGAGCGATGCAAAAGTTCTGGTACTCCACGCCGTTGCACCTGACAAGATGCGCATGTATTCGATAACTTTTGCTAAAAAATGATGCGCGATGCTTGATGGGCGCCCGCATGTGGAGGGCACGCATGGGCGAGGGGCGCTCGTCGTCTAGACTATCCGGCTGCATGTCGAGGTGCGGCTGGGTGTGCCACGGACCGTCGACTGGACGAGCGCATAACCTGGTCTGTGGTGTAAGTATTCGGCTTTAGACAGGATTTCGCCATGCTCGGAAACGTCAGAGAATGGTAAACAAGTCTCCAACCATAGAACGTGGTCATAAGTTGATGTTGGCTTGCTCCTTGACCGCAAGTGTCATGAATGTTTGACTGAGACGGCGAAACCTGTAGCCTGGATACGAGGTGTCCAATCCAAAGTTGAAGTTTGACGTGAGGACGAAACGTACCCAGCACTGCTGCCCAACAATGGCGAAAAGTGCATGCAACCGCCTACCTGTCCATCTTCCGTAGTCATGTTTTCCAGCTGGCACTGGATGTTGCACATGTTCTCCCAAGAGACGCCGGCTCGTTTTGGTACCCCACTTACGCATATGCGTATGTAGGCGCGGCAGAAGGTGCTGCAAGCCACTGCGCGTACATACAAGCGTCTGCATTTTTCATGTCGGTGATAATCAGCGCTTGGTAAGGTTTTGCCGATTAAAAGCTGCCGGGCGCCCGGACGTCGCGGCTCAAATTCCTGTGAAGCCCTGTCGCCAGCCTGGGGGGTTGATTCTGTCACGAGTCTCTACGCGGTTTGATCGTCCTGCTATCGCCACTCGTATCGTCCTGCCCTCGACTAGACATACCCTGCGCGCATCCCACGGCAGGCATTCTCTCAATGCCGAAGTCACGAATCTCTCCGACCTGCAGCCACTGAGCATCACGCGTGGAAACATCTGTGATGCACTGATCGTGGTGGCTTGGGCATCTACGTTAATGATACCAGGGGCATGGATACGCTAGTATAACGGAGGCGGCCGTGTTGTAGTGAGAGTAGGCAACAGGCAGATGGCCAACGTGACACCGTCGTCAAGATCAGACTGTGCGTATAGCAGATCCATGGTGACACCAAAGTTCCTAAGCACTACCCTGATCAGCCAAAACTCTTTTACCGCGTTTTGAAACGTCAATCGTAATCCCTCCAATAGCGAGATTGCTGATGTGGTTACACTGATTTCGTAGTCGCTCCTTGGCTCTCGAGGTCCTCCATACCAAGTCGCGTCCTCGATTCGTACGGGCCCATTATATGTCGCCGGCACCGCGAGCCTTACCTCACGAGGTCACCACCACCACCGCCGTCACCTCCCCTCCCTCCTCTTCCTCCTACTCCTCACCCGCATAGTGTTGCCTCAGCAGCCCACCTCAAGTTCGAAGCATACCTCTCCTTTCGCCTGTAGTCGCACTAGTCGAGACCATTTACGGCAGTCCGGCGACAACAGTCTTTACTGGGGAGCACAACTGTCCTTACGTCACCCCGGCTGTCGAAAATATCCAGTGTCATCGAGACATTCCTATATTCGATCCGTCGCTGTCGTCCAGGAAAGGGCCAAGAGCTACCTCGTCCAAGGGAGGCTGCCATATCGGAACGGCGCGCCTTAGTCATAATCCAATCTGAGCCTCGCGGCCAAGTGCCATCCACACCACGATACATCGTCAAGACATTGAGCAACATCAAGACCACCGGTTACCAGTCCCCTTCGACACCCGCCAACTTCGAACCAAGCATCAGGTCGTCCCCTCATCTTTCACGCGTTCTTATCAACAAGCAATCCAACGTTCCAAGTTCGCATTCATCTCAACATCGCATCGCATCTCTTCCGACAATCTTTTTCACAGCCGCAGCTTTGGAAAGTCTCACACTCAACCATCATCTACGCCACGAATAAACACCAAAAGACCTATCTCTTATCTTCAACTCCCGTGCTTCAGTCGGAAGAATGGCAGGCCGTCACCGCAGGGCGAAGCGCCCCAGCCCAGTGGACTCAAGCTCCGTCGGATACGGGACTCAAGAAGTTGACTCTTGGTCGCAACCTTTACAGAATGCTGGCAACGACGACCGTACTTCGTATCCCAACGCATGGATAAACGACGTTCAAAGGCCGAACGAAACACCCTCCACGCATTGGGAATGGGATAGAGAGAGGACAGAACGGCCTCTCTACCTATCTGTGTCTGGGGAGCAATATGCAACGAATGCTCAACCAGGTGGATATCGACCTGTAATGCAACAAGCCATGCACTCACACTATGCCGAAAAGATTATCGACAGTGGATTGCTGCCGGATACTCGCACACAGCATAGGGTTGGTACCTCAAACACGGTCGAGGCCCAGCGCCACTGGAATGGGCAGAATGACACTCAAGACGGGGAGAGCTCTTTCGAATCCACACGAAACGACACATCTCGTCTTGAACCTTGGCCACACAGCCAGCACGCGATTGGAAACCCCTTACAAGGCCACGAGCGTGATCCCAACTTCTCCTCGTCTCCGGGCTTCACCACAGGACACCGACCCATGCATGATGCAGACCGTTCTCACGAGCTTTTGGGTATGTCGCCAATGCTTACAACTCAAGATTTCGGATGTCTTGGCAATGGAGGCATTGAATTTCCCTTGAATGGGATTGATGGGACACAGACTGGCGCCAACCCAGAGCCTTGGTCTTTCTACCAGCCGCCCGACATGTCTCATCTTCCTCAACAAGATGACAGAAACCAGAATTCATATCTTGGTAGCATCTCAGATGCCACGCTGTCGAGCTTCAGATCTGATAACCTAGAGTCAGGTCGTCAGGCGCCTAACGGCCCCCAATCGTACATCACGTCCTATGATACGCTTAACGACGGCATGAGTGAGAATATACCCGCTCAGCATCCTGGGCCTTTGTATCCCCGTATTCCCCGAGAAGGAGTGCCAAATCGAGGCCCGCGAAATCCGTTGTTCACTAGCCCAATTTTTGTTTTCCGGCCAGCGACACCGCCGATTGCTCCATCCAGAGGTGCCTTGTATCGGAGTGTATCAGATACCGAGTAGGTGTTGGAATTACCGTTTGTTGTAGCGTATGGCTAACCTTGTTAGGTCAAGCATCCCCGGTCATGGTCTATTGTCGCCGAGGCCGGAAAGCATGACATCGGACACGCATTCTTGTGTGTCGGATACCTCTTCGTCCGCCGCATCATCCGAGATTTATTGTGACGTTGATGACTGCTGCACAGCCTTCAGCGGCGTGCACCGGAAAGGCAACTTGGCTCGGCACAAGAGACTCAAACACAGTGGTAGAGTGTATGTCTGTGAGAACGCCTCGTGTGAGAGAGTGTTCAACAGACAGGACGCCAGATTGAAGCACTACCGAAAATATCATCAACAACTTGCCAGGCCATACATTGCGCGACCTCAGACGAGACACGCAAACCGTGAGCAGTATTCCGACTTCATGAGTAACGCTTCCGGTTGAACTTGAGGACTGCGTCGATCAGCATCTAGGCGACTCTGCGTGCCCAAAAACATTCTTGCCAACAACGATTGCACCAAGACTATCTCTTATTTTCTGTATCCATCTTCCTCATTACTTTCGTTTTGCGACTAGTGGTCGTTCAAAAAATCGTGTAAGGCTTGCACCTCATGACCTCAAGGTTATGTCCCTCCAAAGTTTCGTTATGTTGTAAGCGACCACAGAAAAATCGTGCTCAGTATGTCAATTCCATGTCTTTCCTATGTTGTCGTATGGTACCGGGGAACGACACGAACCGAACACCGAGCACATTCAAGTTGCGTATGATCCCACTCTATTGTATTGTTCCTCGTTGGCGTTTGTTTTCCTATACGTCTGTGGTGTCCAGTCTTGGTGTCGTTGAATGTCTTGATGGAGTGTGGTTGAGGAACCGTCGTGCTGGCAGGCTAAGCCAGTCCCCCCAAGAGGAGGCCCACAACACGTCATGTCTAGGCAGTAGTTGCCTTGCCACAACAGTGCATGAGAACAACAAAGAAGCCAGCAGTGGATAAGGTCCTTCCGAAAGGACGACGACGTCGATGGAGGACCGTTGAGAACGAGTTGGGTCGATAGTTGAGTGCGTCGGTACCGGACCGCGGTAACTAGGTACCCAAGGAGGTGGGGCAACGTCGGGCACTACCAACCCAGACTACAAACGTTTCATAGTTAACATCTGAGCAGGCATCTCTCTGACTCAGCCTGCAAGGTGCGATAAGCTCCATGTCGATGGCCCGTTGTGCTGGACAATGAGGCAAGGCTTCCTTGACATGCCAGAGCAGCCTGGAGTTTGCGCAAAACATGGAAGCATCGGCCCGACGCCTTGGAATGACCCAGAGTGCAACAGGGTTCAACGGGATGTTGCGGACGGATTGGTGCGCTTCGTGCGACAGGGCGTACTAACGACTACGAACATGGCTCTTGTACCTTTATACCTCAACCTATAGCGAAGATGAGGCAGAAGCGTCGATCCTTGTAAAGTGAGGCGAAAGCGAAGGTACGTGAAAGGCGTCTGATTTCCAGCTGGCGAAAGTCGACTGACTTGTTGTTGTTTGTGCAAGTAGGTCTGCACAACTTTCGGATATAGCAGTCGCGTGTAGTCCTCCCAAGCGGAACGCGTGCGGTGGGAGCACATGCTACCTATGTACTAGGCAAGACAGGAGCCTACCCATCAGAGTTCGCTGCCTGCATTAGTCTAACTTGTTACGTGGTCGATCTGGTTCAGACTCACCTGTCATCTATGGGGCGCCCGATGCTGCCTAACACCACTCGCCACGATGTGCTATCGTCTGGAGCTCCCTCATCCCGTCTCGCTGATGGTGTCCAATGAAACTGGTTTTATGCATCTTGGCTGCTTTCACTGGCTGTCTATGAGTCAAAGCTTGTCGACTCTCTGCTCAGGTAGCCCGTGCTAAGTCGAAGGATCGCCACAAGCGTTGCCATGTCCAGGCTGTACGCAGTAGGGGCATACCTATGGTCGGTGTTGGAACAGCTATGATCGGCTCGAGGGTCTTCGTTGCACTGGACTGTACTAGACTGAGCTTGGCTCTTGGGCTTTCGGGCTCTTAAGGAAGATTACGTACCAAACGTGGCTTGGATAGATGAGATTGAATAGCATCAATTTGCACAGCTGAAGCCCCTTTTGTCTGAGCGCAGCGTTCGTGTTCCATTCTCAGCTGACAGCGCAGATGCTGATGGCTGTGAACGTATGGCCATATTCCTAATTAGGAATTCTCTCGTTGCTCGAAAAGAACAGGTTCGCCTCATCCGATACGAAGGAAAGAGATCTTTAGAAAGGAAGCTTTTAGACGCGAGTGTTGTGGCAATTGTTGCTAAAGATGGTAACGCCACCCACCCTGCTTGAGTGGCGCAGCGAGATCATCAGTTGTAATGTTCATCCGGGCATCCCGAGAACTTCAACATTACAAAATTCAGGAAGGCAAGAGTTTCATGAGTGACTGTGTACAGGGTTTCAATGCCAAAGTTTTGATCCGCGATTGTGGGTGAGGCTAACACTAGTACTGGGAACGGGTCCATCGCGCACATGCACCTCCGAAGCCCTATCGCCCCAATCCTCGGATCCGTACAGCGACGATTTGATTGGCTCCTGCTTCTCGTATGTAGACTGTGTATGACAAGACGACTTGTCAAATGCAACGAGATTTCGTATACTCAGAGTATGCCCAACCAAATTTTGGATTTCGCTGCTTCATCATTATGTCGCATACTCTCGAATGTTGTCACTCAAGCATCACTTCATGTCTCTCGCAAATCGGTGAGTCCTGATGCCCAACGCCTAACTTTCCCATTTCCAAACGCATATCGTGATCTATGGTCACGAAGCCAGTTATTCATGCATCCCATCGCTCTGTAGCGTAACAGCTGGCATTCTTGGGCGGTGCTGCATGATAGCTGCGTCGAGCCCAAGTAAGAAGCAAAAGGCCATGTGACCAAATCACAGCGGTCCTGCACACCGTTTTCACCACTGCCTGTCCCCATGCACCTCACACCGTCAGGATAGAGTGCTATCAAAGATAATTTGCCAAAAGTACGGTGTCACAGACAAACTGCACGAACGCGGCAGCCCTAATGACGCCCTTTTCTGCTGTCTAGCGACGCTGTACCACTCCAACACCCGAACTCTGACCTTGCATGGAAGCTTGAGATCAAAATATATCTACAATGATTGGACTTATCCTGCGAACAACTGACCTGGCGAACCCAGTAATCCTCGCAAACCCAGTTCTCAACCAGTATACATCTGAACCAGTTTCATGCTTCAATCAGGTGCTGTACACCACCAAACTAGCACAACGGTACTGCGTTGTTCACAGAATACCGATAGCTCGGATCTCCATTGTCTGATGACGTTTGTGGGGCGCGAGGATGTTAGAGGACCTGGCGACGTGTCGTCGGATGCTGCATGTGATCCCACAATACGTCTTAACAACATCTTGAGGCGTTTATTGTAGTGTGCATTTTGAAGCGATGCTCACCAAGTAGGCACGGCAACAAGAAGGCGCCCTCATGAGCCTTTTGGTTGAAGCTACGGCCGGGCACCTTTTGGAAACCATGCGTCATGTCTGCAAGTCATCCCGAACCATACCATTGGTACAGCGCGTCCGAAACTTCGTAATGTTCCTGCATACCTAACCTAGTCTGTTGTATGAAACCTAGCGGGAGTCATACTCTAGCTGAGACGCAGCATTTCATAATCGGTATGCTTGAAGTGGGTAAGCGTGTACTGAGCTGGAAAACGTGGCACTCAGTCTTGCCTGAGCTTTGTTATGAGGTAGATGCCGTCTCTGCCAATCAATGTTGTCTCGATCTTTGGATGCGAAACGGGACGTTCTTTTGTCTTTTGTTTCTTAGTGTTCAGGGTCTCCCAATGTCGGACCCAGTCTGTGGCCACTTGTCAGATTCCCTTGGCAAGTTGGAGGCGAGAAAACGAAGCTGAGGCTGTGCTCATCGGTTATCCGCCACAAAAGGCGAATATGACTCGAAAATATGTCGAGGAGCCAGCGGGGCGTCCGTTCTTGCATATTCTATGCCTGCAGTCATATGGGTATCAGGTCGATGTGGTAGTTGTTGGGCGCTGACGGTGTTCAACGTGCGCATGTGCGCCCACCCACGAGTGTGTCTCAACCAGATGACGCAGAACAGAGATTTCATAGTAAATATTGCAGGTGCATATACTTTGCTATCAACTGCTTGCAAAAGGGTATAGCGATGTGACACATCGCAGACAGCTTGAAATGATGCCCAGGTGCCATCAGCTAACCTGGAACGAGTAGCGATATCCATGAACGCTCGTACAGTAAGTAAAGCTTATACGCAGTACTCTCAGCTGACATTGCCACCTATATGGATGACGTTGCAGATACCACTATTGCATTCTACCTTCCTGGGATAGTCGAAATGCAGATGAGACGCAATCCGGGGAATCATACTCACTCTCCAATGAGCTCTAAGCTATACTCCAGCTGTACAGAGTACCTGGGCAAGTGAGCATGGAGTTGATGATTTTGAGTAGGGAGCGCAGACTCGAGGTGAAAGGGGTTGGTGTTTACTCCTTCGGGTAAGAAGCTTTCTATGACGGTCGTGCACCCCCCATGTCTTTGCTCACACGATCACGCCTGCTCTGCTTTCTTGCCTACTACCACACACGACATACATGTGAGAGGGCCTAATATTGGTCATACCAGGAGACCTTCCACCTATCATACCACGCCGATCCACAAAACCTGGTCGCATTGCGCAAGGTGTTCTGGAAGATACCCTAATGTCCGAGCAGTGGCATTATTCCGATCGTGAAGCAAGCGACTGCCCCTAGGCGGATCGTCCCTGTAACGCGTCATTCCAGCTTGGTACCGAAATGAGGCAAAAGGCCGTGGCGCGCGGGTGACAAACTTGAGTCCTGCTAAGGCTCTCCTTCGATGAGTCGCTGAGGGGCGTCAAGGCCCTGGAAACGTTGGCGACCCTCTAGAACCGGGCGGCCTACGGTAACAGCGAGCTGATGCCCCAGCCTCCTAAGGTCTTGATCTTAACCGTTCTTCACCAACGCTTTTGCACCTAGCACACCTAGCTACAGCGCCGCCATGTTGAGGTTCTCTCCGAACTCGACTCATTGCCAATAGTTTTCACATTCTCTTACGACTCCCTCGACATCATTCCGTCTTCAACTCCGCCTTAAGGTCTCAACCCGTTACGCCAAGCTCTTAGAAGGGTCTCGATGTACCAGCAGCACAACTGGACTGACAGCATGAGGTTCTTCCCAGGCAGCACAAGCTTACATACGGAAGAGCAGCGTCCAAATTTGGGATATGTCCAGTGTGTCGTTACGACGAAGAGATGCAAACAAGAAGAAGAGAAGATGTCAATCATGATCATCTAGGAAAGGAACTATAGATGTATCGCCGACCCTGGAAACATCTCGACAACGACGGCCGATCAGAAGTCATCCGAAATGTTCACGGCTCTTCGATTACAGCAAAGGCACCAGTGCACTTGTCGCCGCGTAATCACATAGACGAATACTTCCTACGCGACAGCGCTGGACCGGGAGTGAGATGATGGTGGTGCTTGCGATAATGCTTCACACGTGCGTCTTGACGCTTGTAGCTTTTTGCACACCCGGGCTCTTCACAGTCGTACTCCCGCGGACCCTCGCCTTGCTGACTGCCGTGCTTTAGTCGTTTGTGACGACCGAGGTTCCCCCTTGCATAGGTTCCTCGAAAATTGGCATTGCAACCGAGTTCAAGGCAAAACAGATGTTCTTTTTCCTCCTGTGTCGAAGGCACGCGACTCATATGTGTGGGCGATAGGGAGATCGACGCAGGCTTACGGATGACAACGTCATGCTGGAATCGTCGTACGTCTATTGCACTTTGTCTTGTTTAGCAGTTACTTATTACTTGCGATGAGCATTTACGTACTATACAGGGTTGTCATGATATGGCCTATCGGAAATCTCTGCAGCCATCGCTACACAACCGTTAGTTCTCCTAGTCGCCCGTCTTGGTACGGACTTGGCCGAGTCCCCTAGTCGGTATTGAGTTTGGGGTGGCTGACCATAGCTCGTTGTACAAGCATGCAGCATCGACTGGCCCTCCATCCCTTCCTGGGACGCTAATGGATTCCACGGTCCGGTGGGGAATCCGGTCCCCATCCACGGCCTTTCACTATCATACGGTGTTGCTAGTTGGTTGTCGTGAAGAGTTGGGCCGAATTCCTCAGGCTGAGTGCATGGCAGTTGGTCAGGGTTCTCAGTATGATGCCACTCTGGATTGTTCGACCTGGAATTCGTGGCGCCGGACGGCCATCCTCTGACCATGCCTTGACCATCGACATCACGATGATTTTCGTGGTACGGCATGGCAGACATTGCCTCTGGGTCTCGGAAGTCTTCGATGGCTCGTGAAAATCCTGATGCTGGATGTTCATGATCGTAGCCAAACGTTGCGTGGTATCTGGTGGGTAGCCTTCCCGGACCGCCGAGCGCATTCGCATTCGGAGCATAATGGCGGCACACACGAACGTTGTCCGTCCACTCTCGACCATCCGGTGCATCTTTATATGTCATTATGCGTTTCTTGGTGTGTTGTGTCTTCTTGGTGGACGTCCTGGGTCGAGAAGACAGAGGGCGAGTGCTATGCGATACAAACACTTCAAGACTCGGGGGCGTGCTAGCGAAGACTGTGCCCCGAGGCAGATTCTGCCTAGCTTCGTGCGCGAGGTGTGCGTGTGTAAGGCTGGCGCTTCTAAAGAAAGGTCAGTAGTGTATAACACTGTACAGGCGGCGTGCAATGAACGACGACTGGAAGGTACTGCAAATGCGTACATTGGCGAGCGGTCTCCTATAACATTGAGATCTAGCAGATTTAGCGATGAGGGATGCGTCTAATGCAACTGCATCACCTGGCGATACTTGCTTTGCTACCCCTTCTACGTCAACACCTGGAACCAGGAGTACCGTTGGTTGCCTCACTTACCCTGGCTATGACACCAGCTAGTGTTGATTTGGGCAGTGCTGACAGGCATGGAACATAAAGTCTACGAGATGAACAAGGAGCGCATCGATAGTCCAGACGATACCTGAAGATGACGACTGCAAGACGAGTGACGTTGCTCGAACGAATGAGGAGGATAAGACTGCCCTGTAGAGCGACTTGGAGGGAGGTTTGGATCTCATCGCCTCGGTCTTGCTCTTACTGGCGGCAAGTCGTTGCTCACGGTGCCGAGGCGCCCTCAAGACGAGCCTGGTGTCAGGCTACTACTATTGCATGTCAGCAAGAAGGCGATCACTTTCAACCCTTTCAACGAGGACTAGCAGCAGGCAAACTCATGTATAGACGGTGATTCACGACGAGAATGTTCGCATTGTGCCTCAGCGGCAGCGCCTACGCCCTAGGCTATCTTCAGCTCCGCGTTGTGGTGATCTGCAGCGAGCTGGTATGGCTGAACGAAACGTGTATCGCCCTGTTACGAGGAGTCCTGCTACTTCAGTTGCAAGGCAGACAAGCAACACAGCTTTCAAGGACCTCGAGTGTGAAGAAATCCTGGTATGAAGCAGTCGATGACAGACTTGCACCCTTGAGAGACAAGCGGCAGCCGAAGGGAAAGATTATGCGGCGCTGAAGATTACGGGTAATCATGAAAGAAAGATCCAGGGATAAACAACACCAGGTCAAAATCGAGACAGAACGCGGAAGATTGGCTACGCTTATAGCGCGTAGGAGATGCATTCGGCCGTCATCGTGGCTGCATCCCTATTAACGCCTCCATTCTTCAACAGCTGCATGCAGATGCAGAACAGCAAGTCGCGACCCTTCTGGCCACCATAGACACACCCGGAGATCAAGGCTCCCCACCTTGAACTGGTCGATGCAACGTGATAAGACGGTAAAAGAAGCGCCTCCTTTATCCATCTGCCACTGATGAAAATTAGCCTGACTTTCAAAATCATACCTATGCTCCTCACACGTTCTCAAGCCCACAACCATGACGGCGTCCACAGCCGATTTGAGACAAGCTGATTTCGGAGATTCTCAGGTTTCTGATCGAAGCATATTTGGAAGCCTGGTCCTTCCAAATTGTGAACCGCATGAATACACCAGCAAGTCCTAGATGTGAAGCAGCCACCTAACTGAACACGAACGATGGAGCGCGCATGACACTACTATCTCTCTACGGATCTACACCGCTGCAGTTCCTACAGTCCTTTGGAGGGGTGGAAGGTGTGTACTTCGCAAGTGATAAGCCAATCGTCTCTCAGCTACAGAGCCGCCACCGTCTTGATTACATGCTAGCGCAAAGCCAACAGTTTGCAGATCAGCAGTAGGGAGATCAATAGAGCCATTACGAACCCTTCCTTCAACTGAAGTGCGGGGTTTCCGGCTCCAATCATTGAATGCGGCATCGGCTATAGTGATTTCCGTTGCCTTGGGACTTGCGCGCATGCTGGACAATCTGCGTAAAGTCACACAGCTGACTTTCGTGAACAACATACAACCGCATGTGCGATCTAGGGGGTCTGTCTTCCGGTGCGAACTAATCATGGTAGCAGTAAGCAATGCGTTCAGGGTGCACTTCCTAGGCGCTCTCTTTGCTCGTATTACTACAACTTTTGCATTGCTCGTTGGAATTATACTTCAAAAGGGCATGCTCCTGATCTCCAAGCTTCTTCAGTCTCAACAAAACGGTAAGACGAACTGATTCCAAGTACGAGAAGCCAAGCTACCCGTGTTCAGCGATGTGGCGTTGACGCCAACAGAGTTCGGTGGGCTGTCACACAACATGGCCTTTCCATATGCACTCCTCCAGGATCGCCACCCCTCTCAGACTGCACAAAGCGTCTGCTTGAGACCTGCCCATGACGCCACCATACCTTCACCAACTCCATATTGCATGAGCACATATTCAGACAGTCTCGTCGGATGGTAATCTTGCGCTAGGCCCTTCAAAGACTAGCGAGATCGGATCAGTGTGGGGGCCAGGAAGGCGACGAGCGTCGCGAGATCAACTCTACCGCATTAGATTCATCAAAAGAAGTTCGCGCGGATTGCAGTCTGAAGTTCGCCAAAGACATGCACAACAACTACCAGAAGAGAACTATGGATGGAGTTTATTATCCAACAATTGAACTCTGATGCGCGGATGCGAAAACACAGAATCGCGAAAATCATGCCTGGCAGACTACGGAGGACTCCCAGCCGATCTACCCGTGTGTATCATGGCGGACAACCAACTTCTTTTCCTTTGCAACCATGGAAATGACCTTCTAGAGGTTTTTGGCCCGTTGTAGTGTTCCTCGCGTCGTGATGTCATCGGTTCTATCCGAATGCCATTTATCTCCGAAACAGCAGAGGGAGACCTAGACCCCAGGATCCCTTCGTCCTTCTTGTCATACATCTTCACTGTCGCTTGAACATGGTCCTTTTGCTCCATAAGGTCTCGCGATAGACATGCGACGAGCGTGTCAACATCTTCCAAGGTATTGACAGCTCCAATGGTTATCCTGACTATTCCAACAGGTATTCCATCCAGCATATCAGCCTCCGTATTGCACCGCAAGCCCGCATTGAATGCTCCGCGCAACCACTCGTCGTTCACGCCTAGCGCGCATGCGATACCTCCAGGGTTACACACATTGCCCGTACGAACATGGATCCTACTCGCTCTTAGCGACGCGCCGACGTGCCATGGGCCAACGTATGTTCCGTTACTTCTGCGTACATTGAAGGCTATCGTTGGTCCTTGCGTTTGCGAGTGGTCATAACTAGAGTCTTTCGACTGGTACATACGGCATACTGCCGCGCCATTGTCATGAGCCATGCTCGCCAAGCGCTTGTGTAGGATTTTGGCAAGCCAGCTGGCATGTTTCGAGACCTCCTCGAGCCCACCAAATAGACGGCGGTGAGTTGTTATGGCACACTTCAAAGCAAGTATATTCCGAAACGCGATTGTTCCGTCCTCTAACCGTGCATGTAGGCTCGATTCCTTGCGAACAACCCACGACTCTTTGATGCACGTTGTCATCTCCGTCGTACCACCGCCGAAATATTTCCGCTTATCGAACACATGGCCGGCTGATTTCTGAACGATCAAGGCACCAAGGTCTGGGAACCCAAAGATCTTGTAGAAGGAGAGTGTGATAAAGTCAGGGGCAAAGAGGTGGTTGCTCAAGTCAATTGGGGTTGTGGATACCAAAGCGGCTACGTCGAGAAGAGAGTAAGAGTTTGGATGGTGTAATGAGAGTCGGAGCTTGGTAATCCAGTCAAGCGGCAGTCTTTCACCATTCATGTTCCTATTGTGGCGCAAACGTCAGTGTGGACCCTCATGGCATGCACAAGACCACTTACGATTGAGCCGGATACGCAAACAACATCGGCCTTCTCGACAAGGGCTCTGCGTTGAAGGTACGGTTCCCATCGGCAAGCCAATCTTCTGTCTCTTCATTCGATACGAGGCAATGGCTACGATGGGCGAGTTCCCGAACACCAACAAGGCTTGTGTGGCTATTGCGATGGTAACAGTAATCGAACCCCTCGTCTTGGCCTGAGAAGCCTTCAGTTACCAATTTGATTGCGCCAGTCGCGTTGGCGGTAAAGACAACATCGAAGTACGCTGGATCGGCATTGAACATATTCAAAACCGCAAGCCGCGTTTGCTCTACCATTATGGCGGTCACACTTGGATTAGAAGAATCAGAGTGTGGATTGGCAAGAAGCGTACGCTGCATCTCATTGCAGAAGGATTCAAGTAATGACTTTGGTGCGAGGGTTGTGCCGCCATGGTCAAGGTAGGTCAGGCCTATCAACGGTCAGCAACATGTGGAAGGGAAATGACAAGTCAGCATACCTTTGAGCATCGGATATTCCAACTTCCGCATACGACTGATCCGTTCGTTGTAGGCTAATCGTTCATGATCGTCGTGCCTGTATTTGCCATCACTGGCATTCATAGGCCGTCGACGAAGGTGCTGGAAGCAAACCATCTTCCTATGGGACTTTACTTTAGATCGAGTGTTGGAACAAGTTGTATGGCCGACAATCCCAAGGAAGCAAAGCGGTGTGCTGTATGCTGTCTCAGTACGGGGTAAGCATGAACTATGAACCACACCACTGTTCTCACTGGAGACCGCAAAGACGACCGCATTCGCTTTGCCTGGTCACATCCTATCCCGGCCCCCGTTCGCCCATCGCTATCCTTGCCGATTATGGGAAGTTACAGTAACCTGCCAAAGTGCGGCACGCCTCTTTCGGGCGTAACCTTGATTAAGATCAGTGGTCTCAAGTCTCGACGCTGATCCACTGTACAATGACGAGCTTTCATGTTGGCTGTCACATACGACTCCGGCCACTATGTCCAATACGGAACGAACACTCAATACAGTCTATACAGGTGGCTCCAAATAGCAGGAACCTGCATCCCAAGATACTATCATCAACAAATATGTTCCCTAATGGCGACTACCTGGCCCCGAGAGATTAAGATTATTGGAACTAGGTGAGGCTGAGCAAACCAGAACTACATAAATATCTGAAGACGAACCTATCACTGCATGGGTGTCATGATCGATCTCGTCTCTAAGCTTACTGTCCAGCGGGCAACGGGCGTAGAGTCGAGGGTGGTCAGCGTCGGGTAATACTTTGCCGCACGATGCTCGATCCCAAGTATACCTAGACAAGAAAAGTACAATGACTATGATGGAAGAGGCCTTGGGTATTGGACCCGGAATTGTACACATGCGGTTATAGAAGCGCCTTTCAACATCGCCTCAACGCTATCTACGACTTGTAATAGGTGTGCCTCAGTCCGCGGAGTACTAGCAACCTCTTTGCAATAGGACTTGATGACTTGGGTTGCATCTTCGGATTGCGGCACATGCGATTCCGTCTTTACCTCGGAAAGACCTCCGTCAGTAGAGCGTTGGGCTCTGTGGTGCACACACGATTCTACGTTTCCAGCCGTGCTCTGCCCCAACTACGGCAATGACAAGGCCCACAGATGGGGCGGGCCGCAGGTCCAATAATCCTGCAACCTTCGTAGGATCTTTGCGATTGCGTAAGGCTGCTCCTCGCCCAAGTACTCCTGACAATTTCAGTGATGCTTTATACGCTGTTCTTTGTTGATAGTATTCGCAAACATTGTTTCGGACGTTGGCCAGATGTCTTGCCTAAAATAGTGTGCTATCGTTCGCTGCGACTGCAGGTGGAAGACTCCAAGCTGGTCTTGGGTTTGTATTGGTACCCAAATGATCTACATGTACAGAACGGCTTGTTGTGCACACCAACACCACCACCACACGATTATGGGCGCACCATAACTTACTGTTTAAATCACACCTTGCGAAAGTTCTGACGTTGGTAGTGGTTCTGGATCGTAAGCAGGCTATCGAATCCTCTAAGCAGAGATCCGCCAGCCTGGTAATGTCCACCTGGGCACGCGCAGTCCCACATCCATTACCCAGTGCCATGACCAATGCCGGCGCATTGGATCCGCGCGCGACGGGATTGTCAAAGTCGAATGCGGTCTGTGCCAATGTCGCAATCACTTCCCGCCGTGTTGGTGGTGTTCCGCCCCGGTGGTTCCCGCCCCAACGCTATCTAGGTACCTGATGCTACGGCCGGCACTTTGAGCCCTGAGCGATTTGCAAGCGTTGCATGAGTCTTCACTACTACACACAACGTTGTCAATTCGGCATCGCAACTCAGACAGCATACTGCTGTTTACTCATCGGCCCCATCTATCAAGATGCGATGGTGTGGTGACAGATAGGCTTGCATAAGTGGCTTGGGCTACACCTCATCTAGCCGGTCACCCGCTGCTCTCTAGGCCCAGGTAAATTTGGGAAGAAGTCTTGGCTCCTATCGAACCATCATCATCCTCCAGTTCCCTCCCTAAACTGCGGCACAGTCGTCGAGTACGCTCCAGATACGGCCCGGGCCTCGATTGATTGTTGGATGAATTGATTGATGTTCGCCGCAGATACTCCAAAAGGGCTAGACACATCAACCAATGTGCCAGAACGGGTGTTCCCACATTGATCGACCGGCTTTGATCGCTCGTTCGTCCACACGCTCTCAGCCGGCGGATGTATTGGAGCGCTTAGGCTCTGCAAGACATCATTTTACACACGTCTTGATAGCGGCAGCAATGTTAGTCGAGAGCTAATACGAGGTCGACTAGTAGAGAACGCGGCCACAGCCCCGTGATGCAAGGACAGATGACTTCTCATCGGTGGGTTCTCTCGGTGTAAGGGCTCCGGAAGTGGTAGGACATGCAAAGTGGCTTGAAATGCCCACATATTGGTCGGATGTGAGTACTCGACATAGGTATGAAGGGCGCTTAAATGAAGGTGGCGCTCTCCTAGACGCAAGAGTTTATCCACAGCTGCGTTAGTATGCACCCACCACCACATAGAAATGGCAGAGTTCACCGAGGCTGGACATCAAGCTGGTCAAAATGCTATCACATAGAATGGCCAGTGACCAATACAAGCTGAGAAGAGACGTGTTACTGTTCAGTATTATTCGGTGCGTGGGTGATCGAAGTTGGCGATACCTTGTTTGGTTCAACGTATGATATTCGCTGGAGCGCTTTTACAGAGCCTCAGAGTAAGCTGCCGCTGAGGGATCCATCCCTCCACTACAGGTGGCTGGTCTCATATGCCGCAGAACAATGGGTCATAGCACACCGATTGACTATCAGTGGGGGCTGTCGAAGGGATGTCCTTTCATGTAGGGGCGGAATACCACTCAGCGGTTTTTACAAAGGCTGACCATCTCTTCTGTAACTTTGAGCTTGATGCTGCTTTCGCGATCCCAGTGCACCCCTAGTCCTACGCGATGCCGAACAAATGTGGCGTTTCGAGCCTCTAGGATCACTGTATTCTGTATCGTCGTCATTTCAGCCTATACTGCCTTTCTAGGCAGAATCGACTCCCTACCATGGTAAGTCAGCCAAGCGGAGTGTCAACAGAAGATGAAAAGACAACTTCGCGCTGCCTATGGTCATCGTCGTCGTACTGACTGAGTCTCTAGTCTGCCTCACACTGCGCCCCAACGTCTAACCTCTCCCCATCGTAGCGCGACTCCGACCACGACGCGAATGCAGGTAGTGGGTCCCCTAATCCTCCAATCATGACGGCCAGCGAAGAGGGTGCCACCGCAAACACAATTACGACATGACCAAGACCTACAAGACAGGATCTATGAGCAGTACCACAATGCTGTTCCGGGTGGACTGCTGTAATTGTTTTCAAACCTGGAGACGATTGCAAGCTTTCCGTACTCCCCTGAATGATTGTCTGACGCCCTAGACTACGTGGTGATTGAGCCTATCGTATCGCGCCAAGGGAGGACCTCACATGGAGCAATCCAAGCTACTCTCACCGCTTGATTGAAGCAGCAGCGTCGTGGTTCCATCGGCCATGCGCAACTGAAGAGCTTACAGTTGGGTTTGAGGATGAAGATGAATTGTTGTCATGCTGAACCGAGTTCATGACTCCGGTGCAAGCAGCAATGTTCCGTCGACGCCGCTGGATCTCCTTCCAACGATGATGTTGGACAGCGACAACGCGGTCCCGGAAGTGCGGGTACTAAAAGATTGCCCGAACGTGTTTCGGATCAGCTCCCAGAAGGACTGCCCGCGCTCATTCTGCGCTCCATTGGTGTTGGTAGTATCTTCGGCCATCTGTTGCCACACATCTCACTGATGTGTTCGCCTTGTACATCACCACCAGCATTACTTGTTGGTGCGCACCACATCCGAGGCCATCGCATATTCTCCGTTCCAGCATCTGCAAACATTGTCTTGAAGTCAGGATCCTCGCGGACCATCTTTGCGCAGCAAGGCTCCCAAGCACCCCTGTTTGGACTAACCCGCGTCGGTCAGACACATCACCTCCCTTCATCACAACTCATCCCGAATAATATCCATCATCGACCAGACTTCATCTTCCTGACTCCAATCTTGACTCGACGTGTTACTCGCCCTCTGCGCCAACCGTTATCACGAAGGTCGACTTCTCGACACTCGAGAATCGGGGCTGCCGCATTCTATCCAAAGAGAAAGTGTTCCTAGCCCATCACTAAAGCCAACCGAGACTTACTACCATGGAAGACCTAGAGTTCTCAAGCTCCGATGGGGGCCGCAGGTACTCGCAGTACTCGACCTCGTTTGACAGCGCTGATTGGCGTAGCAATAGCATGAATGAGTCTACTGGTCTCAATGCGGGCTGGCTAGGAAGCTGCTCCAGTTACGTGCGTGTCGAGCACAGCGATGCCGAAATTACTGGGGGGTCCTCCCGAGCAGTGGACTCGTGGTGTAGCGCTGAACACCCCGAGCTTCAGGCTGATCTGGCAGACCAGAACCTTCAACAGCAATCGCCCAGCTATCCAAATCGCCAAAACAGTCTGCATACAAATCAGTTCGATTACATGCACTTATCAACGTTGGCGTACGACCCTCAATCCGAAGTTGATCACCAGAGCAACACCGACGATCGAAAGGAATACTGGGCTCGAAGATCGGAGCCGGATTACTTTGCCCATCCTCCCCCAATACCTACTCCGGATGCCGAATACAGCAACGACTTTCACTTGCTGTATAGTGTGCCAGATGTACTGAATGATCAAGGACAGGCCTTGCCAAACAGTGGTATTCCGTACTACACACAGCCAGTCTACCCAGAAGAAGATCTTCGAGGCGACATCAGGCTGCACTATGCCGGACACACTCGGGAGAGCAACAATGGGGCTTGTTCTCATCAGCATCTTGTTGCAGAGGATGTAAATGGTCCATGGTCCACGGTGAACCCACAGAACAACTGTCCAAGACATCTAGAACAGCAGATGAACCGTATACTGGATGTGATCAACGCATCCGACTCTTCTCCTTCGACGCGGGATGGAAGCAACGAACAGCAATGGGGAGAGGCAAGCGACGTCACTGTTCGTCCCGATAATGCTCAGCAAAGCCACCAATCCGGTCACTCAAACGCCTCACGACATCCGCTTCCCACTCAACACCAAGCCGGACTCCTCATATCCCGAGACCTAGCCATAATACCGAATGGTCCAAGATCTCTTCCTATACGGACCAGGTCCCCTAGCATGCGGTATGTGTCGCTGGTCAGTGACCTTCGCCTTTGACGTGTACTAATAGCAGTAGATCAATTGATAACAATCGTCGCCCTCCAATATCCGCATCCAACACACCTGCTTCTCCCAGCTCCGCCCAATCAAACGTGGTTCGCTGCCCTGTTTGCTCCGCGCAATTTGAAGGTATCTACGCACAGGGTAACTGTGGGCGGCATAGGAGACTGAAGCACGCCGTCCAAAAGAAGGAATACCCGTGCGAGCACAGCACTTGCGGCAAAAGCTACCAACGTTCGGACGCCAGGCTCAAGCATTATCGAAAGTATCATCCAGAACTTATTGGTTGTGCTGTGTAATCGGGGAGTATCTGGCCAGCGAAGTTCAAGCTAGCATCAACTCCGTCGGGAATCCGGATAGAACTATTTGCGCAAGGCACCACCTCCGACGTCATCGCTAGGCCACTTGTGTCTCTTCTTAGGCCTTTCATCTTTTTCGCAAAGATGTTCGCCTGAGCCCACACACCGCCCTTCCTCCCTTCCTTTTGTTATCTTACTTAGTAGCTTTTGCTCTTCTCTTCTTCTTGAAATGCGCTCGAGCGCATATTCCCGATTGCGAGGCGTTCGAAATGATCAAGGGAGCACCAACTCACACATCAACCTTGCTGACTGCCTTTCACTCTCTCTTTTGGAAAGAAAAAAAAATGCCGACGCATTCTGTCCGATTCAACTTATTGTATATTGCAGCCGAAGCTTTTCTTTTCGATCCCCGCTAGAAGACATATCTAGATGTAGGACGACGTATCGTTATAACGTTTCGACGATGTGGGTAATGTTTCGGAACGATGGTGTTGGGTCAGGCTTGGTGATGGAGTTGGTTTGATTTAAGGCGTTATGGGATACGTATACGTTGGTCCGGGTTGCTACGAGCAGTTGGATGTCTAGATGAGCAACGTACAATAGAAGCATGGGCGTTGGACAGGCTAAAACGATCGGTTGTTGTATGACCGAAGACACGAATAGGTCAATCAAGTAGGCATAACGAGTAATCTGGTCTACGATGACTTCGGATCGCTACGTGTGGAGGTGATGTTGACGGAGGCGTATGGCTGTCGAAGAAAGAGATGTGATGTCGGATCGTTTGCAGTCCTGCATGAGGAGACAAGTTGACTGCGACATCCGCTACCGGAAGCTACAGAACAGCCCCGGCGCATTCCCTGATGTAGCTAGCGCTGTAGATTGTCCAGGGAAAAGGAGGGTACGATCGTGCGTCTCCAAGGGTCTACCACATCATTAGTGTCGTTAGCGGCTTGCTGTCTGCAAGCCAACAGTGTTTCTTTTCACATATCTGTGTTCTTTCTCCACAAGCGGTATTGTACATCACAGCGCTGTCACTTACTCGCTTCGGCAGCGACCAGCAAACATCATGGACGTAGGGGCCACGGAAAGAAAGCAATGCCGCTATTGGTCAAGATAAGAGACTTGCCGTTCACTTGTCATTCAAGCTCTCTTCATGCGTCGCGTCCCGGGATGCGAAGGGCTTGAAACACAGGAGGAAATGATGCACTAGTCATGAAGACAGGCGATGACTTGGCGAACAAGCTCGTTCCATAGACCTACTTCAACTCAACCACCTTCTGAGGTTCAGACCTCATATTTAGTACTGCAAACCGTTAAAAGGCAAAGCCACGGATCATACCTCGGGCACGAGAAGGTATCGAGCAGTAAGTAACATGGTTGCCCGACGAAGCCAGCCTCATGTGCCCTTACGAAACAACTAGCGAGTACGTACATTGTTCACAGCAGTCTTGACTCATCATCTCCTAGTATCAATAGGCTGACAGTATCTCACCGACACGCGACAGTCCTCAGCGCTGATGGTGTGCATACACTGACCGCTCATAGCTAGCACGTCAACTCTGTATGTGGAGTCCAATTTTCCCTGCTGGGGAACACAACATGCAGACCTATCAGGTGCTGTTTGCACTACATATGCATTCCTACAGTTACACGCTTGCTAGGTAAATACCATGCTTCGCAGGGTCACGGGCTCAACAGAGTAGACCGTTTTTCCCTAGACCTTGCCCGTTGAAATCCTAGTCTGAGAACGCGCACCCCAGGCATTCTTGCATGTATTGCGCCCGCTATCAGAAGCCAGCGTATCAGCATTGAGAAGATTTCGAGCACTTTGTCGAAGCCACTGCCCCTGTGCAGTCGAGACGACATGAGTACCTAGCTAGTCGTCTCTTAACGATGTCACGCCAAGCCTACCGCTCCAAGGTTCCATCAATGGGAGACTATACACACATGCGTAGAGCAACCCAATGGATTCAGTGCAACGCACTCAACGGTCCAATTGTTCTTGTGGTTGCAGAAAAAGTGACGAACAGTCGCCTATCGTCAGCCTATCAATCTGAACGCCAAGCAAATCGATATCGCCAAGGCAGGATGGTTTTGTGCTGGACGCGCTTACCCGTTCTTGTCGGTCAGTTGCGCGCAGTTCCACGCAACACAACTCTACGATCGATACAGCTCTTACGAAGGAATTCATATCGTTGTATCCATATAACGACGCTTCTTGCTCCTCGCGATCTTGCTCGTCACGTGGACATATGGAAAATCAATGTAGCATGAGGCTAACACGAAATGCTAATACGCTGCAGTAGTTATGTACGAAGTCATGATGCTTCACACTTTCACGAAACCTCGAAGCCCTCAATGTCGCCCTTCGCATCGTATTCGCGGACTATGCGCTCGTACATAGCGATACCCCCTCCATGAAGCACCCTTCGCATCGCCTGCCGTCGCTTCTCTGGATCGCCTCCAGTAAGGCGCAACGTGGCGCCCTCGTGATTGAAGTAGCCCGGCGTGCAGGCTATCACGACAGAATACCACAGCGACCACTTCTCGATCTCATCCACCCACGCATCCTCGGCCTGCTTGGTCGGTTCGATGACAAGTTTTGTAGGGTCCGGAGCCCGGCGAGCAGCCTCCTTCAATACATTGGCGAGATGGGTAGACTCGATGTCGTAGACAGCAGTGAGGTTCGGCGAGCCTGCTCCATTGCCGAGACCGGGATAGAGCAGGTTGGGGAAGCCATTTGTGGCGATGCCATGCATCGTACCAAAGTCGGCAGAGCCATACTTGTCCTTAAGACGGCGGCCATTGCGGCCGATAACGGGTATGCCAAAGAGCTCTGCAGGCGCTGCGTCTGCACCCGTTGCTAGCAGGAAACCCGTGGCGAGAATCAGCACATCCAGCTCGTACTCGACTCCGTTGGCGACGAGACCCCGCGGCGTGCACCGCTCCACACCCTTACCATCCGTGTCTACGAGTGTAACATTCTCCTGGTTGAAGGCCGTTAGATATCCGTCTTGGAAAGTGGGCCGTTTGCACCACATCGGATACCACGGCTGTAGCTTCTCTGCCGCAACTGGGTCCTTCACTACGGTGTTCCGCACATGTGCTCGAGCTTGCTCTGCTAGCGGCACGTCCATCTCATACAGCGCACGAGCGTGCTCTGCTACGTTATCGGGCGTGACGAGTTGCGGGCCTCCAATGAAGCCTGCAAAACCACGCGCCATTTGTGTCCAGCCGTCGCCAACAAGGTCTGGATGATCCGCTGGATGCTTCTGACCGTCGAAGAAGGTGTCGAAGTTGAGCCGGCGAGCGCGTTGCCAGCCGGGTCCCGTCGCGACGTCGCGTGTCCATGTGTTGTCATCCGTAGCCTGCTGGCGGCGCGGTACACAGTACGAAGGCGTGCGCTGAAAGGCATATGTATGACCAGCCCAGCGTGCTACCTGTGGTATTACCTGCACTGCTGTTGCGCCAGTACCGATGACGCCGACACGCTTGCCCTTCAGTTTCGAAAGAGTAGCATCTGTTGGCGAGCCACCAGTGCAGTCAAAGTCCCAGCGTGCTGTGTGGAAGACCGGAATGTTGGCGCGAAGTTCGTCGAAGCCCTCGAGCTTAGGCATTCTTGGCTCAGTGAAGATGGTGCTAGCTGGAATTAAGAACTGTGTCAAGATAGTCATTCCCTCGCCATTGCTGTGTTCCTTGCGCATGCGGACCACCCATCGTTTTTGGTCCTCGTCCCACGTCGCACTGAGCATCCGTGTCGAGAATTGTCCGCGCAGACCATAGTGCGATGCCACGCGCTCGCAGTGTTCACGAATTTCGTTGCCTGATGCGTACTTGTGCTTGGGCACATAGCCAGTTTCCTCGAGAAAAGGCATGTAAATGTAGCTCTCCACATCACATTGTAGACCAGGGTAGCGATTCCAGTACCATGTTCCACCAAAACCGCCCGCCACGTCCACCAAGTATATGCCCTTCGCTGAGAAGCCTGCTTCTACAAGTCGTCCTCCTGCCAGCAACCCTGCATGACCTGCGCCGATGATGAGAAACTGGATGTTGTCACCGTCCTTGAGTGGGCCGTCTTCCTGGTGCGCATATTGTAACCATGGGTCATCAGCGAGCGGCTTGTCATCTTTGCTGGGAAGGCGTGTGTACTGCTGAAATCCGTCGGGTCGCAGTCGCTTGTCGCGCTCTTGCGCGTATCGGGCTTGTAGTTCGGCGGCGTTGAGCGTTGCCATTTGTGCTTCCTGTCTGTTCCACTGCAGAGGGAAACTATGAGTAACGAGTCTGTATTTCGGAATGACTGGCTTTACACCAGAGTACACAATTTTATGTCAATCGACAATCCCAGCCTTTTATTGCGCCTCTGCTCCCCATCTTAATGCCCTGCTCCAACCTAATCCTCTTCATCTGCCGTGTCTGTTTCTCCCTCATCCGAGCCGGCTTGCCCGGCAACGTAGCGAGAGTAATCTTGCCATGGTGTCGCGTTCTTGTGGTGTCGGATCCCGACTTTAACCAAAATGGTCCGATCTCGTTGTGGGGGCGCGTGTGAACATCAACGGTGGATTTTGGCGCTATAGACTGCTTAGGAACGACTCCCTCCCCGCCTCATTCAGGAAGCTTGTAATTGCGATTAGGTCATCAGGTCTATAGACGACCCTAAGCCAACATACGAACCTGCAGCTCTGCGGCCCCGCAGCCTATCGAACAGGATCGTCGTTGAGCGCAAGAGGATGATCAGCCTCTCGCCCCTGACATGAGGACATTCTCACACGCATCCTTCATGTCTTCATAGGTAAGGCTCTAGACATGAGCTCTGACGACGGATTGGAAACTAGAAGCTGCAGTTCAGTCAGCGGAAATCCGGCAAGAAGACAGTAGATTCTGCAGCAGAGATGCAATGTACCTATGTCTCTTCTCAACATTGTACAACAAATGCACCGATTAACCCCAAACTCCCCGATAAGCCCCTTGCATGCCGAGTACGTGACGTGTTGACGCACCAATAACCTGGCGGTGAATTCTAACCCGAGAGCCTAAAAGCCTGAAAATCTCATACAGCTTAAGAAGTGCTTAGCAGTCGAAGGGTAGAGAGATCCAGAGGAAACTCGTTTCGAGTCTTGTCTCCTCCTGAACTACATTGAACTCCACGCATCGTAGTTGAGCTACACACAACATGTCGACCCTACGCACTATCGTGGAGACGGCACCTGCCAAACTCTCGTCCATCTCGTCGAGACCTAAAGATGCGGCACCAAAAGCTTCCTGGGGACCTTACTTGGAGCTCACACGCTTCAGCAAGCCCGCCGGACTTCTGGGCGTCTACTTCCCCTACTTTATTGGCTTCCTCTACTCAGTCAACTTGACCAACCCGAAAGCCCTCTCTCCAGCCGACTGGGCCAGGCTGAGTGCTGTCTTCCTGCTCGACGGCCTCATCTTACGCAGCTTCGGCTGCGCGTGGAACGACACTGTCGACCAAGACCTCGATCGACAAGTCGAGCGCTGCAAGAAGCGGCCGCTCGCCCGCGGTGCCCTATCGACACCAGACGCCCTCTTCACAACTCTCGTCCTCGCCATCTCGCGCCACGTCCTGTTTTACGCTACACTGCCAGCCCGAGCTGGTCAGCAGGCACTCCTCACAACCATCCTTGCCCTCTTCTACCCCTTCATGAAGCGCTTCGGCAACTTCCCACAGCTCTGCCTGGGTGCGGGCGTGGGCTGGGCGGTCTTCTTGGTTGACGCTGCCGTCGTTGATGGACCTTACCCAGCTGCGCCGGTTCCCATGCTCGATATCGAGGATCGCAGCAAGGCTATGATGGCTATGTGGGCCTGTCAAACTCTCTTCAACATCACTTATGATACGGTTTACGCCTTCCAAGACATCAGAGATGACCTCAACGCCGGTGTGGGCTCGTTGGCTATTGCCGTGCGTCACTACCCTAAGGTGTTTCTGCTATCGATCGCAAGCGCCATGGCCGGCTTCTTGTGGGCCACCGTGTCGTGGGGCGGTCTCACGCGCGGCCCGTACCAGGTTGGTGCCGGTGTATCTTCTTTTGCCGCATTATTCATGTTGGCCCGGCTCGACGTGTGGGATCCGAAAGCGTGTAGGAACTTCTTCGTGTACAGTCAGTGGTGGGTCAGTGGGGTACTGGTGACTGGTTTGGTGGGTGAGCTGCTGATGGCAAAGATGTAAATTTGAGAGTCGCCGACGTGAAAGACTCTTGGTCGAACCGTTAAGAAGACTCATCCTGTGACAGGACATGGCACTGTAAGGATGCAAAGATGACGAGCCATTTGCGGCTTTATCAGCTCCTATGCATGCATACGAGAGTAGCCTTATAGATAAGGGTATCTCGAGAATAACGAACTTATGACAGAATATGGGGAAGTCAAGGTGATCGATAGCTTCTGTTTAACATAGAGCAATACAAATTGATTCAGACCATTGAAAGTCTAAGCACCTCTGGTTTCCATGGAAAGCGGATAATTAGTAATCTGAGTCGTGCATCAAGCAGTATGAATAGACAAGCAACGGTGTCTGAGTATGCAATCCCAAATGTAGATACCTAGGTACCCCTCTGATTGCTCACGGTGAGCACCGAAAGTAGGAAATTGAAACTCGAGGAGATTGCTGCAGGTTATCGGAGAAGACGCGTTCTACACAGTATGTCAAGTGAATACTGTGACGGTTGTCTACGTGAAGCCGTTTTAGGACTACAGCCTGCCAAGCTATACTAAATACCTATTTCGGTGACTAATTCTGGTATATGGTAGCATAAAGAACGATACTCCATGCAAAAGTTAACGCTGTTTTGAAAGCCCCAGTGGGTACATAGTCGCAAAATGGGGGCCCTCTCACTTTCCTTAGGCTTCCTAGGCTAGTAAATGGGTCTCCACCTTGGGATCTCGAAATCTAGAATACCTCCTATGTTAGCGAAGATATTCCCGATTTTGAGATCCATGAATCATCTCCTACAGGAATGCATTTCTTCGTCATGCTCTCATCCATGGCAGGCATCTTTGGAGATGTTGGCCAGTCTAGTTATTGCGCCGCAAACACATATCAGGACGCACTTGCACGATATCGAGTATCAATAGGCGAGAAAGCGTCCAGCATTGACCTCGGCATCGTGACGAGTGAGGGCTACGTCGCTGAGAACCAGGTAGTGATGGATCGTCTGACAATGCTTAACCTTTTCCGTCCACTCTCGACAAGAGAGGTCCTCGCCCTTCTCGACTACGTTTGCAACCCCGACTTGCCTCCCAGCAGACCCTGTCGGAGCCAAATTGTCACCGGATTTGAGTTGCCAGCCGACATCGAGTCGAAAGGACGAGATGTACCCAGCGCAATGGAGCAGCCTTTCTTTTAGAATATGCGACAAGCAGAATATACATTCAAGCGTGGCGAGAACCTAGCGTCACATATACGCACATTCTGGTCGGCATTTACGGAAGCGTCCTCAGGAGATGCGGCGGCATCGATCGTCGCGGAAGCGCTGAAGATGAAGGCCAGCCGTGTACTCGGATTACCAGCGGATCTGATTAGTATGAATTCTGCACTAGACAGCTACGGTGTTGATTCCTTCGTTGGCCTGGAGCTACAGATTTGGTTGTCAAAGGAGTCGGGCGCTAACCTCGCTGTATTCGACATTCTGGGTGGAGCAACGCTACCGAGAATTGGCCAGATGGTAGCTGCGAAGAGCGCGCTAAGGACTCAAAGCTAGGCACTAAAGAGTAGCAGAATTCAAGACAGCATGCTGTCGTCCCGTTAGTGTTGTTATCCGAGCGTTGTGTGTTGCCTGACTGTTTCTGATGACCGACGTCGTGATGTAGTGCATTATTTGTTTGACAAGAATACACATCGAATTAAGGTACTTCACAAAGCTGTCACCACGGGCAAATTGAATTGAAGTAGGAAATATAGCCTAGTTCGAGAAGAAGCTATTTGAGTATATATACAAGATCTATGCAGAGCGGCAAGTGAACGGCTTATGCGCGGTTCCAGTTGTGGTAAGTTTGATTATGTCCGCAATCGTTGCGTAAGATCCGGCGCCCAGCGTTGTGATCCCAATGATGAACGCCAACAAGCAGGCCGCGCTCATCAACAGATTTTCTCTCGCAAAGGGGCTGCCCTTGCGAAGGAGACGGTACCACATCACTGCGGGAATCCAGAATGAGAAGCCGGAGACAAACAGCGCAGAGGCGAGGGATAGCAGGTCAGAAAATATAGGAATGGCTTCGGCAATAACCCACGCAATGATGGTGAAAATGGCGACCAGTACAATCCAGGAAGCCCAACCGGCGACCGTGTTGATATACTTCAACACCGAGTTCTTGAACATACGGCCGTGGATATAGCGCAGGGCGACGGTAGTGTTGATGCTACCGGAAATGAAGATGACAGGGAGCGCAATGCCAAATGCAATTTTCGAGACGAGCGTACCAGCAGAGAGGAGTGCTGGGGAATCGACACCTTTGCCAATGAAAGCGTAGCACAACGCTCCGGTAAGCGTGTAGATGCAGATTTGAATGACGCCAGATGCCCAAATAGATTTCATATATTCTTGTGGCGTATGCATTTCGTCCATGAAGCTGAATTGTCCGATGGCAAAGCTGAAAGCGAAGATGACGTTGGAGACAGCGACGAAGGCTTCCGAAAAAGTCAAGTCTTCTTTGGGCCAGGCAGACCAGTCAACAGCAGACATGCCGCCAGCCTTGTCACCAGCTTGGACACCGGTTGCGATGATGGTGATGCCGATTGCGATTAGGATGGACGCAAAATCAATGTATCCAAGGATGGCGACTTCAGAGAAGGAGGGCGGAATGGCGAGAATGAGCAAGATGATGGCGGAAACAGCAGAGAACACGATGGAACAGACATGGCCACCGTTAATGTTGATGAGCGCGATACTGCCGGTCAACGCGTGCGAACCAACAACCATGACGAGTTCGAGCACCAGCGCAGCACCGAAGAGTTCGTAGCCGAAACGGCCGAGCAGAAGGCGGCCTGCATCGGCGTAGGACGCGACCTCTGGGAACTTCAGCTTCACCTGACCAACAATGTAGCTGGTAAAGATGGCAACGCAGCCAAGTCCGACAGTGAGCAGAACGCCTGGAAACATGCCGAGAGTTGCGTAGGCCTGGGGCAAAGAAAGCGCGCCAAGGGCGATGGCCTCAACGATGGTGACAACTGCGAGGCGCTTCCATCCCAGACGATGGAAGTGAGCATCTCCGTCTTTGGCGATTTGTTTGGCACGTTGCGAGTCCCAGACCTCGCCCTCGCCGAATAATTGGTTGTCAGCTAGATTAGAATCGTCATCGTTCTTGTCGTTCTTGCGTCGTGTCGAGGAGATGTGGTCGGACATGTCGAGCTTGAAAGGAGAGAAGGTGACAGATGACGGCAATTAGGGATCGAAGAGATGTTCAGCTCAGATTTCAAGTAGCATAAGTGATGAAATGAATAAGAGCAGACAAGGAAATTGAACAAGACACCAGTCCCTCTCCACATAGTGCAAGATGCCCCATGGTACATATATGAAGGCAGATTCCCCGCAAGCTCGCCAAAAGTAATGGAATTGACACAACTAACAGGATATCGTTATCTCGACACGTGGAGACCCAGCGCACAGGTCGGCATCGCCTTCCAGCGGTGCAGAGTCTGAGCGCGCCACTTGCTGCTCACGATGTTCTGGGAGTGTAACGTGAAGCATTCGGGAAGCATTCGGGAAGCATTCGGCCTGACTAGGCGTGCAGATCCTTGCGGAGCATCGCGTTGGTCTTTCCTGAAAGCGACAGCTAGGCGAGATGTTTTAGCTAATACAAGGATAGCCGGCCGTTCAACGGCTGCACTATTGCATTGCTGAAAATTCTTGATGCACTACGTCGGTCCAAAGTGGATTCTATGTGTCGCCAAATTCTTCATACAGTGCTAAGCTTTACTGTTTGCAATACAGACATAGGGGTCTTTGGCCGCAGCGTTGCATTGCGCACATGCGCGTCACAGTTCTTAACCGGGATGCGAACGTGCAATGTTGCGGTTATCCGAGGCCTATATTCGTTGGGGCAGGCGAGCTGGAAGATGAGGTCAAAGTAACACTTGGTTTCCGTTCACGAGTTCCACCATTGCAAGTCTTTCTGGCATATTCTCGGACCCACGAATCCTCCTCTGAGAGCGGCCATAGCGATCCGATCAGCATCTATTTTCCCTCTTGCGCGCTGCCGTCTACGATACCATGCAAAGCTCTTTCGAGCGTGATCTATTCCAGGGCCACAGCATATGTTGGCGCATGAAGAATAGCGCGAGGAGGCTTGGTCTCTCAAAACGCCAATGTTGATAGTACCGAACGGTCGTGTCCGTCGTTGTCGCCCAAGTAGGTAATTCAGCCCTGGAACCCGTCACTTCCGCTCGATCTTGACCCGCCTTCTCTTCTTACAAGTCTCATCGCACTGCTCTCGCGAGAAGAACTCTCTGTTCCTTCATTACCCTTCTCTTGCCATGTCTCCATCTGCCCGCGTTGCCTCCTAAAACAGCTCCCATGCCTACAACCTTCCTGCAGTAATGCCAACAAAAAAGATCTCACTTGACACCTCTTTGAACTCGCACTCAGCCCCCTTCGAGATTCAGTACCCTTGATACTCAAACTCGTCGCTTGATTCAACCTACACTCGTAACAACATGAAAGGAGTACTGCAACTCGACTACCTCTAACCGTTCATGCCTCGCCTGCACCCCATCTGCTTCCTCATACTCACAGCCATGTAATTGATTCCCTGCTCCCCCTTCTCCCAACGCCCCGCAAAAGAGCACTCAGCTCGCCAGCCCCATCAACTCGACCTCACTACTCCGCTGTTCCACCTCATGTGCTACCCAACGTTGCCGCCTGGTACGCTGCTGCTCGAACTCTATTCACTCCACCCTCGTCATCTTTGCCAAATGTTCTGCTTCCTATCTGCCCATGCCTACCTGTCTGCCGTCCTGCGACAGGCCCGGCGCTTTGGAAATCGCTGCTGGGCTATGTACATATCATGTCTGGATAGCGGGGTAGAAGATCTGACATCACGATCATCCGACATTGCGACGGACTGTTGCAAGATCGCAATGTGTCTGTGATGAACGGCGATTATATAACAGTGCCCTCTATCGCGAGTCACCGTTGCAGTAATGCAAATCCAAGATCTTGCCGTAGGCGAGCGTACGCTAATGGATGAGTTGTAGGTTAATTTTAGTCTCGCTGTACTATGTGATACATTATGTGTTTCATAATGAGCGTTCTTCAGTAAATCCTAGACATAATATCTACTTGATAAACGTAAGTAAATGTACTTGTACGAGAAAGCTACTTGCTTATTCACAAGATATTTTCTGAGGCATTTCTCTGCTTCGATTAAGGCGAGCTCATACCGCATACCTGAGGTACAATCTTCCATGGCGGCGTCTTGCCTTCATAATCGCCCCACGCCTGAGGAACATCTACTACGCCATTTCTGATATCGCCCAACACTGGAGAGTACTGCCAGTTGTTACGGCGGTATTCATTGTAGATGTCTGGAGAGTAATCGCAGCCAGGCCCGAGACAGGAAGTCTTTGCCTCATTGAACGTCTATGCGATTTACTTAGCACACACACCTCATCTACGGCATAACACATTTACTGCGTGGTGGTACATTCCTGGGAATAATCTAGGATGAGCTCCTTTCTTACCGTGATCAGGACTGCCAGAGTACGGATCGTTGTGCGCTGTCGCTTGGTCTCAGCGCAGCTTATTGTACCCACTGTGCTGAGCAATGAGAAGTGCCTTGCGCTCCCACCAATCGCCTTGGGTTCTGCCAAAGACGACTATGGCACACTCCCAGTCGTGTCGGTGGTTGTAGTCGTTGGGATAATACGGACTGTAGACGATGCGCTAGGTTGTGTCGCCTGGACAGTAGACGCCGTCGACGTACACAGGTAACGGAGCGCTTCTCATCAGAGGACCGCTGTAGGGTTTACCGCCGTTGGGATCGCGACGTTTACTTCCTGTCATTGCCGATTAGACTCCTCGTCATGGAGAGAATTGGATCGCCGCGACACCTACCAACAGCAACGCCATCTGAGGCATCTGCCGAGACGCCTGGGGCTGGGCCGTCTCCATTCGCATCAGCGGCACTCTCGGGGTAGCAGGGCCTTTCGAAATCGTTGAGTCGGGCGTGGTTCCATTGAGGCATTGCTGCAAGTGCAGGTCCCCAACCCTTGTCTCCCATGTTGACAAAATCAGGGCCGCAGATGGCAATTCCGCTGACACCGCTCGGGCGACCACCGCAGCCAGCTTGCCTCTTTTCAAGACCCAGTTGTGCAGTCAAGTTGCTGATGTCACTCTGATCGATGTAGTTGATATCAGATCGAGGTTTGAATTTGCTACCTTCAATCACATTCTGGATTCCGTCAGTGGCAGCCAAAAGTACGTATAGGTAAAGCCTACATTAATAAATAGTATATGTATTTTCTATCCTAACCTCCTTCTATTAAAAGCCCTATCTTTAGTAGTATAGTGGATACCTAGTAGTAAGTTAGATTAATGCTCGGAGGTTCGCTCGTTGCGTTACCTGGCTATCGGTATTCAACAATGACGCAACCCTGGTTAGCGCCTTGGCATCCGGATGTCCCGCGATCGTTGCCCTTGTCCAACGCGACTCGCGACGAACAACGCGCCTCTGCCCGCAACCGACAATATATTTCGCCATGCCCCCAGTCGGGCTGCACAGATGCGTAAACCAGCCACGTAGTGAGCCTCAATTAGATCGCCGGCATAGACGAGACAATGGACGGAGCGATAATCCCGCGACCAGAGCGATCCCACGGAAGGAGGCGGAAGGAAGAATGATCCACAATGCCATGAAGAGGGGGTCGTATCGAAGAGCATCAGAACCATGTCTTGTTGTGTGCACATGCATAACAATTTGTTGAATTATGATACCTAAGCTTCTGGAATTGGCACTGGCCCGGCAGGTGGCTTGCCACCAGGCAACCAACCCTGATGCACCGTCCTGACACCCCAACTGGCTGGGTAATCGATCTTGGTGTGGAAGAGGCCGTAGTTCTGGAAGAGGAGGATATCGTGCTCTTCCTCGGGACCCACCCAGATGTGTTCGGGCTTAATCATCCTTCCTTGGATGTTATCCAAGAACTTCCTGACCTCACCCAAGTCATCGATGACCTTGGGTGTGTCATTCGGGCCGTTACGGATGAACAGCCTACGGGCAAGGTTATGCTGCACCTGGAATGACTTCTTACCGGTGACGGGGTTGACCCAGACCAACGGAAGCTACGGTTGCGTTAGTGTCAGACTGATTGCGTATGTTCCCAGGTTGACCATACCTTTTTCTGCCAATCTTTGTTTCCTTCCTCATGCGCCTCTACCTCTTCGTCCGGCAGTTCCCTGCCCTCGTTTGCGACGCCTAGGCCATTTGGAGCACCACGGCAGCCCTTGATCTTTTCATAAGGCCAATACATGTACTCAACCCAGCTGTGGTCCACCGTCTTCTTCTCGTCATCGCTCAGCATATCATACAATTGCTCGACATCTACAAACGCTGTTCGTCCTGGCTTGACTTCCATGCTCTGACCAGAGCCGTCAGCCCACTCCACTGTCTGCGTGCTCTTGCCTTCCGTTGGGAACTTGATAGGCCGGAGCATGGTGAAGGTCGGGGGATCATACTTCCAGTAGGTGCCGTCCACATGCCACCAATGGAAGCGGGCCTTCCCGGCTTCAAAGTCTGCATCCGCGAGCGGCTTCTGGTAGTACTGGTTGAAGTTGGTATCGCCCATGTTAAGACCAGGCTTGCCGTATTTTGGGTCGTCTTGAGGGCCTTTGCCGATGAACACGAAAGCACCCGCTTCTGGAACTTCGACATAGTTGATGGCTGCCACTATGCCATCTTTTGGGTAAAATGCCCTGGCGAACGTGGTGTTATCTATCTTCTTGGAGTCTGGGTCAAGCTTCTGCAGTAACTCCCAGCCACGCTTCGGTTCCAGGTCCTTTTGGCCTTTGATGATAAGAAGCTTGTGCTCCCAGGTCGCTTTCTGCAACTGCACTACCGTTTCGTCTGTAAACTGGTTTAAATCGAGGCCAGTGACGGCAGCTCCGAACTAAGTGCAATATTGTAAGCGGAGAACAGCAAGGATGAATCCAATCTCTGGTCAACACGTACCTTGCATGTCTTCCCCGAAGGATGAGCCAGAGGCTCAATCTTGAAGTCGCTTGCCATGGTATTGAGGATGAAGAATAAGTGTGTGTTGACGAGTTCTATCTTCGCCCGTACGATATATCTATGGTAATGGTATACCGAAACGGGAAATTGGGTCGCGTAACTGCTTACGTACAAGTCTAGCTTCGCTGGTTAAACTTTGTTCCTGTATTGGTGATTATCGCGGACCAATTTGGCAAGTCGGGTAATACCAAAATCCACCGAGCCGCCTCATCCAGCATCAACCTTGGAACAACATGTCTACATTCACTCAGACGTCTTAGAATGGAAACTGGCATTGTTCAACGTCGAAGAAAATTACGAGGCAATCCGCCGATGGTGCCAACCGGTAGTTAGGATACGAGAACTTTCGAGAGCGGCAGTTGTGTTTTCGGAATGAAAATCCACATGTGAAGCCGATTAGGCCAATCAATGAAAGGAAGCTTTGGCCAGGAAACACCAGAACTCCAGCAAGAGACATTCGTGGCAGTCAACAAATTTACAATTTAAGAGCTCTAGAAAGAGCAATATATCATACGCTGCTCCTGTGCGCCGAAGACAAAAAGCGAAAACAAACACACTTACAACCTTTCGTGAACCGTTGCTCGAGCACCAACTACCTGGATGCCATCTCCATGCATGCTGTACGGCACAAACGTTTTCCGTTCCAGCCCAACCTTCTCGAGAATGCGATCCCACTCCGCCAGTGACCTCTCTCGCGCCCCGTAATTGGCCATCATCAGTAGATCAAACGAGGCTCCGTACCAGTGTGTGCTCTCGTCCCCAAGGGTGAGCTCGTCAAGCAGGATGACCGAGTCAGGAGCCAGTGCATCCTTCAGTTGTGACAGGATGTTAAGACAGACTTGATCGGGCCAGTCATGCAAGATGTTGCGCAGGTAGTAAACGCACGCGCCCTTGACTGGTTGCACCTTATTGAAGTCATGATGAACGACCTCCAAGCCTTCGATACCCTTGGCAGAGTCGATAGCAGCCGCGTGTGTATCCTGTAGCACAACACGTCCTTGCACCCAAGGAAATCTCCTGATAACCTCTCTAGACTGGTGCCCGTAGCCACCACCGACGTCCACGAAAAGCTTTCGGTGCTCAACACCCGCGCTCGAGGCGTGCACGTACTTTTCGAGTAGGAACACATCGAGCCAGCTCTTTTGCCCTACCCGCTGAAAGGACATGTATTCGTTGAATGCCTGTTGGTGCCGTGGTCGCTGCGACAACCATTCAAAAAAGTGTAGGTCGGTGTTTTTACTTAAGTTGAATGGAAGGTTCTTATTGTCTTGCGGTTGCTTGTAGGAATTGTCGGCTAGCCACTTTGGTATCGCGTTGTAAAGTGCAATATTCCTTTCTGTTCTGCAAAGAGAGTCAGCTGTGATTGTCAAGACCAGACACGGAGTACTCACACATGGAATATGACAGACTCTAGCCCTGACATGGAAAGATATCGCGTAATGTTTGTTGCGCGGTACGTCTCGACGCCGACCTGCTCCACCATCCATTGCGTCGCAGCCCACCGCAACACTCGCACTAGCAGTGCTTTTTCCGCACCCAACTCCACAGCCATCTCACTCACACTCATCACTGCACCCTCTCGCTTAGTGAGTAGCCTCCACAGCCCAAGATCAATACCAACTTGCACCATGTTGGGCGGTAGTGCACAGAAGATCAATCGCTGCATGGTGTCCCACGGCTGCTCGAGCTTAAGAGAGGCCATTCTGGCAGCCTCCAAGAATCGGAGCCGCTTTTCCTCATCGTCACGAAGGGGAGCTGGGATGTTGCCAGAGGCAAGAGATTCGAGAGCTTCAAGGATAGTATCGGCCGCGACACCCTCTCCGGGGTCTGTGTTCAAAGATTCAGAAAGGAATGGTATGGCAGACATGATAATGTTTCCTTGCTAATAGATGTATATGCAGGTCGCTGGATGGATAGATGCAACAAGTTGCGACAAAGGGATCAACTTATACAAGAGAGCGCGGCAGCAAGGTTTCAGATCGACGTTACCCGTGTTGCGATCGGTACATTGTATGTTATCGAGAGCTGCTTGCATGATCGGTGGCCGAGATTGTGGTTCCGGAAGATCATGTGGAGTTTAGCGATGGTCGCGAGCATGAGGAGTGGAAACCACCGTGCGATCATGTCGTTGATTGACTCGAGTAGTATTCCCCGAGATAGAAAACAAGCCGAACTATCGCTAAAATCTGTAGACCCCCTATACCTCCACTCTGGACCCTTTCTTGCTACATCTTCAACCTAACAGTCTCCGCCCTTTCCGCCACCTTCTTCGTGAACTCCCCCACAACATCTGCACATAGTGCTAGCAGTGGATTCTTCACTGCTACGTCCCCACCGATTGACAGCCCTGATAGCAAGGCATCCCGTAGCCGCTCCAGCACCCGTTGTGCTTCCAGTACCCGCTTCACTAGTAGCACACGCACTACAGCCCGCCTGTCGGCACCCTGGATCGGCAGTGATCCACAACGCAGCGGTTCGCACTCCTCGTCTACCACGGATGATGGCAGCATGAGATCGTTCCCATTACCGTCGCTTATGCTAGATAAAGACGATGGTGATGAAGATCCCCGATTATCATGATTTGGGTTAGGTGTCATTGTGGGTGTCCAGAGGGAGTTGCCGCCCAGTTTGAGCGACACAAGCGCCCGGTCAATGGCTTCGCAAATGAGGAGCGCAGTTGAAGGGCGTGTAGAGCACTCGTTGGCGCAGGTTATCGTAGTACAACAGCATGTAATGAGGGTTCTGGACGTTGACAGGGCGGTTGACGTGGAGGTGAGGGGTGATGAGGAGGGTCCGTGAGAAGGCGTAGATAGGTAATCAAGAAGGTTGGAGACGCAGTTGCATGATTTCGTCGAAGGAGTGGTTTGGTCGAAAGACTGTGGACACTGTGGATGTACTTGCTGTTGCGGATGGGTCGCATAGCTGCCGTTTTCGATGTCGCTGCTGCTCGTGGTCGGTATCGGTATGTCGTTCTGATGCTGATCTAGATGGCGAGGTTGGTGACCGTCCGGGGTAAGTAAACCAAAGTACGGTAGCCCTTCGTCGAAGAGCATGGGAGTAGAGAGGGATTGGTGTTGTTCCTGATCGTGTTGCTGCTCCCATGGTGGTCCGCAGAAGCCTATATTGAGAAGCTCTGGAGCGATGTGGAACTCGGGAGACATGGCGTAATAGCAATTGGTAGTTTGTTTCGGTGTACCGCATTGTGAGCCCGTGAAGTCCGGAATACCTTGCATGAAGTCGCCGTCTGACCGTGGATACGAGGAGAAGTCCATATCGTCGGGGCTCGGGAGTGGCATAGTCTGCGCTATGCTAGGGATAGTGGATGTATTGGAGCTGGAGCTGGAGCAGTCTTCGGAGGCGGATAGCATGCTAGGTGGACCAAAGGGCGACGTCTGACCTACGGCTGGGATGGTGATGCCGTGCTCCGTCATGGGTGTCAAATACCCTTTCAAGCTCGCAGATGCACTGCTCTCAATGCTAGATGTGCTCTTGCTGTTGTTGCGAGTGCGTGGTCGTCCAGCACGTCGTGCTGGGCTGTAGACACACTCTATGCCCTTCTTTGCACATCTGCGACATTTTGGCCGTTCCTGGTCGCATCGGATCTTGGAGTGTTGGCAGCTGTCACATGCGAGGCGGTACTTTGTGGGTTTTGGCATTGGGACGTTGCCCTTTGCACTTGAATGTTTTTCTTGCATATTTAATTTGACGTTGATATATTGATTGATAGCTAGTAGGTAATGGCGATATCGCGGTACATGTACTCACCATCGTCTCAGGCCAAACTGTCGTGTGTGGAGACGCTAAAACCTGACAATATGGAGGGACTTCGGAATGGTTTCTGGCTGATAGCAAGCGCTGATACTACTAATCTCGCTATGCAGCCACGTGTTAGCTGTTCGATCTCGAACTACCTAGGTACGGCGGTGGTGGGAGGCAAGAGTTTCGCATGTGGCGCTGGGATCTCGCGATCTGGGGACACTTCGGAAGGAACCGACGCGTTACTACGTTCCAAGGTTACATACTGAGGCGTAATCGTCCTAGCTAGGATTAAGTGCTACAGTCCCTTGCTAGTGGCCCACTTACAATAGTTTTCCTTGATACCATGGCAGGTGAAACATGCTCTTGCTAGCCGCCTCCGTACCAAACCTTTGTCTTTTACCACAGCATTGGAACTGCACAACATTCAATATGTCATCAACTTTGCACTAACGCACGGCTCGGAACGATGCACGTCTTACACCGTACCTATGTGTTGGAAACGGTCGCTCGGCCCAATCACGGGATGTACCGATCGGGTAGCACGCACTCGACTAGGGTATAGACTTTCCACATCCCACACCTTCCAAGGTGGATTGCCAAGGTCTGCGGGGTCCAGGTTGAAGCAGGGCTCGGACTCGTATTGCGACGATCCTATTGCAAACCTGGAGTTAGACTTTGGTTGGGCTGGTTATTGGACGCCATTGGCTCGGTGACGGCTTCAAAAGCCGCCAGCAAAGAACGTCTCCATATACACACGTCTTCTTGATGTTCTTTCACATCTTGAGGTGGAGAGGTACGGACCGTACGGTACCGCAGACGAGCAGTCTTGGCTTGCAGTCGGAAACCTTTGCTTCAACTTGCCGAGACAAAATTATGACCGGAATCAGAAACGTCGGACACAGAATGAACGATAGGCAGTTTACTATGTTGTACGATGGACAAAAAGAACGGCATATTCGGGGGTTGGCACGTCTGTTCGCTCAACAAGCAGAGACAGCGGTGAATAGAGCAGGGTTTACTGTTCGAACTATAGCATACGTATCACGTCAGACAAAGACATCAGCTAGTCGTTTTTGCGATATTTCTTTCTCACGAGTATCCTTCCGTATGGGTGTGACTTGGACTGCAGATGTCGTAAGTGGCTCGTCGGTTCTGCAGTATCGCTTTACCTGGACGAAATGGATGGCCACCAGGGTATCAGCTAATGTTACTTACCAGATCCGTGCGCTATCTCTATGCGCTGATGCTATTCTGGCAGGTTTGCGTGGAAACTGGCGATCCGAGGGGATATCTTCAAAAGGGCCTTGTTCGGTTGCACCCACAAGTCCTTGAGATAAGATATATACAAGCCTTCGGGCCGAAGTAACAAGAGGGCCCATTAGCTAACACGATCGGAACCCGTCGTATCCCGCAAGCTCCTTGAAGCACATTGTTAGTAGAGAGCCTTGTGCTCCCGCCTCAAACGCTAGGTGGGTATCGCTTGATGAATCTGTTGAACCAATTAAGTAGATGAGCAGTTTCGCGTGGAGACTAGCGGACGAAAGGATATGTCCAAAAGGGCCTTCTTCGGTTGCAACCACCTACGCACAGATTCATCGTCAAACGGTCCAGATTGCACCATCACGAGTGCTCGATTCGAGGTTTTCCAAACCTTTGACTCCCCCACGTCATATGTAAGTCATGTTTTAGTATGGTGTAGAAGAGACTGGTGAAATTACGACTCAACGTGCATAAAAGCATGAGCAGCAACGAACGGTCGAACGCTACTTCGAATGGTGTTATTTACAATTCAGCTAGACTCATTATGGCATAGCTAATTCTTTCTTTGTTATCCTACTAATGTGGCATTCAGCCCAAGAATTGTTTTACCGCCTCAAGACTTTGTTTGAAGTTGGACACCTCATGCATGGAGATACCTAGCTCCTCCTTTGTGACGAAAAGGCCTTGTTCCTTGACGTGGCCAAACCAGTCCGTCACTGCCTCGCCAAACAGCACTCCAGTAACAGCCTCTTCTCCTGCTAGGCCAAATAGTTGGCCGATTACCTCTGGCTTCACTTCGACATATACACCTTTCTTGCCTGAGACAACTTCCCACTGTTTCAACGCCTCTCCCAGAGTGATCACCTCAGTGCACACCCCGGCGTATTTCCCATGCGTTAACTTAGGGTTAGCGAGAATTTGGCGCGCCCAGATACCAGGGTCCTTGGCCATATCGCCGGCCATGGGGTAAACGGTCGCCGGATCCGACGGAACCATCCAAACATATGTCCCTGGCGCAGTGGCCTAATCGCAGATTGATCAGTCTTGTCATTGGAAGACATTGAGAAAGCATTCACTTACTACTGGTTGTGGCTTCAACATGCCAAAAAAGGCAAAGTTGGATGGATAGAAACCGAACATGAGAAAGGTCGTCTTAGCAGCCAAGTCTGGCATGTTTTTCCGGATATGATCGTCGACCTTCGCCTTGTAGTCGAAATGAGGGACGGGGTATTTGCCTTTGGTGATTATATCTGCAGCAGGAAGTGTGCTCCAGATGTAATGCTCCAGCGTTGGCACTTCAGCCGCCAGCTTCGCAAGCATGATGCCCTGGCGCTCTTCAACTTCACCAGCTCCTATCTGGCCGGCGCCTTTGAAGAAAGCTTCCCACCATTGTGTTACCGCAAAGATGGCTTGAGCACCCTGTTCATGTCAGATACCTATCAGTCACGGGGCGCAAGCAGTAAGTGACTTACGGCAAATGCCTTCCTGACTGACTCCTCGTCTTCGTAGCTGGCTTGGACTACTTCCATACCCTCTGCAGCAAGTTTTTGCGCCTTTTCTCCATTGGGATTCCTGGTCACAGCGCGGACATGCCAATCTCCTGTCTTAAGCAATCCGCGGGCGATAGAACCGCCCTGGTTGCCAGTCGCACCGGTAACGACGACAAGTTTCTTAGCCATATGTGGAAAGTGAACGCTATCTTTCTGGATTTACGATACGAGAGGGAGGTAGATAGCAGAAGGCTCGATTGTAGAATGAGATATGCACGTCCTAAAATGGCAGCATGAGATTGAGCGGAAAGTGTTCGACTATGAATAGGAAAGATAACTCTTGAATACACGGAAATGACCGGACGCACGCGAAAACAATCGTTGTATACTAACCTATTCTCGGTGTATGAGAGTTCGGCTGAAGCAGTGCGGTATCATTGTTCACTGATTAGACTTAGCAACTGAACTTTCGGGGAGTAAACGAAGCATTGGCATCGTGTATCATCACCACTCTCAGAACTGAGTATCCGGCAGTTCAATCTTCGGTAGTATACTCGTAAATGTCCCGCAGAGTATCTGGGTAGCTCGGCCCGATGTTCCACAAATGCCCCGAGTCAACATATGTGACCCACCACTATGGGTCTTCGTGCATTAGCTACGAGGGTCGGTTGTTCTAACCGATAGCTAGGTGAACCGTACCTTGAAGGAATTTGCTGTATTCATGTGATTGTGAGAGTACCGTAGACCTTAGCGGATAAGTATAGGATACGCTTTATCCGGGACCGACGCTGGAGAGACAAGCATGTTCGTGCAGCCACGTAAGGTATTACGTTTGAGATCGCTTTTCACAGCTCGTACCACCGTGAACATATGCACCGGATAGTACGTTGGTGAGATCAAAATGCGCCGACTTTTCGGTTTCCCGGTAACGGATGGGTTTTCTCGAAACCTATTATTACAGTAGACGAGATCGCTTCCAAATAGTGAAGAACCATTTACATCTTGCTGCCCTTTGCTCCTATAGATTAGTTTCCTTATCAACCATAATGTCGAGAACTGCCAACGCCTTAGTATGCCGCGCTGCGCCAGCACTGCGCTCTACGGTACTGCAATCAGCTCGCTCGCCATGCCTTCGCAGAGGATTTGCCCAAGAAACGAGCTTCCCAAAGCCACTGAAGCTGAAGGGCGTTCTCAAGCCTCTGAAGCAATTCATGGTGACGCCTACTGTGGGCACTGAGTTCCCAGAGGCCAATCTCGTTGAGATGCTTAACGCGCCTAACTCGGATGAGCTACTAAGAGACCTCGCCATCACAAGTAAGTATGCAACAGACGTCCTTGGGGAAAGACGGAACTGACGGATATCTCTTCTGTAGTCTCCCGACGCGGAGTTGTCTTCTTCCGAGGCCAGAATAACATGACCAACGATCTCCAAAAAACACTGATCCAACGTATGGGCGAGCTCGTGGGAAAGCCGAAAGAATCTACCCTACACATCCACCCCGTACTCAACCCTCAGAGAGCATTGGGTGGCGATGACCTCCACATCAGCACCATCAACTCCAAGCAGAGGATAATGGCCCAGGGCAAGTCTGTACCTCGTGATCTGGGAAACGCAAGACAGGCACTTGAATCGTGGCACAGCGACATCCAGTCTGAACAAGTGCCCTCCGATTACACATGCTTACGGCTCGTGGAGCTGCCCTCTGTTGGAGGAGGTATGTCCATCTCAAGACTTACCTTCATACACCATACTAATCCGCTTCTCAGACACATTGTGGGCATCTGGATATGAGGTCTATGATCGCATCAGCGAGCCAATGCGAAAGCTTCTGGAAGGAAAGACTGCGAACTACACCGCACCATGTAAGTCAGATGGAGCAAAAGTCATCGAATCCCTTACCCACTGACACGTCTCCCCGCAGTCTTTGAGAAGATCATCAAGATGAAGAACCTTCAAGTATACACCGACGCCCGTGGCCACCCCGAGAACGTTGGCAACCCTCTAAAGGCAGTACACCCAGTCATCCGCACGAACCCCGTAACCGGATGGAAGAGCGTCTTCTCCATCGGCGCATACCCAGGTTCTATCAATGGCCTGACTCCCCCAGAGAGCGAGATGATCCTGAACTGGCTGATGGACATGGTACTCCGCAACCATGATCTACAATGTCGCTTCAGGTGGCAAGGTCCAAATGACATGGCCATCTGGGATAACCGCAGTATGGTGCACAATGCTACCATGGATTACGATGAGTTTGGTGATCGATTCGGATACCGCGTATGCGGCATTGGAGAGAAGCCCTACTTCGATCCAAACAGCAAGTCGATGCGCGAAGGATTGGCGGAAGAGGCCAAGGAGGAGTCTTCGTAAACGAAGTAAAAGCTGTGAGGTTACGTTGTCTTGTTAAGCGATCCGAGCTCTCTTTTTCTGTCGAAGCATAGTTCCTTGTAGTTATCAAAATATGGTACCTGGCTGTTGTCATGGGGATGCTCCAATTCTTGTGCTGGGGGTTCGGAAAAGTTGCCAGTTAGTGAGACGTGCGTGAAGCAATTCACATGTTGGTGTCCAATGAAGTGAACATGCTGACTTGGTGAAAATCTTGCCCATAGCGTGTCCAGTCTCCTCAGGCAAAATCGGTTAAATCGTCGATAGTCGAGCGTCGTCGTTGGTGCATCTGGGAGACTTGCCTGTGATCGGAAGAGGTCCTGGCGACGAGGCTTCCTAGGGGGCACGCTAACTTCAGCGCTAGGGCCGCCCCGGATAGGACCGACATGCGGATACGAGCCCAACATCAAGCTTCGATCTGCTCGAACCAAGCCGACATCGCTAACGAAGCAACCTTCAAACGCAGTACGAATGTTTATTCGAATCTATTCAAGCTACGAAGATGCGTTTATACGAGATCGAATGCTGCTAATAATGGTTTCCTCCAACCCCGCAAAGCCTGGCTGGCCCATATCCTTCAGCAGCGCTTCCGCCTTCCCTCGGGGTCCAATTTCGGCCAGCGGAAAATCTAGGCCCGCGAGTTTCTCTTGGTGTTTGTGACCCGGGACCGCCTTTGCGAAAATGTCAAAGAACTCGTTGATGGAGTATGGGGCGGCAAAGGCGAAAATGCGTTCATCGGTGGTAGTTGGGTGGATCAAGCCGGCTACATGAAGCCGTGCGACGTCCTGCACGTGAACATAGTAGACTGCTCGAGTATTAGCCGTCGGTTGAGTTGCACAAACAAAGAGCGAAGATCACGTACAGCGCTGGACGTGTTTGATAGAGTCGACATCGCCGTCTAAAATCTGGAGCGGGATCCTCGCGGTAGACGGGTAGCCCTGGTGAGTAACGCTCAATGGACTTCCGTAGATAGTGCAAGGTAGCACCGCGTTGACAGAGAAGTGTGGCTTGTTGTTTTTCACCCACTCCCAGAAGGCCTGTTCTGCCGCTACCTTGGAGGCAAAATAGCCGATCATGAACTTATGCATTGGCGGAAGAGTGTCGGGGATATTCTTAGACAAGGCCAGTGTTTGCTCATCATACTCATGCGCAGACACTGTATCGGTTCCACGGTATGCTTGCAGCGAGCGGACCGCAGCCGAAGACGACGTCAGAACGAATCGCTTCACACTGGGCTCCTTCGCCGCGGCTTGCAGACAACTCAATGTTCCGGCCACAGTGGTTCGAATCAACTCGTCTGGTGTGACGTGCATATCCCGCACTGAGGCAACGTGCGCGATACCGGAAACACCTAGACGTTGGAACATCATCAGTGTTGGAGCATTACGACATTGAGGCGGGGAACATACCTGAGACTGCGTCATCAAATGCGCCAGGCTCTCTCATGTCCTTGACAGTGATGAGTTCGAACTTGTCCTTGCCATACTTTTGCGAGAAAAGATCTACGAGCCATTGGTGCTTAGCCGCGTCTCGGACTGTGCCTCGCACTTTGTAGCCTTGTTGAAGAAGTTGGTCTGCGACGTGAGCACCGACGAAGCCGTTGGACCCCGTAACGAGGACGGTGGAGCCTGGGGTGATAGCGGGACTATCAAAAACGGCCATTATGGAATAGGGTATTGCGCGATTCTGTTGTACACTCACTAGATCTTTAATAAACACTACGGAGTGTCATAGAGATGTAGATAGTTATTTCATCCCGAACTACTTCTTCTTGCGAGGACACCATTTTGTAAACGATGACATAGTTAGACAGCTGCGGCTCTTGGTAGTCTTCGGGGGATTAATCATGTCGTGCGTTCGAATGAAACCATTCCTGATTCAGATGTCGGATGATATTACACAGCTGACATGATGGTTGCATTTATCCATTACTAGTTTAGCAGGCCCCCCCTCGGGAACCTAACTTAAAAACACACCGAGTTCACTAGTTCCTGGCACTTGCACGGCCCCTGACTCGACTCACGATATTAGGTAAGGTGTGGCCATCTCCGCGACAATGGAGGATACGAGCAAAGATGCATCGCGCTGACTGTGGTTGTGCCTTTCTTGCGCTACGAACGCTTGTGCGCGTCGAAGAAGTTACTACATCATCGCAGGTGCCGCTCGAAACCGCAATCCAAGTCACGTCTTCAGTGGAACAGCCCTGCCTCACCGTATTGAGCTGCGAACGGTGCCGCCAGCAACGACTCCCGCTTACCGCTGTCACGATTCTATGCGCCCATCTGGTTGACTGGCTGTGCCGATTATGGAACCTAAAGGACGAGGACCCTGCCGACACCTCCACAGATGCCAGCAACGCCAACACGACTACAACTACAACCAGCACCAGCGAAAGCCGACATGCAACTCTGCCCTGGAAGTTCTCTCTTGGAAACTATGATCTCGCGGAAGACGAAGCCGATGCGCTCAGCAACGAATTAATGACATTGCGGCTCACTGGTTTCTCCGCTGTGTTAGGCTCTCTTGAGGCCGCCCTCGTCACATCTGGGCCAACTCCCTGTGTTCCTTCTTCGCCTGGGGGCAACAACGACACGACCAGCGACACATCGGCGTTTGCGCCAGCTTGTCTCGAACTTGTCCGAGCGAATCTCCGTCTAGTGCGCGCATGCATTCGTCGCCTCAAGGCGCGCTCGCTACTGAATAGCGATGGGACCAGTGCTTCGTTTTAGCAACAGTTCTGCACACATACCAGACTTGGAGTCTTCAATGAATTTTTTTAGTGGTGGTATATGTTATCTTGGATTCGAGCGCGCCATGGGGCATTAAAAGGTTCGCATTCTACACATTTCGCGCCGGAAATTAGTCCTGAGACCAAACTTGAAGGTACGTTTGCATTATATTTCCATTGTTCCATCGGATTCGTCGGAGTACTACAGCATCATGGCTCTCATTGAGCCAAGTAGCCCCTATTTCTAATTAGTATTTCATACTCTTGTTTATGTCAGGATTGGAAACGACATACCCATCCAGTACTAGTGACTGACCAAACATGTAGCTGCTCATGGGCCCGGCCAGAAACGCCACTGCATCAGCGACTTCCTCTGGCTGTCCCAAGCGGCCTGCAGGCACACGCTCGCGTACAAGGTTACCGATGAAAGCCTTGATCTGCTCCGAAGAGTCGATGGTAGGAGACGCAATATATCCAGGGCAGAGCGCGTTGATGCGAATCTGTTGCGGCGCAAACAGCACACCCTCAGAACGTGTCAACCCAAGTATAGCGTGGCGACCCGCTACATAAGCACCAGCAGCGATCCCAGGCGGCGAGGCAGCGAAGGCATATACCGAGCAGACGTGTACGATGCTTCCACGGCCATACCGCCCATCGCGAGGCTCCTGCCGTAGCATCTGCCGTAGCTCGGCCCGATGCCACAACCACAAGAGTGTTACGTGGTCTTTGAGATGGGCTTCGAATGCGGCGGGCGCTGTGTCCGGACTGCCGCCCATCGGCCCACCGAAGCCGGCATTGTTGATGGCGAAATCGATACGCCCGAAGCGCGATGCAGCTTGCTGAACAGCAGCCTCAACGGCATCTTCGGTACTGCATTCGGTAGACACGCTCAACACGTCTGTTACGTTATACTGCGATGCTAGCTTCTGGATGGTCTCTTGCAGACCGGCTTCGTTGGTGTCGACGAGCGCGAATTGGCGAACACCATGCTGAGCCAGCGAGTATGCAGCGCTTTGGCCGAAGCCTACCACACCGAGTCAGTTTTTTTCTTAGCTGCAAACCATATTGCTAAAGATTGTAATACATAGAACGCCGAACTTGACCTACCAGATCCCGCTTCTGTGATGAGAGCTGCTCCCGAAAGCATTTTCGATATGATGATCTTCGTAACCGCATCCTCATCCCGTGGATCTCGATGTTGTTTTATCGTGATCATGCATCGTCGTCGGGGCTTTCTGACTCGGTGGATTCAGAAATACACCGATTGAGTTAGTCGGTTTCGTCCCAAGATCCAAACACTAGCGCGGAGCCGGGTGAGGAGGTGTGATCTCGGGAGGTGGAGGAAAACACCCCGCATAAATCGCGGCACGATATGCTGTCAGCTTAAAGCGCCCGATGTTAAGCCGCCATTGTTCTGTTGAATCTGAAAGCGACCGATGTGTAATGGTCTTGCTTACGACACTCTATCCACATGTTCGATTTGATGAATCAGTACGTTGCTTACCTCTCCAAGAATTGTGCTGACACAGGAGTCTCGGTCTCTAAGCTCCATGTCACACCCCTCACTTAAAGCGACACTTCTCCGTGAGATAACCATCTCGCAAAACATGTTGCATGTTGCGGCATGCATCGAGGTCGATATGATAAAACCAAGCTGGTCTTAACATAGACTCAACCGTTCAGATCCCGAGTTCAAGCTGTAAAGTCTTCGATGACATGCTCTTATAAATGCTAGCCAGCTCAGTAGTACCCGTGTGTAGTTCGAAACGTCGGATAAGATGAGAAATATGCGCGATTCTCACAGCGTATTCTTTGCATACAAAGCTCATAAGAGTCAACTTTCTTCAGGCCATGCAACTGCAAGATCCGCCATGGGTATGGTCAAGTTCGAAAAGTTACTACCACAATATCGTATTATGGTATGTTCGACAAATTCTTCGTTGATACATCGCTGTTGATTCTCAGTACGGCATGGATTTGCCTTCATCTCGAAGAACTGTTGAACGTCGTCCTCGGTCTGTATGAAGAAGCAACAGTAGAGGGATTGAGTGAGATCAATTCACTCCAGGACTCTCCACAGTGGTTGTCAGCGTGATGACCCTTAAGGTCCCTACAAAAACATGAGTGCAACCATCACATTAGTAGCAGATGTCTTTGGCGTAGAGGAATTCCTGTAGCCGGTTCCGTGAATGCGGTCCTTGGTACCGCACGTTGGCGAAACCTTGGGATATCGTTTCGTGTTCGGTTACTGGACGAAGGAACGCGGGTCACTCGCGTGTACGCGGAGAGGCCTGGGTGATAGCAGTGAATGCGATGGCTACCATGTTTCGTCCATATCGAATCGAAATCATTGGAAAGGTGATGGCGCTTTCACAGTTGGAAGGCGATGAGATGCACAGGTGTCGTCCAGAGGCGTTAAGTGGATCAACCGGTGACGAAAAGCTAGCGCTGTTATTTCTTGGCACACTAGCGCTAAACAGCTCACACCGTCCTCTTGCTGATTCACGATCTCAACGCTACCTTCGTCCCTCATTTTCATCATCTTAGCTTTATATTTTGGATAGACCCCTTCCTATCGCTTAGCGGGTGTTGACCGCTTCGTCGACTTAGTAAGACATACCCCACTCTAGACTCCCTTCTATAGCAAGCGATACATCATTCCTACGCTGCATAGCCAGAATAGGTGAGATGGCAGGTGTTGGACACTTTGCCTCTTCCCTGCGACACGGTCAGGCTCGAAGTGCGCATTATACCTGTTCACGGCACGTACGAAGAAACATTGTTTCTCGGCTGATGCAGCCACACAACGCCCTATCACAAACCACCAAGGCAGCCTCATGAGTAGATCATCTGCGACTAATTGTTGCCTACTCCTGAAGCTGTCGCCTACTGTCTGCAGCTCGTTTGAGCGTGAAATTGGATCGATTTCCCAACCAACCTTCCTGACGCAACCCTTCCAGGTTACTGACGCCAATCAGAATGGACCCCTTTAGATACCGTAAGGCGTATGAAGCAATGGTACATACAACACAACTCATCGAAGAACGTTTGAACCAGGATGTTCAGCTCAACGAAGAAGGCGCGGTCCAAGACGATGCACCACAGATTGCTTTCCAGGAACAAGACCCGGACAGTATGGATTGGACGCCTACAGAATCGAATACTCCGCCTCCAGAATGTGGACCACCGCCAGCTTTATCTAAGAAAATGCGCCACCTTCTACCTGGTGGTGGGAATGGGGATCTCCGGGCTGAAGATCGCGGCGAGAATGCAGTACTTCTACACAAGCTCAAGGAGGGAAAGATAATGGATGAATGTATCGACAAGCTGGTTCACGATCTACCGGACGTGTTGAACTATCAAAAGTCACTCTCATTCACTCCTTCTACGATCGAAGTGCCGAAAGATTTCGGATTGCAGCTCAGTATCTCGATAAACCACCACCTCGCTCAGATAGAGGATCGTAAAGCACTGGAAAAGTACCGCAGGCTACTTGGCCATCGTAAGGATGCGAACAAGAAGAAAACTGTTAGACTTGGTTTTGACCCTGTAGACTTGATCAGGAAGCAGGCTGTAGCTTTTGGAAAGGACGCTCCCACACCCGTTTGCACACTGGACAACGACATACATCCTATCTTCCGCCTAGAGAACTGGCATGGGTGTCCGGATGGGATTTATGAGGTCTTGAAACCGGCTTTGCAACTAGCCACTCTGATGTTGACATCTCGAGCGACCGCTCATTTCTGGCACACGCTGGTGTTTGGCAAAAGGGAACATTGTGAGAAGACTTCCGCAGCGTACGGCCAACCGTGTTTTCGTATCAAAAAGGACGTAACATGGTCTGAAGAACATCATGTGACGTTCAAGAGTTTTCTGGACAATCAGATCGACACGGTTCATTTCTATTTCCACCATGATCCTTTACCACCAGAGACTGCATACGCTTCAATGGGCCTCGTCAAGGACTACAAGGAAGGCTTGATGCGAAAAATCAATGACAAATGCCACACAAGTCGTATTTGTCTCCATTCAGACTTCTATACTACCGCAAAGAAGCTCAGCCTACTGCGATATCGGGAGCCAGCGATGGTGCTGCGATATAACATGTTTCTCGCTACATGTTTGGCGCACGAGGTTGCACACTTCTGTGAAGTGTCTGGGCCGCACCACGATCATCCGCTTCTCTCCGAGCCCGAGGTCTTCTTTGGCGACAACATGTGGACAGAGAGTGGAATCGCTTTCGAACTCAAAATCTTCGGTGGGCGCATACATCCTCTGTCTAGCCGGATTGATTGCAAATTCGGGTTGGCTTGTCTCGACTATCCGCTCAAAGAGCTTTATGATAAGGACGACAACGTTCTATATGCACTGCCAATGGATTACATCCTTAAGCTTCAGCAAAAAGAAACGTGGGAACAAGACTTTAGCGAGGCTGGCCCGGAGGTCTTCTTCGTTCCACGCACTGGTGGCCGCTCAATCGAGATCAATGGTACTAACCTCATGATCTGGGAAGATGAGAACGATGCCGATATCTCCGATCATATCGACAACGAGGAAACGGAATGGATGCGCATGGATGATGGATCGATTACGAAGAACCCAAAAGCAAGCAATCGCAAACCACAGCGACAACCCGTAGTGCCACGATGGAACCCATATAACAACCAAAAGAGGAAGCATAATGTCGAAACGGGAGCTCCGTGTGTTTCGAAAGAAGTAGTGGAAATCAAGGACGAAGGAGAGAAGGAAGAACAGAAACTACAGCCTCCTGAAGATGGGGAGGTAGGCAAGAGTGCTTCTGATCAAGATATGGCATGATTGAACACGGCGTTTACAACGAAGGAAAAGAGGAGGAATTATTGCGTTCGCATTTAATACCAGCTTTTGGATACCACTGCATTTGCGTAGGGCGTTGTTTCTTTGTACTACATTATCATCAGCATGGCAGTTGTTAATATAGCTCGTTCGTATCTTGGTACATACTAAAAGCTTACCTTCCTACCGCTTGCCTTTTCTATGATCTTTGTACAATCTAGTCTTCCGCGCAGTCATTACAGAATCTGTAGATGTGCGAGCTGTTGAGCTATCTTCTGTTGGGGCTCATCCAGGCTAGTCGAGTTAGGCTAGCGCAGTGAATGGTGTCCTAAGCGAGGTGAATCTTGGCAGAGTCACTGGAGCCCGAATTCTGCTTCCTAACAACGACGCACGCCTATCGTTTCCTACCCTCGCCGAACGTTCACCCCAACCCCTTCGACGACTTCACGATGGCGGACACACAGAAAGATGCGCTGTTCAAGAAGGTGCAGATCGACGCCCTGGTACGTAGGAAAAGTGCAAAGCCAGTACCCCACTGTGCGCCCCGCCATTGTGCTAGAAAGACAGCTTCATAGAGGCGTGTTGTAACTACGGGAGACTGACTATGGTCCTCAGGTCGCGATCAAGATCGCTACCGCCAGCGGTAAATCGTTCCCCTCGCTCGCGACCGGCAGCATAGTCGGCATGGAGAAGGACGGCGTACTGGAAATCACAAACTCTTTCCCCTTCCCCGAAGTGAACGCCGCCGCGCAGGCCGACGGACAGAACGATACCGTTGCGAACCTCGCTGCTGGTGCCCCCCGCGCCAAGCAGAACATCGCATACGGCAACGAGATGATCAAGTTCCTCCGAGAGGTCAACGTGGACGCGAACAACGTGGGCTGGTACACGAGCACAAGCATGGGCAACTTCGTCAACCTGAACACGATCGAGAACCAGTTCTACTACCAGAGCCAGCCGAACGAGAGGACCGTCGCTTTGGTTTACGATGTGAGCAGGAGTTCACAGGGCACCCTCAACCTGCGCGCATACAGGCTCTCGCCTTCGTTCGTGACGGCATACAAGGAGGGCAAATTCACGACCGAGAGGTATGTGCAAACGATTCTGTGATATGGGCGAAACTGACAATCCTAGCCTCCAGAAGAGTGGTCTCCGATACCACGACATCCTGGTCGAGCTTCCAGTGACCATCCGCAACTCCCATCTCCTCACCTCGCTCCTACACCAGCTACCCTCGGATGCGCCCAAGGAGGAGCTCAAGTTCCCACCCAACCTAGCCGCTCTGCAGCAAGACCCAAACACGCCTCAGCCTCCTCTCTTCCCCAACTTCGACTCGCTCGATCTCTCCATCGACCCCTTCCTCGAGAAGACGTGCGACTTGCTCCTCGAAAGCATCGAGAACCACCACACCGAGATCAACAACTACCAATACTATCAGCGATCGCTCGCGCGTGAGCAGGCTAAGATCACTGCATGGCAGCAGAAGCGCAAGGCCGAGAACGCGGCGCGCACCGCCTCAAAGCAGCCCCTACTTCCCGAGGACGAATGGCAAAGGCTGTTCAAGCTGCCCCAGGAGCCCAGCCGACTGGAGACGCTCCTCAACTCGAGACAGGTGGAGCAATACTCGAGGCAGGTGGATGGATTCACGGCAGGCGTCACCTCCAAGATGTTTGCTGTCAAGAGCAATCTTCTTCCTGGGGAGTAGTGTGTGGTAGATACGGTTGTGTTTCATGATTATGCTTCTCTTCGTCACGGCATGGGCATGGCGTTGCGGTTTAGCGGTCCCTTTGACGGGACTGGATTTGATCTTTAGATGGAAGGACCACGATGATTATGTGAAGGGGCATTTGTAGCGTTTGCCCATGTGATCCGATGCCAAAAGTTGGAAGTGCTGCAAAAGCGGTGAAATTCAAGGCTGCTCCGCTGGGCGGCTGAATGCTGTTCTAAGCGTGGGAGGCTATCGCCACATAGAGTCGAAACAGACAATGAAGTAATCAACACCCTTTCGCAACAACGATGGCAGTACTCTGAATGCAAAGTGTATGTCTACAACCGTCATACTCGCCAACTCTGATTCCTCGGATATCGGATCGTCGGTGGATCTGCTTCTCTCACGAAAACGGCTTGGGGCTAAAGCAGCGTCCAACACCGGCGCCATCATGCAACAGGCCTCCTCGCCTGTCCTCCAGCAGCTCCGGTCACTGCACCCTGGTGCCATTCAGACGCTCCACCAGTCGCCAGATGGAACGCTATACCCCCACAACCAGGTCCTACCGGAGCTTCAGAACCTCCACACGAGCGATGTATACCAACACCAATATGCCCTGAGCGGGCCACAACACCCACCACCACCCTCACATGCCCACGCGCTGCCAGTGCATTTCGAGCAACATGCGCTTCCGCCTTCAGGACCGTACCCGCCTTTTCAGCCGGCGGGCTATCAACACGGCGCAAGTCCACGATTCATGAACGCGCCCCCTCCCCCACTCCAGGACCACGCGCAACAATATCACGCGTCTCCTCCTCAGACGATACAACGCCCGATTCAGCAGCTTCCCCTGCCACCGCCTGCACCGCCCATACTCTCGGCACCGCAACCACTGCCACGGCATGTAGAACAAGCGCCGTTGCCGCATAAGCAAGAGAGTCAGGAGGAGGACACTCCATTGTCCAACCATGGCCAATTTCAAGGCCTGAAGCTCATCCCCAACCCGCCAGACTTGGAGCAATGGAGGGAGAGATTGTTTCACGTGGATGACATGATTACTCTGACTGAGGAGCAGTATGATCTCTCTCTGGCACTTGGGGCCACGTACTGACCTTGACCATAGATTTCAGACCTACTTCCCGCATATCGACAACGTCTACTCGCATCGCTCGACCCAGCGCCACAAACGGAAGCGCTTTGTATCACACTACTGGGACTGTCGACTCAAGGGGCGGCCACCAGGAACCAAGAAGTCCACAGATCCAGACAAGAAAAAGAGGAAGAGAATTGCGAGAGAGCGGGATCTATGCGATGTCAAGATCAAGATCACCGAGTTCTTCGATCGACGCGAGTATGAGGAACAGCTTGGTCGGCGACCGCCAGGCACGGAAAACGATCCGCCTAGCCCGATAGCATCCAACATGCCGATAAACCCAGGTCTTGGTGGAAGCCAGAATCAGAACCCGCAGTTCTTCGGACAGCCACCGTTGCTACCACAGCAGCCGGCTGGAACCTGGGATGTACCTCCAAACATGGGTTCTCAGCCAGGGATGAACATCCAGGAATACCCAACATCATCTGGCTCTTCGTCCAAGAAGTTCTATACGTTTCAGAGAGTCAATGGGAATGGCGGCAATGGCAAAGGCGACGGCGTTGCTGGGCCACATAAACATACACTCGAAGAGAGTGATCGCGTAAAGAAGAACAGCGTCATCAGATGGCAGGCAAAGATCGACAAAGATGACAGGAGGAAAATGCAGGTAAGCTTTCTTGATCTCGTTCGATCTCAGACTCCACACTCCTTTGTATCGACTCATCTGGCCATGATCATATGCAATGGCGATCCACTCTGCCCGCAGATCAAGTGCATACGTCATTTTGATGCATGCTAAGAACACGGATAACCCCCATCACTTACTTTGCGCTGTTGTTTATGACACTGCCCGCTCTATACCCTGATTTCAAGATTCTCACACTGTTCATGAATTCTGTTTCCAAATTTGTTCGCAAATTGCCTTGTCGTTTACCCTCTCCCTGCACACAACCTCCCATTGTCTTAAGCACTACATCCTGTTCAAGCCTTACTTCGTTCCAATCACAATCATCGTTGCGAATCATCAGTGTTCCTGCTCGATACAAAATGACCGACACCAACCAGGGCGGAGATTCTTCCAAGAAGACGTACCACAAGAAAGCCACTGGAAATGCTTTGACGACAGTCAAGAACCATTCGAAAGAGGACGACCTTAAGCTGTACGGTAGCGCGTTCTGGTAAGTAAAGTTCTTAAGATGCGCACCCACAAAAGCGCTTCGGTTTCACGTTCACATTTCTAACATCGATCAGTCCCTTTGTGCAGCGCGTATGGATATCCCTAGAACACAAGCAAATACCCTACCAATACATCGAAGTGGACCCCTACAAGAAGCCTCAAAGCCTTCTCGACGTCAACCCACGCGGTCTGGTACCCGCTATCCGACACGGCCCAACATGGTCAACCCACGAGTCAACCGTCATTATGGAATACCTCGAAGACCTCCAAACCGGATCCCACCTCCTGCCTCCAGATGCACAAACGCGCGCTACCTCGCGCCTCTGGTCTGACCATGTCAACCGCAATATCATCCCATGGTTCTACAAGCTCCTCCAATCCCAAGACTCCAACGACCAAGTTTCTCACGCAAAGGAGCTGCGGGATCAAATCGGCAAACTAGTTGATGCTGCGGATCCCAATGGTCCTTTCTTCCTTGGTCCCCAGATCTCTTTCGTAGATGTACAGATCGCGCCGTGGGTGCTACGGTTGCGCAGGGTGTTGGGACCTTATAGGGGCTGGCCTGAGGCTGAAGAGGGAAGCAGGTGGAAGCGATGGATCGATGCGATTGAGGCGGATAGGAGTGTCAAGATGACTACTAGTACTGATGAGCTTTATTTGGATAGCTATGAACGGTATGCGGAGAATAGGCCGGGGACTAGTCAGCTTGCGGACGCTGTTAACAGCGGGAGGGGCTTGCCTTGAGCGCGGATGGGCCAATATATTAATACTATAGCATCAGTGAGATAATATTTTTCATGCTGACAGGTATGATGCGGTAGATGATGTGATTTGAGATCGGTGGACTGGGTGGACTTTTCGGAATGACGTTTGGCCATCAATACATGCTGATTGTGATTGTCTGGTTGCAATAATTCGACAATTATTTGAGTGAGTAAGAGAGAGACTCCTAGGATCAAGCAGAACCTTAAACATCTAAGGAAGCATTGTTTTGTGATTATTGGTGCAAATAAGTATTTTGTACGCTGACGCATTGCAAGTCTTGAATGTGTATAGCATGATAGCCAAGGCTGAAAAATAATCACGCTGAATCAAAGGTTATATAGCATGGCATATAGTACTTGAAAGCAGGAAGGAACTACAAAGATGTCAAAAAACGGTAAGGATAGTATCCCCGAAGCGCTCCAGTGCTTTCTCTGCATCCTTCTTACATAGCTCCATTACCCCCATCCCAACTCTCACGAACACGAGCTTATGTTCTGGTGCTTCTACCGCCTCTTGATGAACCCCTTCAGGTGCCTCAAATGGCTTAAGTAGCAACCCTTGAAGCTCTAGTCTGCCGTTCACAGATTGGTAATTCCGCCATGGGTACGCTGTACGAATGACCAAGAAGAAAAGAAGTATGTCGGAGCCGTCCTCTAGAAGTGAAGATGAAAGCTTGGCCGTGTCATCCAGCAGACAAGAACAAATATCATCTTCAGTCCACTGATGTCCCTGGTCCCAGCCAGGACCACAACTGACGTGAAGGCTTCCGTTGTTGTATAGACCGGGTAACTCCTTTCCAAAAATACAGTAGGGCGGATCTTTCCTTTCTCTGTACTTTTGCCACATGCGATCGAGTGGAAGTAATGGTGCTCGTAGGGTAATGTGTCCTCCTGATACCATACCCCTAGGATCGTCTGTAGTAGGGTAGACGCGAGCGTTCAACATCTCAGCGACTTCCTCTATATCACATAAAGCCTGTGGTTTTGCTGCGGGATCATGCACCCCGCCTGTAATAGATGCCCAAGACCAGGACGGTGGGTTTGATTGAGAGCCTTCATGCAATTCTGGACGGCTCCCGTGTTCGGTCCACCAAAGTAAGCTCGTTGGCATATGAGATTCCCAAAGTCCCGCAAGATATCTATCTTGGCTTTTCTCAAATAATCGCGTCAAGCTGGATAGCCCAGGTAGTCGATCCCTGTAGAAACTGATCTGACGCCGTGTATAGTGCTCAACAACACTACCCCATATAGCGTTTGGAGTGCGGTGACTAGTGCCGATGATTGGTGGTAGTTTGAATCTGGGAAGCCAGCGAGCCGTACATTCGCACATAGTCGCTTCACGGCAGACGAAGACAATTTCGTCTTTTGTAAAATGAACAATCCGCCTAGAGAGGAGTTCCTCCTGGAAACACCACGCACGCCCTCGCAATGTCAGTTCTGTTTTTTCCGGGAAAGGGGTTGAATCTTGTTCTCGCATTTCGTGGCGCTCTATTCCGCGAAAAGAGAGAGTGTAGGCTTTGCTGTTGTGTTCTATGTTGACCGTCGAGAGCTTGTGACGATTTAGAAGGCCTTCCTGTCCATTCTTTGCGGCCGATGCCGCGATCGTAAGGTATGCGTTCGAGAATATGTCCGCCATCTGAGCAGACTGTTGAGCCCAGTCGGCTACGGAGTCCTGTACAATACCTGCAAATATACAGACTATCAGCCCTAGTAACGATGTAGACGAGACTGATCAAACTTACACAACGAGTCAATCCATATATAATAGATATCAAGCTTGCGTGCCAATAGAATCGCTTCTTGGAATGTCTTAGGCAGATCCGTCCACTTGATCCCGTCCTTTGTGTATTCAGGCAGCGTCATCTTTGTAGTCTTGATCATCGGAGTAAACCCCCAACAGTGAGTCAGGGCTACATATCGAACAGTCTGCTCATCCGGTACTACGGTTCCATCTGGTACGTCGCACAGTCTCGTTTGGAGCACTGTTTGCTGGTTGCCAATATACAACAAACGCTTAGGAACGAATCTCGCAGTACTGGGACTTAGCGAGTCGGAGTACAATTCGTGAGTTGCACATGCTTTGTGCTCGAGATTACAGCTAAAAAGAACGCTTGTGATGAAACGCGCACAATAACTAATCGTTGGGTTGTCACTAAGCGACTCAGAAGAGGCCAGAAACGGCCACAGGCTTTCCTGTCCTATAGTACATCAACTCGATACTCACGTCTCGGGGAGGTTTCTTTCGGTAATAGAAATGTTCCTACCGGATGTAAGATAAAAGTGTCTGTAAACAAAGGCTGTATTGTGAGTAAGAATGGTCCAATGGCGTTGGTGCGTTGAGCAAGCTGGGACGTACGTAGATCTCGCCCCGTCCTCGTTCCCCACTCCCACTGAGGTATACTCAGCCTCGGGGCTTCTACTAACACAGCTCTTCCCCGTGGTATGACCTGTACTCTGCTGTATTCCCAAATAGACTGTCCTATGGTACTTGCGGCCGTCTCACTAACTTCTTGAAGCAGGTCGCACAACTCGCATCCCTTTCCTGCAGCGTCTTTCAAATCACGATACTCGACACTGAAATATTCAGGATTCGGCAACCGTAGCCTTCGGCAAAGCTCGCACTCTACACCATTCTTCTCGTGATCGTGCTCTTCTGTCGATGACTCAGTCAGATGTGGTAAAGCTGCATCTTCAGAGTAGGTGACACGCAACATTCTGCCACTTTCCAGACAATTGACTGATACTTGGAGAGGTGCTTTGCAAAAGCTGAGATAGAGGTAAACGTAGAGCACCAAAGAAAAGCTATGATGATTGGACGCCGCAATAATGAGATGAGGAGAGCTGGCATTGCGAAGGAGCAAGCTAAGTCTCGAACTGATGATGTCAAGCCCAATAGTGACTAGCACACTCTATCTCTTGCTTCTTGAAGCATTACGCTACGAATCCTCGTCAAAGGAACTGGGGTATTAAGTTGAACGGGAAGAAGCGGATTCACTTCAGTATTTACGGAGCCTCTCCACTGCTAGTGATGATCCAGCCCAACGAGAGAATTCTTCGCGCATTTGATAGCAGTTAAAATCGGATGAGTGAGAGAAACGCTGAAGGGAAGTGCACGCGATCCCTGACAGCCCACTAGCGCGTCTTGCGAGGGGCAATCGCGGGGCACCATCCACATAGTAGCAGTCTCAACACCAAACACGCTCTATACACTCAACCCTTCTCACAACCACCACAATGTTCAAGAAAGAGTGGGTCTCTTACGCGTCGTATTAGACAGATGTAGCTGACAAGAAGACAGCATAACCTCGGGCGCAAAGTCCAAGGTGAAATCCAGCGCCCAGCGCGCCATCCGCTCAAAAGTCCTCGAAGAATACCCAAGGTTAGAACCATATATCGAAGACATACTGCCGAAGAAGGAGCAATTGGACTTGGTCAAGCTGTAAGTCGCCAATCGAACCTGCAGCGAAGATGCACAAAGTTCACGAAGCCAAGTACTAACACCTGCATTTACAGACCTGACCGCGTATCGCTCTACACCCTCAACTCCACTCCCCTCTTCTTTCAACACATGGACGACGCGCTCCTACCCCACCTCACACTCGTACACAAATACCCCTTCGCCTTCAACCGCCTACGTATAGACCGCGGCGCAATCCGCTTCGTGCTCTCTGGCGCTACACTCATGGCCCCTGGTCTCACATCACCGGGCGGGCGCCTACCAGGTCCCGAGCTGAGCGACGAGGACAAGGAAAAATACGGCGCCGAAGACCTGAAGGAGGGTCAGGTTGTGGTTATCGAGGCCGAGGGCAAGGAGACGGCGTGTATGGTTGGTGTGCTCAAGATGAGTACGGACGAGATGAAGAAGGTCAAGAAGGGGCAGGCGTGTGAGGCGGGTCATTATCTGGGAGATGGGCTTTGGGGTTTGAAGCTGGATTGATCGGGTGAACAAGCAAGGCTTTTGAAGTCACGAGTCTGAAATCAGGTGTATAGGTCCAAAGTTGCGGATGGCGGTAGAGAGTCATACGAGTGAACGGGTGATTAGGATGAAAAGGCTCTGGTCCGGAAGTCACTCAGGCTCTGATGGCAGATATGCCACGACAAAATATCCCGCGACGTGCATGATAGTCATTGATTCCAAGACGGGATCTTCATGAACACAAAACGGATTTGTACATGGTATCATAATTTTAATCGTGAAGACTGCTTCTTGACAGACCACTACTTACGCTAGCGATCTAGTCGTTACAGTCGATTCGTATCATCTTATTGACCAGCTCCACGGCCAGCTCCAGCGCCTCCGCCTCCCATGAAGCTACGGGCCCTGTGTTTCGTTAGCGACTTGAGGTTTCTACATGGCTTTTTCACTTACATCTCGGCCAGGTTGGGGTCGTTCATGAGATCCTGCATGTTGGGCATACCGCCACCACCGCCGCCGCCTCCTCCTCCACCTCGACCTCCTCCACCGAACTGTTGAGCCATCTCCGCTATCCTGGGGTTGTTCATGAGGTTGCTCATCATATCTGGGTTGCTCATGAGGTTCTGTGCCATTTGCCTCATCATGGGGTTCTGCATCAGACCAGCGAGATCAGGCATTCCTCCGCCACCACCGCCGCCGCCTCCACCGAGCATGCCAGCGAGTGCTGAGAGATCAGGCATTCCACCACCCATACCGCCAGGGGCGCCTCGAGAAGCTTCAGGCGCGCCGACATCTCCGCCCTCCTCTTCGACCTTCTTCTTGGCTGTCTCGTAGCCCTTGCGCATGACTTCTGAGCCGCCACCCTCTGCGTCCATGCCAGACTTGTATGCCTCCATGGCGCCCTTTGCATCGCCAAGAACGTACTTTGCAAGGCCTAGACGCGACCAGGCCTTGGAGTAGTTGGGGTCAGCAGCAACTGCCATCTCAGCATCCTCCTTTGCTAGCTCGTGCTTGCCCTGACCTGAGTATGCGGCGGCGCGGTTCGATAGGTAGATGGGGTTGAGCGGAACGACCTCGAGGGCAGCAGTGTAGTGCTTGACGGCAGCATCATAGTCCTTCTTCTTCATCGCCTCGTTGCCCAGACCCTTGAGCCTCTCTGCTTCATCCTTGTTGGGCCCGCCCGGTCCTGAACCGGCGGCAGGTGTCTGCGGCGTTGCTGGTCGAGCCTCTTTGGCCGACGATGCTCCCTCGGTTGTGGCAGTCGTCTTTCCCTTGAGCTTCTCATAGACGTTGTAGATTGCGAGCAGGTTCTGGTCGCCAATGGCGTCCTTCTTTGCGGCCTCGTCGGCGGGATCTACCTTGAAGGCTTCGGCGATGCAGTTGGCGGCGACTTCGAGCTGCTCAGCGTCGTCGGGTGCTACTGACCCGTCGGTCTGCGAGGTCTGGAGGAAGTCAAGGATCGCGAGCGCGAGGCGCTTCTTCGATTGGAAAGCCTATGGTTGTGTGAGCGACTGTTTACTTAGATAAGTGTGGGGCAACTTACCATGACGGCGTGATGTGGATTGTCGAACGGTGTCGCAGGCTCGTTGTGAGGCGTGCTGTAGTGAGTTTCCTGGTAATAAGCTTATGAACAGGTGTTCTGGTAGCTATGGGATTATGGTTGGTTGCGAGTTCTGAGATGCATGCAGCGATACTCGAAGCTTCCAAGGTTCCTTCGGGCAATTGGCGGGGCAGTCAGCCGCCTGGTCAGTGCCAAGCTGCTACCACCAACTTTTGGTATGCACTGTTGCAACCCGCCCAAGGAAGGAAGAAAGAAAGATTGCATGTTGATATCTGACTTGTTGAGGTCTTATACAAGCCGCCGAATGTTGTCATGTACACGTCTACTCTTACACCCCACTACTATATAACACATGCTAGAAGGTGAGATGGGTATCTACAGGTCTTTAATCGTCGCTCAATCCTTCCCAAGCACCCTTGGGCTTCTCCTTCGGCCACAGCGAGCTGAACCATGATCCTTCTGATGGGAGAGACACGCTATTTGCGCGCGCTTCAACCTCAGCATCTAGTGCAAACTTTCGCATGCGCTCAGCAATTCTCGGGTCCAGCACCATTTCGTCTAGCCATACCCTCTCCTTGGTCTCACCTTCTTCACGCTTTCGTGCAGTCTTGGACCAATCTGGCTCTTCGTGAGAGAGCAATCGTTGTTGCTCCCATTGTGCGTTACTGTGTCCATCTTCCTCGTTTGTGACAGGCGCTTCGCCTGCAGTCTCAAATGGTCGGTATGCACCAAGGACAGCAGCGGCAGTTTCCCTGCCAATGACATCCGCCGCTTGTCGCCTGTTCAAGAAACGGTACATACGGATGGGAAAGTTAAAGAATCCAAGGAGGTGGGGGAGAGGTACTACGGCGGCGGGGCCGAGTGCTTGTGGGCAGTTTTGGGAGAGCACGGCGTTTTGGTATTCGGCTGTTGAGATGTATGGTGGCGGTTGCTTCTTCTTCTTCTTGGGTTTCGTCTCCTCCTCTTTAGGCTTCTCGGCATCTTCTGGTTTGGGAGCTTCGGTAGCGGTGGGTGACGCATCATCGGCCGTAGCAGATGTGGTGCCGTCAGTGGACGTTTCGGTGGACACAGGTGTGGGTTCGACCGCAGCGACCGGTACCTCGACAGACGGTTCTGCTGATGGTGGAGCATCTAGAGGTCCTAGCCAACCCTCATGCAGTCCTCGAACATATTCTTTCCATGTGTGTCTTCCAATGACGATGTCTCCTCCCGGTCCATTCCACCCATTGACGCCTGCTCGTTGCCTTAGACCTTCCAACTCCTCCTCGAGTCCTGGTTCCAGCGGTTCAGCAGTCGCCTCGCCCCTCTTCTTTCTCAGCTTCCGTATTCGCTCTGCTAACCCAGCTCTTACATCTCCTTCCCTTCGGCCCTCTACCGCGTCCCAGTCCAGCGCCGCTGCAACGAGAATGGGCTTGACATATTCATGGAAGTGATCGCGTGCGGGTACTATTCCATCTGCTGGCGGTGCAGACAGGAATATCGTGAGTTTCCGAGGCAGCTGGTGTACGTCCAACGGCTCGTGTGCAATGTGCTCGACAACTGTTGCCCATTTCTGTTGTATGCGCTTTTTCTGGCGACGGTCGTACATGACTGCCGCAGTCCATGATCCGGTAATCGAGAGAAATATCATCCAATTGCGCGAGGGGAGCCTCAAGCGGAGGTTTGGCAGGCCTGCATTTGTTAGTCGTTGTACTCCACACGAGATAGAAGAAACGCGCACCCATCATCCTCCAGACAGGATTCGGAGGCTTCTCAGGTTTCTTGGGTCCGGCAGAAGCCTCGCCAGTAGGCGGTGCTTTTGCATCCGGTTCGGCCATGCTGTTGTTGACTGCGATGGTGGTAGCAATGTTGGTCGCGCGCCCAAAAATTTCCTGACGCCCGTCGGCGAGCGCGGGATTGAGTCGGAGCAGGCTAGCCACCAGTCTCAACGACCTTAATTAGCGAGCCGCGTTCCCCACCACAGCCCCTCACCCCTCCTTGCAATTCTTCAGGTTTGGATTGGGACGTTCCAGTGCGTGGGACACAGAACGCGCTAACGAGTACTTCTCAATTTTCGCTAAGAATATAGTTGGAAAAGATTTGAATTTCTTCATCAAAACGAATCACTTCGGGTAAGCTCAATTCGCTCACATCGTCGTTACACACCAGCTAACAACCCTATCGTGGTATGGTCTAGTGGTATGACGTCGCGTTGTGGCTGGCGGACACCTAGTGTCCCGATCCAGATCCGCGCCAGCCTGGGTTCGAGTACGTTTGATCCCTCACAAATGGTGGTCCTGAGACATCTTCTAACATGTCTACAGTTCCCAGTACCGCCAAATTTGCGACATATCTTTTTTGCTCTTGTACTTGACTTAAATCTTTCCACAGGTACCGAGAACATTCTTTTTGCTCTCCTCCACTAGTCCGCATAGAATCTGGGGTGCTTCAAGCGCATTGTTCTCACTGTATCTACTGCCTGTCTTGCATGCGTGTGCTTCTGTATACCTAGGTAGTGAGTCACCTCGCGTAGCAGACAAAACCTCGCTTCCCGACGACCGCCCTTCTCTCGTCACCACCTACACAGCTCTATTGTCAACTTTGTGAAAACTGTAATATATCGTATCTTTCAAAGCTCTTAAAAATGCTTCAGCAATTCAAGCAAGACCAGACACGTACCAAAAATGCTCTCCGGCAGTAAGTATCTCCACAACTTGTAGTCTTCCCAAACTGATCACAAGTAAAGAGACATTCTTTACCGTGAATCACATCTTGCGAGTGTCAAATCAGGTGGGGACAACTTGCTTGCCGCGGTTCATAGCTACACACACGATGCAAACATGGAGATCGTCACACGAGTTTTACAACTACCCCAGGAACTACGTGACGACATATATATGCATCTATGGGAACTCAACGACAAGCATGATCCGAGTCGCAGTCTGCTCTACTGGTGGGATTCTTTCGACGAGCCTTGGTTCTCCAGAGACGATGATCCTAACAAATTACGATGGCTAAGGACACCGTTGATGACACTCCGACCTCCGCACTTCATCGACAAATGCTTTGTAGGACCTGTCTTCGCTAAAGAGGCTCTCAAACAACTTAAAGATTCTGTGGGTAAAGATCTTCGGCCAATCGGGGAGAGAAACCCTGTCGCCGAATGCGGATTGCTCGACGCATCCATGGATGACTTTGTAGAGAAGGACGTTTTTGGAGTTGGGATAACAGTGGAAGAGTTGGTACGCAACTTGGACTTACGGGTAAACTTCCAGTGCGATGCATTGACCGACAACGAATTTGCCGAGATCCAGAAGAGCAAGACACATGATCGAGGATCACTTGGGGCAGGTGCAACGACATACACACGGGACGACTATCTCCGAGACCTCGGTGACGGCGTCGCGGCTCTGCTAAACATTCCACACACGGAACGTGTTACCACTCATAATGAGCATGGTCGACATCTGAATACTAGAGCCAGAGTCATCACCTTAGCAATCAGGCAAGAAGACGACTTCATATGGAGGGATCATTCCGCCATACTAAAACTTGTCGCTCGAGCTTATCACGGACTAAGGGCAAAGGGCTTCGCAGTCAAGGTACAGTACTACAGTGAAGAGATTGAATTGAAATTGTTGTTTGAAGACGACGTCTGGGAGTGGACAAGCGATGATTGGGACAGGAATTTGATTTGGAAGAACACGTTTGGGATAGGTAGCGGCACCTCACCCCAAAGATACGTTTGGGCACAACTTCAGGAACATTTGTTTCGACGCCTAGATAACGACAGCCTCATCGGGAGTTAAAGAACTATACAGTGGGCATTAAGTACGTGTAAAAACGTGTCAGGGGCGGCCTTGAATAACTTGAAAGTGATACACCAGGTCCAAGTATAAGATAAGTTTGGAAAAAAGATGTTTATGCAGGTCCCAGATATGGCTGCCCTCTCGGGCTGAACGGTTGATCAGCCGTGTCTGGATTTTGCAATTTTGGATCTGGCGCATCCCAGGTGGTGTTGAATCCGCATCCTCAGCTACTCTGCATGGGCAGCAAATCTGAATCTTTTCTCTGCTCTTGACTATCGCCGGACTTGTCGACACTACCACTGCGACCACCACCACTGCTACCAATACCGCCATCGGCCTCGGTGCTCTCACTGTCCCTACTACTTTCCATCGTCGAAGCAAACTGTACAAGCATGTTACCATGCCTAACAGTATCGACGATATCTTTTGGATCCATACCAGCTCTGATTCTTGCTAAAAGTTCTCCCGCCTCCTCCTCCGGCAGATCTCTGAGCAATTGGAACAGTTCTTCCAGATACCTATGTCTCCGTTTGGTCTGCGTGTTCTCCGTTTCCGCGTACTGGCAGGGGCTGTCACGGGCCACGCATTCACTGCAGCTGGGTCGTTCGCCGTTACACTAGATGGTTTGGAACGATCAGAAGGGCTACTCTCGCTGATATTCAAACCCAAAGTTTTATACATGTACTAGGTCATGGTACCTTGCTTTTACGAACTCTGCACGCTACACAAGCTAGAGGCACGCGAGCTCGCTTCGATTGTGTGGGTGGAGCCTCGTTCCTCGGTGAAGCTGCGGGGAGAAGAGGGCGGAGAGGGCGTGTCGTAGCACTGTCGCTTGGACTAGCTTGATTCAACTGTTGCTGTTACATTCCGCACGAGACAGTACTTGGGCTAAGTTCGCTTGTTCTTTTGAAGGCGACTCGGAAGCAGACTACCATTCCCAGACGCTTTGGTTCAAACAGAGGCTTGAAACGAATCTCTACGTGGCCATGGAGAAAAAGGGGGGTGTGGCATGCAAACTTGGCAAGAGGGTTGGGCAACCAAGAAAGAAAGAGTCCGGACGAGCGAGAAGTGCATAGAACTGCAGGCAACCACAGAATGAGAAACAAGAAAGAAACTGCACTCATCTCCACTTGTACAACTAAAAAATACGGCTAAGTTTATCTGAAAACTTGGCTCTTTCATAACATCAAGATTACCCAAACCTCCGCCTTCTAGATCAGACGTGTCCCTCGTTTCGAGTTTCCTAATTTCGCAGCGAGTCGTGATTCTCATGGATATGTAAAAGTTCGCTAACGGGGCCTTCCAATCGCGTTACATGTAGCATGATATTGCCACAGGGCTCTGGACCCTGCATATGTATGACTGCCGATGAACTAAGCCCTAAAGGTACTATGAGGGTTTTGTACTCGGATGCCATTGTTTGTGATTGAGGCTATTTCGTCTTGGTTTGCCATGTAAGAATGCGGTCCAAGCAAAAAGCAGCCGGCCATTATCTCCGACGCTACCGTATCCGCTTTTACTCGTGAGTGGTGTGTCACAACGGGTTCCGGCAGTGCTAAGTGTTGGGAGCCTTGTGTATCGCCGATTGCATGTAGTGTCTGCGACTTGTTGTACTGTAGAGGGTGTCGGCGCGGGGGCTGACTGCTAAGCGCCGGTTATACGTTCTGGCTTCGGCGTCCCACTGCCTAGTCGGCATGATACCCAGAAAATCGTACTGTTTCCTCAGCGATGATGGTCTAGCCCTCTCTTAGTCTCTCTACGAATCCTATCAGAGAACACCTGGATTAGTATAGACTTCATTGATCTGCGACATTCAGGGCAACATCCCGCGAAAATAGTACATGATGGCTGCCCAAGCAGTGACACGAGAAACGACAACAACGTGTGTACAATAGATGAATACAAATTTCATTCCAACGAGGAAAAGCGAGACACCAGGAATATAGGCTAATACTACCAACACAATAACTCCTTCATGCACGAACGACACCCCTTTCAACATCAACTGCGTACATACCTGCCTGCAAGAGATTCCCGTCCCGAACCAATATTACCCTAGAACCCGGGCCGTCTCAAACAGGGACTTCAATTGCGTCAAAGTAAACAGGAGTACCATCCTAACTGTATCTCCTCACGGCTCTAAGCTCCGCGGAGCAGCCCAGGTGTCGATCCCTCTCAAGAGACTCATACCAGACGGAGATTGCAGACACCACTACGCGGGCTGTCACGACTGTGTTGGTACAGTGCGCGGCGCCAATCAAAAGCGGGGGTTGCTTCGGAACGAGTCCCTGTTGGAGTGCGGAAGTTTGTGCCGCTCATCCTCGCAGACTCTGGTGGAGTTTTGCTTATAGTTGTGGGGACTGTGGCGTGTGTGTGGATATACAGTTGAGCTGCCACTAGTATTTTTCAGCCTGGATGATATCGGGAGATGGCGACGCCGTGATCCGCAATGGAATTCGTTGTGCAGCTGTTGTGGTTGTGGTGGTCCAGGGTGTCGTTCAAGCCTTGGGGTCTCTTGGGAGGCCTCAGTGCGAGCGGACGAGTCAGTACCAAACACGAATCAACTCGATTCGTCCGTACACGCAACTTCTGTTGCGCTTTCGATTCTATGGCACCATAGCATGATAAGATTCGTGTCGCATTGGATACCTGCAAAGAAGCTTGTCTTCCAGAAGTTGTATCAGATACCAGAGACAGAGATGTAGATTATCCTATATCTTATTAGCCTATTCAGGAATATGCACAGTGAGTGCCTTTGGATATACGTCTAACAGTACACAAGCCTTTCCACTCTCTGGCGGCGTTACTTCTATGTGCTACTGCCCGCGCTCCTGCACACTGCCTAATTTTCAGTTGCTACATGGCCATCACACATTCTCCTCCAAGAGCAAAAGCACAATTCAGAATTCAGTAGAGGACGGAAGTAAACGATCTGGAAACTTGGGCATTATTATACTAAAGTGATTTCGTCGCGAGATATGACATGACCTCGTGCAATGTTATCCGTCGTCGCGCTTGACCTGAATCGTCGACTACCTTAATACTCAAAGTCATCATCAGCACTTGGCCCCTTGTTCTTACTGACACTCTCCTGTCTTTGATACATCTCAGCAATCATGCGACTAGAGCTGGCCTGGTCTGGCTTCTTGTCATCTCTCTCCTTGATGAACCTGGGGAACCTCAAACTGACACCCTTGCCACCACCAGAGACCTCATCCGCAGCAGCTCTGTACCGCGGTGACAAGGTCAGATCGGCCGTCTTTACTTCCCAGACATAGCGCGGCTCGAACCAGACGTCGGGCTGGTCTTTATTGCCGGTGGAGTGTGTGTAGAAGGGTTTGGGGCGGTCGATAACGATTTCGGATAATGTCTTGTGCAAGGTCTCGAGAATGGCCTCCGAGAAGCCGGTACCAATGTTACATACTGTCTCATACTTCTCGGTCGAGGGGTTGTAGCAGGCGAGAAGGAAGGCGCCATACCAACTTGTACGCTTGCCCTTGCCATAGTACGCTCCTAGGACGACGAGATCCAGAGAGTCGCCGACACCAGCAAGATAGTCTTTCTTGACCTTGAGCCAATTCTGTGAGCGCTTGGATGGCTCATAGAAGGACTCTGGTCCGTCTAACATCTTTACCATGAGTCCTTCGCTTCCTGACTTTACGGAGTCTTCAAGGAGGGTTTGGATCTCTTCCAACTCGTTGGTGTTACCATACTTGGCGAACGCGAATTCTCCTTCGACAGGTACAAACACTTCATTGAGATGTTCACGACGCTCACGGAAGGACTTGGTCACAAGGGCCTATGAATGTTAGCACTGACACGATAATGAATGAAATCAGACAAACTTACCTCGCCGTTCAGGTAGAGGATGTCGAAAGCGAAGACGCAGACTTTTACCTTGACGTCTTCGACCTTGACATCTTTCCTCTTTCGCGTCATGAGTTGCTGGAACGGTAACACTTTCTTTTCTACCATGTCCCAAGCCACCGTCTCGCAATCAAGAACGAAGCTCTTTGTACCTTCTTTGACCCAAGTCGGTAGTTTGGCGAGAATATCAGGGTACTTCTTCGATAGATCCTCAGAATTCCGAGAGAAGATGTTCGACACACCTCGGTCACTCTTGCCAGCGCTTGGAGCTATGGTTGCCAACTCCATCTTTTCACCTTCTTGCTTTGCGTCATGCGCAACAAAATGTATCTGCGCCCGCTCACCATCGTACTTGTATTCGCAGGTGAAGTCTTTACCTTCGAAGCGATCGAGCACTTCTGTAATTGACTTTGTCGGTTTTGCCAACATAGGCTTAAGCGGTACACCAGGCTGTAGGCGGCAGTTCTCTCGCAGGTTCATGATACCATGTTCGAGCATTGCGGGGATAATGACTTCGTAGCTGGGAAGCTCACTATAGACTGTTTTCAGCATGGCCTCGGCCTTTGCCAAGTCTGCTGTTGATGGCGTCTTGCCCTCCTGGGACATGTCATGGAATATCATAGCTTGCGCAACAGCGACTACGACAGTCTTCTCAGCAAGACCTAATCGAAGTTTTCCTTCTAGTGTTCGGACGATGAACTTGGCTTCGCTAGGCCCACCCTTGTCCTTCTCGATATCGATATGCTTTCCAGCGTTGTGCGCATCGGCTGCTGACAGGAGCTTCTTGATGCCGTCGACCTTGCGCCCTTGAGCTCCCTGTCCCTCAACAGTAGCAATGCCTATTAGTCCCTTTCGTACGCCTTCTATGGTTAAAGACTTGGGCTTGAACATGGTGGGTTGTTTCGAGCGACTCTTCGCTGCAACGAGCCCTAGATCACCGATCTCATTCTGGTCACTCTTGATTTGTTGCAAGTTTCGTCCGGTACTCTCAGAAATAGCCTTCATGATAAGAGACTCGCCGATACCCAGCTCGATGCCTGCGTAGTCGGCTGCGAGTTTGTTGACCATTAGCATAACAGTCGGTAGCATATCAGATGGAGTTAATCGTAACACTTGACGAAGGAAAAGTGAGCAGTGGGCGAGAATCTCGAGACGTTTTGTCGTCATCTCGATTTTCGAAAACGTTGTGCAGAGTGCGGCGTATGGCACTGGCTCACCGGGTTTCCAGTCAGGATATGGGTCTTTGATGTTGGACGAAAGAGTAGTCTGGACCTTCTTCCTCGCCTTGGTCTTGACCTCTTCTGGTTCCTCCTCTGAGCTCCCCACCTCATCTTCCTCTTCCTTGTTTGAAACAGCATCATCCTCCACAGGCACAGGTGACGATTCGGCCCCCTTCTTGCTCTTTGCAACCTTGGTTGGCGCTGAGACTTCCTCGTCGTCATCTTCTGGTGTCGCAGCTTTCGGTTTAGCGGCCCTCTTCTTTGACTTTTCTGGTGCTTTGTCGGCCTTTGGCTTCGCAGGAGCTTTCTTCGGGCTGTTCTTTCCTTCGGTAGTTTTCCGTCGTTGGCGTTTCGTCGGGGGCTCTTCTTCGGATTCTTCCTCTTCTTCCTCTTTGATCTGCCTCTTCTTTCCCGTGTCAGATGCTGTACTGTCGACTTCCATGGCATCGTCGTCCGTCTCTACCTCTTTCTTAACCGGTGCCCTGACTTCTGCATCCGAATCAACGTCGTCATTCTGCCCCTCTTTCACTTCCTCTGGCGATGAGCGAGGCTCCTCTTTGGTCTCTACCTCGTTCTTTACAGGCTTCGGTCTTGTGGAAAAGGACAGTTTCGATTGCTGCTTTGTTGCGTCGCCGTTGGGTTTTCCGAAGAACTTTCTGTAGACACACCGTCAGTATCGCAGGATAACTCAATGGATACAGTCCGATGTTGCCGCCGCACCCTAAAGTAGTTTGGGAAGACTTGACATACCCGAGAGTAGCCTGCTTGGGAGCCATGGCTACGAAAGTGCGGACGTTGTGTGCGCCACTAGGCTGTTGAGGGTAATTGCAGCGCAGGAAGATGGATGAAGATTGCAATGGTCGAATTGAAGGCAGTAGAGTCAATTTGTAACGCGGTGTGAAAGAGCAACAGGCAGCATTGAAGCGGAAGGGCATGCTCTGAGGATGGATTGAGACGGTGGTCTAGGCGGCAGGCGCGTCGCGCCTGCCTGCCGAAACGCGAAAGTTGAACGGACCCCCCGACCCCTGCTGACATCATTAAGCCGACATGGATTAGGCGGCATCTTGAGCATCATCACTTTTGACACATACAGTCTCACAACCCTACAAATCATCTTGTCTACTACTATCGATTGTCTTCAAGCTGGCGACCTACTTCTGGAAACGCTCGGAGCCGTCTACTTCCACTACCCCCTCCCAGCCATCATCGCCGCTCAAGATGTCGAAACCCTCTGCGCAACCTCGCCTCACGCCACAATTCTGCTTCAACCAGACCGCACTGCGAGGTCAGCACCCCAACTGATTTGCTAGCCAGCTCACTAACTAATACACAAGTCGGCTGAAACAGACTTTCTTCGTATATCACGCGGCGCGATTGATGATTCCATCACACAGAACCTTAATGCTCTTCTTACACCAGCGCAACGAGGCTTCGATCCGACATCCACAAGTACACGACAGCTGCCATCGCCCGGCCACGGTCGGTCCTTAGAACCAGAACAGTGTGAGGGTTTCAAAGAGAAAGTGCTGTTCCCAAGCTGGGCAGTACGATCGGATGTACTAGACTATTGCGCGGGTGTTGCGACATCACCGGATCCCGACAATCCGGATAGTGTATTGCGGCAGATTGAGGACTCCAAGGCACGAGAACGGACTGTGGACGAGCGATTAGATCCATACTCGGGACGTTATTTCCCACAGGAAACAAGAACAGAGAGTCTAGCCATGCTCATGCGCAACGAGCGGGCGGTTGAGAAGATCATACGGATGAGGACGTGGAGCATGCTGGGCGAGCGGTGCGGCATGACCAACGAGACAGCCGAGGTGGCGTTCGACAAGTGGAGAGAGATGCAACGACGATGAAGTAGTCTAAGTCGCTAGCCTCTGTATATATTCGACGTATAGACAGCATTGTAGTATGTCATACAATCTCCTCTCCTTGCATAGGTCAAAGTATATAGCGATGGCGCATGCGTGTACGATGAATTACGCTCCCAGATTTCCGAGGGCCTCAAGACTGCAACTTGAATAACATGGTCGCATACAGTAGAAAGCGCTCAGTCCAGACTGACGTATTCCCAAAGCTAGCACAGCAGCTTCGTACGTCGGCGACGGGCGACCACAAGGTTCGCATTGTAGAGTGCTGCCCCACAAAAACGCCAAAAAGTCTCTGCGCAAGACGTCCGAACAGCAGTTCAACGACAACGAAGAACAGTGCAGCACGCAAGCATTCAGACAACGGCTGTCAATGCGTCTCACTCAGAAAACACAATGTATCGTAACATAAAGGAATGTCCCACACCACCCCACAACTCCAATCCATCTTTTCACGGATAATTGCAATTGGTAGGAAAGGCAGGCGGTATCGATCTACGGGGCCGGGAACGGAGAACTATCCACAGAAGAAAGAGGGATAACTCTCAGCAAGCCGCTTTCGCGGAGCCACGATTTTTAGGTATGTAGATTACCAACTGATGATGGAGAAAGGGAAGGAGGGACGGAGAGCTGCGTGGTTTTGTACACGACGCCAAGCCGCTAGGAAGGCGTTAGTCAGCGGTGCGCACAGAGCTGGAAGAGTCTGCGGCGGGCTGGGAAAAAGTTCGGTAGTGGGGCAGCGTGCGGAAGAGAGGTTGGGAGCATCATAATATGGCCGTGCGAGACAGAGAATTCAATAGACAACCGGACGTTACCCTTCATATGGATAGCATAGGCTCAAGACGAGGGTCCAGTTCCGGTGCACGGGTCAGGTTCAATATGAAGGTAGAGGCTCAAAGACATGGTTCGGGTTCACACGACAACATACACAGTCAAGCATGCACAGACGAATGCAAAAGTATAGATGGTCAACGGGTTCATGCATGCATTCAAGCTAGCTAGACCCATCGGGTGGTATTCATTCCATCGAGATTCCGTAAGATCGTAATCCGTAGCGAGTCGTCTTTCGACAGCCAGCTACGACATAACCCAGCAGAAGTAACGACCGACCCTCTAGTAGAGGCGCTTGGGGGGGCTCATGGTGGCCTTGATGGTCAAGGAGCCCACGTTCTGCCATCCCTTCTTAAGAAGAGAGACGAGGTAGTTGATGGCCAACATGATGTTACCGATCAACTCGTCCTCAGTCATGCCAACGTTGCCAATAGCGACACCCATGCAGAGAACCTTCTTCAACTGGAACTTGATGGTGGACTTGACTTCGTTCATCTTGTTGGCGAGGTCCTCAGCGTGGGAGACGGGAGTGGGGAACTTTCCAGCCTTGGAGAGACCGGGTCCGAGGAGACGGGGAATCTGCTTGATGAGGGCGTCGGAGGCGATGAAGGCATCGTACTTCTTGGCGAGCTTCTTGATGAGCTTCTTGTTCTTGTTGAGCTTCTTCAAGTCGTCGGTGCTCATGGCGTCGACGCCATGGTGCTTGGCACGGTCAATGTCGTGCTGGTCACCAAGAACGCAAAGGCTCATGCCTGGTATCTGTTAGCCTGCGCCCTTGTACTGGCATGCTGATATCGACTTACGAGGACGAGGAAGGGTGGGGAGCTTGATGGTTCCAGAGAAACGCTTGTCACGCTGGGGGTCGTAGTTCTTGAGACCGATCTGGAGCTCGACGGTCTCGAGGAAGTTCCTCTTCTTGGTCTCGTTGGAGTACTCGAGGAGCTGTTGAACGTTCGTGCGAACGCCGGCGACAGAGATTTTCGACATGTTGGCTGGTGTGTCTCCCAGAGGATATCGTTTCCTTTGGTGGCTCTGTACGGTGGTGGTTGAAGAAAAGAAGTGGGTGGCGGCGGATTTGGTGCATTGTGGACGCGAGGCCGCTAGCGAAGGCTGCGCTAAGCCGTTTTGGCGCGTGTGTGACTGTTACGCAGAACGCCGATAGAGGGCAAAGGGCTGAGCATTCGGCAACTTGGACAAGGCCCCGATATTCACGTACGCTGAAGACCTGCAGATTTGCTTGCTTGCTTGCTAATATCGTCACACGTGCCCCCCATATCACTAATACGGGAATACGTCTTTATAGAAGCACGCTTGCATTGCCCATCTGTATGAAGAAAATGATATATATAATACAGTACACTTGCTTTTCCTCCTAGGATCCGTGCATTGATGAGTGCACTACGCCATGCAATGCCCGAGAACTCCTCGCCATGACCATGAGTGTTAGAAGAAAGTAACAAGGCAAGTGAAGGAAGTAGCACCTGCAAGATACAGTGTTGCTACGGGTATCCCATGTGAGAAACCCTAACGCCATAACCGCACCATTTTCGTAAGCCAAATCCGATCGAACTGAGGGGTATGTCGTCTACGCGTGCTGCCACGCCAAATGAAGCAAAGCCGAAGCCAGAAATACACAGAAGGCGAAGAGGGGGTATTCAAGAACGCTGAAGTGACCCGGCCAGATTGTCAATGTTGAGTGTAAGAAGCCGCGCAGCCAGTCCTTTTAATGCATAAGCTGCTGGTTGTTCGCGGCATCGACGACATTGTCAGAGAGGTTGATCAGGAGTTGGGCAAGACAGCGCTTCGTGGCCGCATCATCTCGTAGAACTGAGGAGAAGGTGGCGTCGCGGAGAGGCTCTGGCAGGCACTGACGCAGCGCTTCACGAGCACGGGCGTTGTCGCTCAAGCTGTTGAAGTTAATCACATGTACAAAAGGCAGAGATAGGAGAAACTTACCGGAGAAAGCAGCGCACAACGTGCTTGAGCAGGCGGACGGTTTGCTGCTCCACAAGCTGGTTGACCATGTTGCTAAGTACGGTGCCTACAGCATAGAAGCGCTCATAAGTCTGACATATGTAAGCAAGACCAATGTCATCTAGCAAGATCTTCTGGACAATAAATATTGCCACTGTCTTGCTGAGCTCTGAGCCGGTCTCCATGATACGCAGACAAAGCGGGATGATCTCAGTTGTCAGGAGGAAGTTGATAACTTCGGAAGAGTCGTTCTTGACAAGAGCACCGATGACACCCAAGGAGGTAAGACGGAGGTATTCGAAGGGTCGCGACTTGGACGTTGTGTTGAGGAATGGGTAGAGGAAGAGAGGAATGTGTGCTATAGGTACGTTAGTCGCGTCGCCTCAGTGCAGTTGGCATCTGACCTACCGCTCAAGAACAAGCCACGGGTTTCGGTATGAGAAGCGACACATTGAAGAAGCGCAAGAGCGTTACAAACACGGTTTGAAGCAGCGGCGGTCAATTGCGAAGGGTTGAGCAGCGGGTAGACGGAGATGATCTCTTGGAGGAGGGAGGCCATGACACCTAGGGTCGTTAGTATCCAGTCGCATGCTCGATCATACAATTCTCGTACCGAAAGAGTGCCAGAGAATCAGAGCCAGCTCCGGAACTTGTTCTCGCTTCTTACTCAATTCCAAGAGAGCCGCTTCACGCGTGGTAGGCTTCATGAGCTGAGCTATCCACTCCAAAACGCGCCTGTTCTCCTCCGTCATTCCAATATCGGATGCCTGAACGTCGTTGGCGGGCCCGCGGGGAACGGCATTATTGCCGGGGATAGCGGTGCCATTATTGGCGGCGAGTTGTTGGTGATACTGTCGTTGGGCAGCCGCCTGGACAGCCTGGGCCTGTTGTTGGGCGTGCAACTGTGCGGCTTGCGCTTGATGTTGTCCGTGCTGGCCTACATGATGCTGGGGCTGCTGGTGATGGGCTTGGGTTTGAGCGGGCCAGTCGCCGTACTGCTGCTGCTGCTGCTGCTGCTGCTGATGCGCGAGGAAATGTTGCATTGGCCGCGAGTACCGACAGGTTCGTATTGATTGTGGGTGGGGGTAAGGTGGGAAGGTCTGCGCGACTATATATGGGGAGCGGCGATTGCTTGGAGCGGGCACGTGGATTCAGGGTCAGACAGTGGACAATCAGGCGTGGTGAGTTCGTTTTGGCGGCACTCGAGAGATGAGGTCGCGAAACACCCCACTGGATCCAACGCCTTGGCGGCGCACGCGGGAGCTCGAGCTTTCGACCGAGATCGACGCCGCCTCCGCATCAGGTGAACCTTAGGCAGCCGCCTATACAGTGAGAGAGCCGTACAAGAGCAGCCTCACCATAGTGAAGTTGGAAGGCAACCGCGATATGTTTCCAGAGGCACATGATGCACATCAAGGGTCCAAAAAGGGTACAACCCCGCGAGTGAAGTCAAGAAACTAATCAAGATGTATAGTTTGAGATCTAAGACCTTCCGTCTCGTCTGCTACCAACCACCCGAACTACTACAGAAGGATGACAAAGGAGATTCGTGGGCGTTCTTACCCGTAAACTGTGCTTCAGCCATACTTCCACACCAACGAAGAATTACAATTCACATAACAAAGCTCGTAGAAGTGAACATGTCCCACTGATGCCAAAAAATGATCAAACGCTCCCAAACACCCACTTCAACCTAGACTATCAAAGCCTCAGCTCTGACAGGATAGTCTGAGCCATGTTCTTGTACTGCCATGTACCTCCATCCACTTTCTTAAATTGGATGCCGTGCAGCGTTAACAGCGGAACCTTGACGATCAAGATCTCGAACACAAGACTCATGCTTGAGCCCATGTCACTCTGCACATGTGTCGACGTTTCGCCCGCAGGTACTGCGCGTCGCGGTCGTCGCTCATCCCGTTCTTCGCTGCCATCAGACTCGTCGGTATTCGTATAGCTCTGGTCCGCAGGTGATGGCCGTGATCGCGATTTCGGCGTCTGCGGCGCTCGATTTTGCTCCCGGAACTCGTCACGGTCTCTATCGCCGCCGCCCATGAACCCCCCGAAGCTGATCTTCCTCTTATGGGCCCCGCTCGGCGGGGAAGCTGGCGAATCCATGGGCTTGTTCATATCAATACTGGGTGCATGTCGGCATCTAAAACCACCTTTGACTTCACTCCACTCGACCCCAAGTTGATCAAGCACCCTAATCAGATCATCCTGGATGACAGGCAGTGGCTTCGTGCTTGTCGTAGAGACGCTGAAAAGACCTTTGAGAAACACAGGCTTAACAGCGTCTGGACTTCGACTAGCTTCTGCCTGTGCTTCTGCCAGCTCTGCATCTGTCTCTTCGGGTACGTTTGCTTCCTTCGCTTGCTCTCGCTTTGCCCTCCGTGCTTGAATACTTTCTCGTCGCGCATGGCCGAGCGACTTCGCCCGCGACGCCTGCATAGGTCGCGGGCTCGATGTAAGGTCATCAGAAGCAGCATCGTTGGTTGGACGAACCTTGTGCGCACTCAGCTCGGATCTATCTGACCCACTTGTGGGAGGAGGGTTTCCAGGGTCTTCCGAAGATCGTCCACGGCGACTGAGTCGCCTCCGGAGATCAGCCGAGTTAACGCTTGTGGAGCGGCCAAGTGCTTTCAGCTTCCGAGCGGCGCTGTTGCCGCTGCCAGGAGGGGAGAGCAGTTCAGGTTGGTTATTTGCACTGTTTGTGCTCTCTGGAAGATGCGGTACAGAGCCTTCGTCACGGCCACGCGCCCTTCGAATGCTGAAGCTTTTTCTCGGTACGGAAGCTGGCGCCGGGGCAGGCTCGGCGGGACTGGAAATTGCAACGGCCGGAGTGGGTGGAGGCATAGGCTCAACGGACCGGTCTTTGTCATGACTTCGGTACTTTCTGGTACTGAAGCGGCGTAACAGACCAACAGCGGCACCCTCCTTCTTTGGCTGTTCAGCCTGAACGTGAGGCGGCAGCACTGGGGGTGGATTGTTGAGATCCACTCTTTTCAGGCCCTCGGTGAGGTCATCCTCTCCATGTGTCCTAGCTCTCGGTCGCGACCTTCCACCTGTAGGCTTTTCGCCTGCCATCTCGTAGGCAGCTGAGTTGGTATACGCTGCCGGTGGGGGTGGAAGATCTGGCATCTTCAGTGGCTTCTCGTCTGGCTCCTGAGGCATGGCGGCAGGACCTGGGTTTGCTTCTTGTCGTTCACGGTCTCTCTTTTCTTTGACGAGGAAATAGACAGAAAGCAGAGGACTGTATGCGTTCACTGGGTCCATTCCCCGTTGGATATCTTCAGACGATGAAGCTGTCAATTGCTCCCGACTTCCAATGGAAGTGCGTCTCTTGTAGAAGTCGAACATACCCCTCTTCTTCTCTGCTTCTGGTGTTTGAGCAGTGGCCCTGCGAGCGGCTGTTCGAACCGCACGTTGATACTCCTCCGACTGGATGACATTGGTCAATTGTGTGGTAATGTATTCAGTGGTACCAAAATCGAAACCCTGCATCTTCTCGATGATCTCGCTGTCGAGGGGTAGTTGCACGGGTTCTCTGTGAGGCAGGTAGTTTTCCGGAGGACTGTTGAATCCCTTGGTAAGCCAGGGATGGCTCATGATTTCCGAGAGAGTCAATCGCTGAGTTGGGTCGGTCTGGAGCATTCTGTGGATCAGATTGCGGCATTCTGGATACGGTCAGCTTGAGAGGAGATATTGTCTTTGGACAACATACCCGCAGATAGCCATGGAGGATAGTCAACATGGCCCTTCTTAATCTTGGCGTGAAGCTGCGGCATGCTCTGGTCGTCGAACGGCACCTTGCCGCAGACGAGGACGTACAATACAATGCCGAAACTCCAGACATCAACCTCGGGGCCAGTATATTGCTTAGCCTGGAGCAGTTCTGGGGCGGCAAAGTACAGACTTCCACAGAACGTCTTTAGCTGATTTCTTGGTGAGAACAAGTTACTCAACCCGAAATCAATAATCTTGATATCACCCATCTTGCTAATAAGGATGTTCTCGATCTTAAGATCTCGATGCACAATGCTATTCCTGTGGCAGTAGTCGAGGGCACTGGCGATCTGTCGAGCGAACTTGCGCGCCTGCTTTTCCTTCAAGCGGCCGTGAGAGATGATGTAGTCGAGCATCTGCCCGCCGTTGACGAACTCGAACATCATGTACCAGTGGAAGTTCGTGCGCACCACATCCTTCATGCCGCATATGTAAGGGTGGTTCAGCAGACTGACAATGGCGGCCTCCCTGGCTGTGCGGACTTCTTTGGAGTGGTCGGCTCGTTCACGGTCGGCAGCGCTCTGGTGCTGGTCTTGGGACTGTCGGGGTACGATCTTGACGGCGGCCTACGGGTGGTTAGCACAGAGCCTTGGCTGTCATTGTGTTGCAGTATGCGCGATTAAGCGCATGCCCCTCCATGTGCCAACACGGTGACGACCAGAGATACACACCTGCTCCCCAGTCTCGGCGTTCTTCGCCAGCTTGACCTTGCCCATGCTGCCAGCGCCAATTGTCTTTCCTAGCGCCCATGTTCCTGTGCTGGGCGCGGTGATGGTGGTCCTGCGCTTGTTTACGGCCTGAGGCTGGCCCGGCCTGGCTTCGGCAGCTACGCCGTTGATGGGCATTGCGGAAGTTGTCGACGCGTCAGACGCATACCGCGAGTGGCTTCGTCTGCTGGATTCGGTGCGGGCTGGGTCTTCGCTGCGACGTGAGGGCTGCTCCTGGGCGACGTTGCTCTGCTCGTAGTCTCTCCGGGCGACGTTGGGGAGGCCGCTCTGCTGCTGATGGCGGCTGGGCGCGTGTCCAGTGGGCCGGCTCTGGGTGCTCTGGGAGCGTTGGGGTCTGTCTACGGATCTGCGCGAAGAAGAGGAAGTGCGCACGACTGCGGGCGATGATGGGGCGGCGGCCGACATGGCGAATGCTCTCTACCACGGTACGCGCAACGCAGGGAGCAGATGCAGGCCTCGATTAGCACAGACGCACAGGGCGTGGAGCGAGCGCAGAAGCGACCACCGGCAAGGCTATCGTGACAATGTGAAGAGATTACTTTGTCGCTCCTCGGTGGGTAATGCGGCGTAAGTGTACAAGAGGTTAGGGGCCGGTGGACGGTTGTGGTCGCGAAACTTGGCACAGGCGGCGGCGTGTTGGGTGTGCGTCTGTCTGGACGTATGCAGGTCCCAGGGCAGCCAGCACCGGGTTACAGCAGATGAGCAGATGCAGGATCCAAGTCGAGGACAGCATGTATTACGGCCAACGCGAGCTTGTGTGTTGTTTTGTTCATGTCTATTTCCGGTTCGAGGCCAAACGCGATAGCTCCCTCCTTCCACGCCTAGCTCGTCTACCAATACCGCGCCAGGTTGGGCCGATACGGTGGGGTAGGTACAGCTTCGGGGCCATGCATTCATCCTGGCTTTCACCCCATCTACATGCCTATACCCTTCGTCTTCGAGACAAAGACAGCATCGCCTCCTGACGCCTTCGTCTCCAGAACATTGTGTTGCTGGCGCCATATCAGGGTCCCTGGCCTTAGCCGCGATACCAGCCATGCTTTTATGCTCATTAGGCCCAAAGACCCAGGCGCGGCACGACATCATCGGGCCCACTCTAGCTCACTAACTCCTTAGTTCAACGGCAGTCAAGTCGACAAGAGCTGAGCAATGTGCGGTGAAAGCCATCTATTGTAGGCTTCGAGTCTGGTAGAGCTGTGCACTGCCTGCTTCGGAGCGCATGCAATTCATAGCTCTTACATACCTCGTGGCTGCATTTAGTTGGGTAGACTAACCTAGCCAATGAGACGGCGGCTGATTAGTCACCTACCCGCCCGCTTGCTCGTGATCGCGCGCTCCAACTTTCCTTCGCTTGACTATAGGGCAGACCAAGTCCATCAGATGCAATAGTCAATTTCTGTATAGAAGAAACTGACTCGCCACCAATTACCACGAATTACGCGACCCTGTTCCTACCGTTACAATGGCATACAAGCGGCCGCGCGCGCCTTCTCCAACCAACGCCCAAAAGCGTTCTCGCGGCGGACAAACAGCCTACATATCCCTTGGCACCGAGCTCCCTGATGAAGATGGAGATGACGGGGCTTTCGTCCCTGTGTGGAAGCAGACTGTAACAGACGAGAAGGGTAGAAGGAGGCTTCACGGCGCATTCACTGGAGGTTTCAGTGCAGGGTAAGTTTCCGAGCCACACCTTCCACGAACGTAAGACTTCTTGACTATGCTAAGATACTTTAATACAGTTGGATCTAAAGAAGGATGGACCCCGAAAACGTTCGTTTCCTCTCGCGCAAACCGCAACAAAGACCAGCCTAGTGGTCAAGCCCAGCGAGCCGAAGACTTCATGGACGAGGAAGATCTGGCGGCAGCAGCAGAGTCACGGCAGCTAGAGACTGCGCAAAACTTCGCTGGTATAGGCGAAGCTGGACGCGCGAACGACGATGGACTTTTCGGCCTCTTCGTAACTCAGGAAGAGACAATGGGAGTGAAGCTCGCGCAGAAGATGGGCTGGCGACGAGACCAGGGCATTGGTCGCAAAGTGCGCCGAAATGCCGACCTTGAAGATGGTGCATCCGGTTCCAAGGACGAGTCAGCTCATATGTTTGCACCCCAAGATGCTCGGATCATGACCTTGCCACGAGAAGAGGTCCGTCGCAAAGGCTTGGGATACACATCAGAAGCCCGCTTGGGCGTTGTAGAGGAAAACGCTGGGGACCAGTCATCCAAGTTCGACCTGCACTATCTCGAAGGTCCGAAGAAGGCATCAACCGTAAAGAAGCCCGGGCTGAAGAAATCTTCTTTTGGGGTTGGTGTGCTCAACGACACTGGTTCTGACGACGAAGATCCTTACGAACTGGGCCCAAAAATTACGTTCAATAAGACCATAGGCAAAGAGAAGAAAGTGAAGAAGCCCAGCAAGTTCGCCAAAGCAGGAGCGGGAGAAAAGGTTGTCTTTGTTCCGAAGAAGAGTTCGTCGAAGGCTTTGGTCTCGCTAAGCAGGCCATCTATAGATGGAAGATCTCCATTACCTGGTTTCATGTTTGCGACTGGTCTCACAGACACTACAAGCAAGCCTAAATATCCTCCGCCGAAGATACCACCCGGCTGGAAATCTTCCAAAAGCGCCACTCCAACTTCGGAATCGAAAGAGTATCAATCCGTAGCCGACGCAGCGAAAGCATCAACACTGGATGCAAAGGGTCGTTCAGCACTCTTGGGTGAGAAGGCTTTGCCCGGAAAATCCATTTTCGACTTCATACCCAAAGAAGCTCGAGACCGTCTGGCTGCAGTATCCGGTAGGGCTGATCTACCCCAGGGCTTGGGAGAGGCTGCTCCTGAAGGGCATTTACCTGCGAACAAAGCCCAAGCAAAGGATCTGTGGGGCCTTGTGCCCAAACTCGAGAAGAGCGTGGCAGCTGCGGCGCTGGCCAAGGGGGCGACTGGCTGGATGCCATACGAGGAGGATAAGGCGAAGCGTGCACGCTATGTTAGCTTTTTAGAGTTGAAAGCAGGACTGAAAGAAGATTTGCCAAATCGAAACGATGGCGTATCAACCACAGATTGGGTCAAGGAGCTGCAGGAGTTTGCACATGCTGCAGAGGTGTTCAAGCCTACGACTGGCATCATGGCATCCCGGTTCACGTCTTCCTCGTCGTCTACCCTGAATGGGAGTGGTAGTGGAGCAGCGACTGACAACCTTCTACGACAACCAGCCGCAAAGCCAGAGGATCCTGCAGAGCAGGCTGCAAAGCTAGGCATGTACGGCCCAATGACTCGAAGCAGCTTTCCCTTTTATCCGTCACGACTCTTGTGCAAGCGCTTCAACGTCAAGCCTCCGCCAGACATGCCACCTGAGTTTGATGCTGGTGAAAACCACTTCAAATCCCAGACAGAGGAAGCCGTGTCTAAGTCAGCCATGGAGAAATTGCAGCACGAGTTCTTGACTAATGGTCCTGCTCTTCAGCGACCTGCCTGGATGGGGCAAACGCCTGAAGCCTCTACTCCTCCTGCTGCTGCTACAGCTACTCAAGAGGGCAAACATGCAGTTGTGGACGTGGAGAAAAACGATGCTCTATCCATCGAACGTGCCTCCGAAGATGTTTTCAAAGCCATCTTCGGAGACGATGATGACGACGAGGACTAAGCCTGGAGGACATGCCATACTTAGAACTATTGTACTCATGTAATATTCACACTACTACTGTTTTACTCTTACCGAAAGATTACTGACAATACATGCATGCTGACCAGTCTTTGCCAATTAGAAGTAAAAAGTCGTAGACATACAGCCGACGAGAAAGTGCCCATTTTCATAGTCTTCAAGTTGATGTTGAACGTAGCAGCTTTGATAGGCGCGGACGCCAGACCCAGGCGAAGAGATAGTGCCTCGGCGTACCGACACGCCGGTGCTCGGAACATGTATTCAAAACGTCATGCACTTTTTCGCGACACGAGTTTGGCTGACCCGATACTACCCCATCTTATACTGATATCCACGGCCATTTTCCAGGGCTATTACGATGATGCGTAGTGCAGCTTTGACACTCTTCATATAGCAATTGAACATTTGAAGGCGCGGCAATGTCAGATGGCGGAAAGCGCTCGTCGTCTTACTGTAAGTGCAGAGGCATTGGGCGTAATTGCTATTGCATTTCAGGGACCGGTGGGATCATAGTTGTTAATAAGCAATGCAGTCCACTTCTTCGCTGGATTAAACTCAGGTGTTCTATCTGCAGTCCTTCTCCAACCCGCCGACCTCCTCAAGACCCGCGTCCAACAATCGCGCTCGAGCACACTTTATGGAACCATCCAGTCGATAGCCAGCGGACCGAACCCGATACGTCAATTCTGGAGGGGTACACTACCGAGCACTTTACGCACGGGGTTCGGATCTGCCATATACTTTTCGAGTCTCAATGCATTGCGACATAGGGCGAGTCTGGTCGCAGCGGGGAGCGGCGACGCGGCAGCGAGGGGAGCGGAGCACTCAAGCTCTCTGCCAAAACTGAGCAATACCGCAAACCTGGCAACTGGTGCCTTCGCGCGGACATGGGCAGGCTTCATCATGATGCCGATTACCGTTTTGAAAGTGCGGTACGAGAGTAATCTGTACTCGTACAATTCGCTCTTTACAGCATCAAGAGACATCTTCCGAACGGAGGGACTCAAGGGCTTCTTTGCTGGTTTCGGCGCAACAGCCGTCCGCGATGCACCATACGCGGGGCTTTACGTTCTATTCTACGAGCAGTCGAAGAGGAAGCTTTCCAGTCTTGCAACCAAGATTGAGGAAACTTCCGGCACATCCACCAAGCTTTCTTCCAGTACATCCGCGGGTATCAATTTTGTTTCTGGTGTTGCAGCCGCAGGGCTGGGAACGACTGTCACGAATCCCTTCGATGCCATCAAGACGCGGATACAGCTAATGCCTGACCGCTACGTGAATATGGTACAAGCAAGCAAGAAGATGCTTGTGGAGGAGGGTCTACGGAGCTTGTTCGATGGACTTGGTATCAGGATTGCGAGGAAGGCAATGAGCAGTGCGCTTGCCTGGACTGTGTACGAAGAACTGATTCGACGAGCGGAGAGCTTGAAAGAAGTCGTCGAGGAAAAAATCTGATCATGAAGCATACGATGTTTGCATAGCTGGCGTTGGCCGGTGCTGAAAATTGGCTAGATACCTCTCCGCTCACATTGAGTTGTTCAAACGAAATGACGATCTGCTGTCAATGTCTTCCGCGGAATGCCTATATGGTCCAGATTCGCAAGGTCCGCACCATCTGCAGCAAACCACATGTTAGGCCATCCAGACCGCCGATAATGAGTGGTAAGTTGTGGCTGAACTTGGACTATGTCTATGCGGGACGATCTTGGGGGCAGCTCTAACCGAAAACGCCCATCCCGGACACATGAAGGCTTACTCCGATGAAAGCTGGAAGTGGTCACAACACCTCGGTGGGTCGCACGCGAGCGTCACTGTTTCATGAGGCGCTTCTCGTGCAAATATGTGTCTTGGAGCGTATAAAGAGGGAAATATGCAGGTAGCGAAAACGTACAAAGCGATGACATCCAACGATTTTGGGAGATAACAGCACTGTAAGGCCGACCAATTTCACCAAGCGTTCACGGTGTTGCGACCCCCGCGGCTAAGAGAGGAAAGAGGTCTTAAGCGCCTTGGTTAGTATACCAGTTTTCGACGTGCCCCACCAAACCATCACCATCTCGCGCCGCTAAAGACTGAAGGATGCAGAACAAAATGGTCGCAAACATCGCACACGACAGCATTACAACGTCGCAGAGCGGAGCGCGGGTGTGTGGACGGCAGTCTGGACTGACGCCCGCAGATAGACATGCACCACAGGCTGATGTGTGTTCAGCAGACCCGCGCATGAGAAACCCCGGCCTCAGCCCTGGCGGCAGCTGCCTGATGACTAGCTGCATCGCGAGCATTTCAGCCCCCAAATGCACCATGAGGGCGGGTTCCTTCAAATTCCACTGCAGCCGCACTTTCGTGCTGACAATTTCTTGCGTTCTTACGTTATCTACTGTTTGATACCGTGTCACATCTGCTTCTGTGCCGCCCCTCAGTGTCTGTTCCATCACCCCGCCCTGCGCCGTTCACGCCGCAGCTGAGACCAGACACAAAGAATTTGAATTGATTGCTCTGTCTTGTGATCTCTTTATCATTGAACGGTATACATACTTTGTTTGAATCTCCTCGAATTCCCAACTCATACGCCCACCATGCCGCTGGCAAAGGAGTGGGACAGTTACGAAGAGGACGAGTGGTATTCCAAAACTACGAAGGACCACCTGAACATCCGTCATGTTCATCCTCCAGCATCCAAAACCCCGCCCCGGAGAACTGTGGATGATGCGCATTATCGTCCCGACTATGCTCGCCACACAACCGAGTACCTGGCCCCAGAAGTGCATTACACGACCGGTCTCCATAGGACCCGCTCACAAGGTCACGCGCCCGCCCCCAATGTGACAATCTACAACACCAGTCACTTGGACAATGATAGCCGACCAGTTTTGCGCTCTGAGCAGAAGGGCCCAGAGGTCAGTCGCGGTCGACGCGAACAGAAGATGCCTGGTGCATTTGAGGATTTGGAGGATGAGATCGCTGGGTTGAGGGCAGATCTAAAGAAGGAACACCGTTCGCGCTCTAGGCACGAGTACCATGAACGCCAACGCTCTCCAGAGCCCAACTATGCGGACAAGATCAAGTTGACACTCGCTGAGCAACGCCTCAAAGATCTTGAAGATAAGCTTGAGAGAGAGCGGCAGGAGCGATACCATCATCACTCTCCAGACCGTAGCTACGAGGACAAGATGAAACTGGCGCTCGCGCAACAGCGACTACGAGACTCTGAAAAAGAACTCGAGAGGGAAAGACGTCATCATTCGCCAGATCACGGCTACGAAGACAAGGTGAACTTGGCACTGTCGCAACAGCGACTCCGAGAAGCTGAAGAGAAACTCGAAAGGGAACGACGAGAGGAGGAAATGGATAGACGGGCGGAACTGGTAAGACGCAGGGTGGAGCTTGACTTCATCCAGGATAGAAGAGAGCGCGAGGCAGAAGAGGATAGGATCAAGAGGGCAGAGGAGAGTATGCGTCGCGACTGGGAGCTGCAGCGAACGAAGGAAGAACGAGATCGCGAACGACGCGAGGTCGAAGAAGAGAAGAAGCGTGCTTCTATCATCGCCGAAAACAGGGCAAAGATGTCTAGAGAGCAAAGAGAGGCCGAAGAACAACGCGACAGGCTTCTGGCTAAACTAGAAAGGGAGCAGAGAGATCAGGAGGACGAACGCAAGCGGATTCTTGCTGAAAGCAAGATGAAGCAAGCCAGAGAGCAACAGCGGGCCGAGGAGGAACGTGAGAAGCTCCTAGCCAAGATAGAGAGGGAGCAAAGGGAGCAGGATGATGAACGCAAACGAATACTTGCTGAGGCCAAGTTAAAGCAAGCGAGGGAGCAACGAGAGGCCGAGGAACAACGTGAGAAGATCCTGTCTGAAATGGACAAGAAGAAAAAGCGAGAGCAAGAAGAACGCCAGCGCATCATCGACGAGAACACTGCCAAACTTGAGAAGGAAGCGCGTGAGCGTGAGCTCAAGGAGAAGGCCATGGAACAAGAGCGCAAGCGCATCATCGCCGAGAACGAAGCCAAGGTAGCTAAGCAGGCCCAAGAGGCAAAAGAAGCTCAAGAGCGTGCTGTCCAAGAGTATCAGCGAAAGAAGGCCAAGGAAGAGGCCGAAGCTCAAGCAGAGCATGACCGTATCATCTTCGAGTACGAGCGTAAGAAGGTCTTGGATGCCGAGAAGGAAAAGAGGGCACGAGACGAACTCATGATGAAGATCAGACTTGAAGAAGAAGCAAAGAAGCAGAAGGACAAAGAGGAGTACGACGCCTTTATGCGAAAGCAAAAAGCACAAGAAGAAGAGGACAAGAGGAAGAAAGAGGAACAAGAGAAGGAGCTCGAAGAGACGATGCGCAAGAGGCTCTCTCAGTTCGGCTTCCAAGATAACCAGATCCAGGCGCTTGTCCACCCTGAGAGGGAAAGACACCTACAAGCAGGCATGATGCCCAACCATCCCATGCATCAAATTGCACCTCCCCCTCCCCCACCTCCACAGCACCACCATCACCATCAGATTGCCATTGCACCTCCACCGCCGACATACGCCAAGATCCACAGGAGTCATCTTGATGTTGAGACGCTGCACTACTACGACATCCCATATGAATACGATGTGGTAAGTCTTGACCAACTGACATGATGCGAAATCAAGTGCTGACAATTGCGGTAGAACCCAGAGTACATCATCGTCCTCCGGGAAATGTCCCAACGCGAGACTGACATTCTCTTCGAGCACACTCGTCGTCTCCGCACCGGCCATGGTAGCAAGCTGTTCATAGAATCAGAGGGTCGTGATAGCAGGGGCAAGAAGGAATACGCTTTTGTGAGGAAGAAGTCTAGGTCTCGCTCCAGGAGTGTTGTTGGTGCCTCGTCGTCAAGTAGGACGAACGTCAGCTTGGGGGAGATGTTCTTCAGGTAGGATGAGATTGGGAAGGGCTGTGCAAGGACGGGTTTCGCTGGTCAGTGAGTGTCTGTGTGGTGTTGGATTTTACGATTGCTCTTTTCTAAGATATACCAATCCTCCCTCCTGTCTTGGATACATTTACATAGGTACTTCAGCTCAGTCTCTTACTCTTGTTTGGATAGGCGTTTGACTTTTTTCGGAAACGCGACCACGACATATGCAATACGTTCTATCTCAGTTCTCTGCAGCAATGTGTGCCATCTTGTGCGTGTTTGTGCGTCTCAACGGCTTCGAGCTCTTCACCGGTCTTGTGCTACCTCATCACAGCTGTCCACTGACGGAAGAGAGCGTGTTAAATTTTAAAACTATTCCGGCATCATGCCGTGCGACGCACGTATGGGAGATGCGATTCCGCCGGTCGCGGTCCAAAGGGTGACAAGAGAATGGCGGAGCACGTGCTTGTTCGTCATGGCTGTCGCTGGCATCTGACGCGTGGGGCGACGTTCGGTCCGTATTAGTGAGTGAGCCTCGGCTTCAGATCATGGTCGGGACATGACGAGCAGTCGCCGCAGCTCAACTCTCCGACAATCTTCCTCACACTTCCTTTAGAGCATGCGTTGATACCCCTCGTGCTTTTGTTCTTATTTGATTCAATATGGCCGACGCGCTTTGCGGGCCTTCCAACGCCCTTCAGAATTTCCAGAAACATACTACCGTCGATCGGACACTGCAACAGGATCGCCTGGTCGGCAGACATTCACCAGCCCAAGTATGTAATCAAACCCGAGGCTTGCATTTGCACAATCTAACCGACAGCAGGGCTTCAGATCATCACCGGGACTAAATGCAGGCGCACTAGACTCCGAGTTCGATGCATTTCAAGCCGGTCGACCAGTGCCGGCGCACGACTTCCAACACTTCGATCCGCGATTCGCACAACCTCCTCCTCCTCCTCCTCAGTTTGCGCAATCCCCACAGGCACCCGACTGGGCTGCTGACTTCCAGCGCTTGAACGTCAGCAGCCCACCTCCACAGACGTTCCAGCAGCAGCGACCGCAGCCAGCGAACGCGGCATCAGCATGGCATCAGGACTTCCTGAGGCAGCAGGCCCCGGTCGCGCAGGCGCCTGCCTTGCAGCAGAACACATATGGAGGCATGTCGGGATATAACATGGGTGGATTCGGTGGACAGGCATACATGCAGACACCGAATTTCCAGAACGCCCAGGTATCCGAGGTTGCACAAGGAAAGCAGCGCGCCCAAGACGACGTTCCCGCCTTCGACGAGGCGGCCTTTGAACGAGCGTTTGCGCAGGCGCAACAAGACATGATGGAGGTCGCAGAAGCAGAGCAAGTACACACACAGCCAGCGCAAGAGGCGCTGGACCTAGACCGGCCGGGTGAGATGGATCCTCTTCTTCAACGGATACGAGAAACGCGGCCAGGTGTGTAGTGTCCGTCAAACATGCTACGAGTGCTGACTGTGTCTCTAGCTGTCTACTCTGCCATCCAGGTCTGGAGCGAAACTGGTCTCGGACGAACCGACGAAGCGGTAACATACCTCCAAAAC